CCAGTCTCTTAACCACCCCAACGTTGTGGAATTACTGTCGGTCTTCAAGTCCGAAAGCGGAGGAGAGCAACATTTCAACTTTGCCTTTCCATTGGCGCTCGGTAACCTCAAAAGGCTGTTTCTCGGAGAATATGATCAAATGCTAGCGGTGACATCTCGGAAATCATTTCTATGGCCGCAGATGATTGGACTTGCAAGTGCGGTGACGTTTCTACACGAATCAGCCCACACGGCACATAGAGACGTCAAACCGTCAAACATTCTCATCTACCAAGACATTGCAACAGGAAATTTAGTATTGAAGCTTACTGATTTTGGCCTAGCAATCAACCTCACTAATGCGTTGACATGGCAAGAGGGCAGTGCCGCAGCAATGTCGGCTCTGAACTACGATGCCCCCGAAATGAGATTGGCTTTCATTAAAAGTCGAGAAAATAAGCTTCAGGAGCTGCCTTCGCCGAAGCAGCTGCTATCGAACGACGTCTGGAAGCTTGGTTGTGTGTTTACCGAACTGGCAACCTTCATCGCCGGTGGATCTGTTGGTGTGACACAATTCAGAGATGCAATCACTACTGAAACAGATAACATCTCGTCTGATTCATTCAACGACGTCCGATTTGATGATGGGAAAAAAGTCAAACCGGAAGTCATGGATTATATCAAGGGGCTGAGACCCAGAAGCCGAGAGATTTCTCAGATTGAGCCAATCCTCCACGCAATGTTGGATGATACATTGGCGAGGCCTACTGCTCGGGAAGTTTGCCAACTACTGATCGACGTAAGTTGATTCCCCACAATCTACATGATATATAGTCACTGCACCGCTGGATCGAGGACTGTTGTCGGAACTGTCCAACCCTTAGCTTTAGAAGATTGCTGACCTCTATTATCTGATTCCAGAAGACGGAATTGATCAAATACCCGTACAGTGACGGTGTAAGACGTGTTGGCCTACGGCCAGAAAAGTCCAATTCTAGCGTTTTGGACCAATTGAGATTGAAAATCGAGAGGAAGTTTGCAAATCTGATAGATTGGTCACCCATGCCGCCAATCGTTCGTCCATGTCATGAGGGTGAAGTGCAGGTCGTCTGGCAGGTAAGGTCACAATGTTGTGTCGGCTCATTGTATAACTGTTTTGACCATGCATTGTTAGTTCGGAAGAAGAGAGCTCTCAGTCGTCCTGTCTAAAGACGAAGGCCAGCGATACGCGCCGACGTGCGTCGCGACACTCGAGAATGGGGAACCAATACTGCCCACATCCACTCAAAATAGCAGAGCAAGCGCGGCAACCAACTTCATGGCCAATGCTCCAGCTCAGCCTGCGCAGGCACCAATCCGAAACGTACAAAATCCAAGACCGGGCCAAGTGAAATCACCGGGACAGCCAGTGTCAACTTCCATCCCGCAACGCCTCTCCGCGATTGCCAAAGAGGTATACTGGTGTATGGACGAGATCTTTAGTGAGCCCAAAGAGACCTGGCTACGTCCTGTTGCAGGCGACGCAGACATTACGGATGAAAAGTTCTACGAGCTCACAAACCGCGCTCTTGATAAAGCCAGAGGGGGCCTGATGAAAGACTGGTTGTTGAAACGTCTTTCGTGGAAGCGTTGCGTAGGCATAGATTTCAGGCAGGTTCGTCTTGAGATTCACTGTCCCGTTTGATGAGACATATTTGGCGTACCAAGAAGTCGATATGGCCAAAAAAACACCCAAAAAACCCAGTAGAGCTGACTACATGCCTTGCTAGTTTCACATAGTCAAGACCAACAGAGACCAAGTGCTGCTAGGACAGATCGAACTGCCGCCACAGGAGCACCTCGAATACGAACACGGCATGCTGACTCCCGAAGATGTCCACATGAAGCTAGCTGCAGTACAAATGGTGGCCGGTCTGATGGACCCAAAGACCGCTCGTGGGGAGAAGACTGTGATGACCATGCTCCCCAAGAAGAAAATACCGCCAAACTTCAAGAGGGAGATGGGAATGTGCGGTTGGGGCATCTACGCGCAAATGGGCTTCTCGGTCAAGAAGATCCTCTGGTGGCTCATTTTTTGCATGATTTCGATGTCGATATTCGCTGCTGTTTGGTTGGTATGCATCAACAGCACAGATCTGCAAAACGCCTTCATGCCGGCGACGATTGTGCTCACTCTGTTCACGATTGTTTTGGGAGTAGCCCAGAGTTTGGGCTGATGGGTTTCCATTGGCGTGAAGTTTGTTGTCTAATGATTAGGCGAAGACACAACCCTAACACCGTGTCCCAGAACTTCCCTTCCAGGCTTAGAATCGCTTTGTAATTAGCTTGCCTAAGCTAACCTGAGCGAACAATAATCTTTCCTAAGCACATAGTGACCCCGCTGAAGCGAGGGAGATCCTGAATTGAAGGCGGTCTATCTAGGCAGAATCGACTTACACCACGAGGATATCGTAACAGCTAACTATACCCTCGCTTAGTTGCCGTCCACGCGACGGCCAATGTAAGACTTGACATCAGAAACGCAGACGTTCGAGGCGTTGGTAGCGAGGTTCTGGCAGTCGGCGTCGGTGTACAGCTCAACTTGTCGCGCAAAATTGGTCAGTCACTTGCACGCTTGCACACGGCTGCGGAACATGCCCGGTGGGCGACTCACAGCTGAAAACCGGGGTCAACCCGCTAGCCGAGAACCTCTTGTAGGTGGTGTTGTCCACGCCCGGGGAGATGCGGTGGCACTGGCCGGCGTAGTCGGGCGGGATAGCCAGGGACTGGCCGGTGCCCTCGATGGGAATCGGGGTGCCGGTGCAGTTGGAGGCGGGGTCGTAGAACATCTTGATGGTGCCCATGATGGGGGTCGCAGAGGCGGCCGCGGCGAGGGCCAGGAAGCCGGCGGCGAGGGTCGTGAATTGCATTTTGGGCTGATTTGTCTGCAAGATTGGTTGATTCGAGACCTGGGAGTATTGCCCCGAGATTATGGGGAGCTCACCCTATTTAGTTTTTCCATCGCGGCGGTGAGGTCACTCCATTTCGGTGCCGGGATCGTTGCTGTGGAACTACTGTATAGTAATATACGAGTTGCGACTAGGATGGCCAACTTGGCAGGACTCGGTGCTCCAAGCCTCGAAATGATCGCCGAGCCCTCGTATTCTTTGCTGTTTATTTTTGTTGTATTAACAGGACAGTATCCACAACCGCCGAGCCTCCCGCCCTGGTTCATCCAGTCGGCGGCGGTCCGTCCACAACGACGGCACCCAAGACAGGGGTGAGGCTGTTAAAGTTGTGACCTGTTCCATTTATGGGGGCTGTCAACCACCGAATAGGTACTGCAGATCGACCTCGCTAGAAGTCCGCGGGTTTCCCTAGTGCAACGGGAATCTTGAGCCGCAGTATGTAGGTTGTCGGATCCTGCCGATCGGAAAGGTCGTTGAGCAAGTTGCAACTCCGTTGCCGAGCATTGCTCAAAGTAACCATTGTAGAACCCAAGTCCTGCGCCTGGACCTCTCTCGCTCGGTGGGATGTATTTCAACGACTTGCAATTCCCTTTACGTTCAAACACCATGAAATGAGCAATGGGGAAGCACAACTTTCACAACATCAGCTTCTAATTCATCTATCTGATGTCCTCACAGCTTATCCGCCTGTCATGCACCAGTCATCAGCGGTGACTAATCCATCTCACTTATTCTGGCCAAGGACCGACCAGTCTGCTGCCTGCTGAAGAACAGAGCCAATCAATATGATTGGTCAATTCGATCAGGCATCAGCTGCGCACCGGTTGTTGACTAAGCCCCTGCTGAGATAAGCTGCCTCTGACATGACCGATATGGTCTGAGCTTCGGGGTCTGGACGCCTTACAAAATGGGAGAGGGAGGTCGACGTTGAACACAGAACACCAGAAGAACTCCGGGTCGTCTCTGCAGAACCACTTTTTGCTTTGGAACACTGGCATACCAAAGCGTCTACGTATAAGCTTCTAATTCTGCGAAATGGTCACGACACTGCCCTCTCGCGCAAAGGTAAGCAAACCACGCACTGCCTTCGAACATCGCCAGGTCACTTACACCGTTCCGCACAGCAGCCTGCGCAACCCAGATCCAGATCCAATGTACAGCCCAGCCAAGCGGGCCAAGGAATTTCCCTTCGCCCTAGGAGGCCGACTGATGTACTCGACGTCGCAGTATGGGGCAGCGGCGAGAACTGCGAACTCGGTCTCGGTCCCCGCATCACCGAGGCCCCCAAACCCCGTCTCGCGGACAAGTACCTTCACCCCGACACCGTCGGCGTCGTGCAGATCTCTGCGGGAGGCATGCACTGCGTCGCCTTGACCCATGACGGCAAGGTCCTGACGTGGGGTGTCAACGATGACGGGGCGTTGGGCCGAATCAAGTCGCCAGATACCCCTGAAGAAGCCGCCGAGGACCTTTTGGATCCGTTCGAAAGCACGCCGAGCCAGGTAAAGTTCAAGGACGAAGTCGAGATCGTGCAGGTCGCGGCGACCAACAGCGCGTGTTTCGCTCTGACGGCCGAAGGAACAGTATACGGCTGGGGGAGCTTTGCTGTAAGTCACTCGTTCCCTTGTTTCCCTTGCTCCTCTTAAATCACTGCCTAACTCTTGTCAGGGAGGAGACGGCAACTTTGGCTTCCTCCACGACAAGCCGCCCAAAACTACAGAGCTACTACCTGTGCGCATCCCTGGCCTCGAAAACATCATTGAGCTGGCCGGTGGCGCAAACCACGTCCTCGCTTTGACCAACGACGGCAACGTCTTTGCGTGGGGCTCGGGGGAGCAGAACGAGCTGGGAAGACGCATCTTGGAGCGTCGCCGCTTCGAAACCCTGATCCCTCAGCGCATAGGCATGCCCAAAAACAAAACGGCCAAGATCTTTGCGGGATCGCATCACAGCTTCGCCATCGATACCAACGGCAAGGTCTGGGCTTTCGGGCTGAACAACTTTGGCCAATGCGGCATACCGACACGAGAGATTACCGGCTTCACGACCATCATATCGCCGACCATCGTCAAGAGCCTGAACGGATACGACATCCACCATATCGCATGTGGTCTCCATCACTCCATTGCTTGCACAAAGAGTGGGAAAGTATTGTCGTGGGGTCGATGTGATGACGGCCAGATGGGTATCAACCTTGACAAGGTGCCCAAAGAGCACATCATCTTCGACTCCCGGGGACGTCCTAGAGTCCTGAACGTCCCAACCGAAGTGCCCATACCTGGTAGGTATCTTGCAAGTCCGGCTCAAAACCTCCAACATACTGAACAGAGTCCAGGCACTGGAGCCATCTTCGTTGCGGCCGGAATCGACAACTGCTTCGTGGTTGCGGCGCAGCTGTACGCTTGGGGATTTTCTGCCAGTTATAATACCGGTCTGAAGACCACCGAGACAGTCGAGTCCCCGACCGCGGTGCCTTGCTCTTATGTAAACCTGGCGTCCGTTTACGCTGGAGGCCAGTTTGGCATCGCATCTGGGCCCAGTCTACGAACCTCTCAGCTCCCTCCCTTCACACGATGAGGAAATTAAGGTCAGACGCCTTGAGCTTCTGGACCCAGGTCCGCTCCGTCAGCGTGTGCGGGTCCACGGACTTCTCGAGGCTCCAGATGGTCTGCAGTGTGTCCATGGCGGTCATGATGAAGCCCCAGGGAGTCGCAATCATGAGTCTTTTGAGGCGATCGAGGATCCATTTCCGTCTTTCGGGGTCGGAAGTCCCCGCACCGGCAATGAACGTCGGCCAACAGGTGGCCTTGAAGTTGGGGTCCTCATCGTGGATACAGGAGAGGTGGTAGAACATTTGGCTGTCGAGCTCCTCGCGGTCGACGGGCACAAGTATGGAAGCCGAGGGGAGGGCATGGAGTATGTACAAGCAGGCGGCAAGGCGGTGGGCCGAACCGGCGTGGATTCGACTTTCAACCGGGATATGCCTAAAATACGAAATGGTCCGAGGCTCATACGCCCAGTCGTGGACATCAAAAGACAGCGCTTGCTGCAGTATTTGTGCGGCGCCCTGCGCTACGTCTGCCGCAGAATCCAGGTCTTCCGTGCTGCGGTTCGACAGCTGGGATGCCGCCAAGAGGATCTGCAGGATATCAGGCGGGCAGCAGAGGTAGCTGTTTGCAGCAGCCTTACCCAGTACGGAGGAAACTTGGGCAGACTGGTAATATGACTTGGCGGCCGGCGTGGACGCGTTAAAGGCGGAAGCCAAGATGTAGTAGCTGCGGCGGAGGAGTCAGATTAGATAACTCATTACCCAATAGCAAACACGTCAGACACATCAACTCACATGAAGCAATCCGACATGACATAGTCCCGTAACGCGACATCCGCCGTCCCCACGGGGGACAAATACGACATGATTCGTCCAGCGCCCTCGAGATGGGGCTTCCAGCCGTCCCTTCCGCTCTCAATCAGCTCCACGTTGACGAAGAACAGCACGGAAGCCAGCACCACGTCACCGCCGATGCCGCCAATGTCCTGCAGCGCGGAAGACAACAGCCGCAGGGCCTTGTGCTTGGCGACCAGAGCATCCGTCAGGGCTTGCCGCGCATTCAGGTCCGACTCTGGATCCGACGATAGCGCGCGGGAGAGATTGGACATGTGAGCCGCGGAGGCGGCCACGATGATGTGCTGCAGCAGGGGATGAGCCTTGGTTAGCGGGATGAGAGACCGGAAAGGATTCCGATCCGGGAGGTCCCAGGAGACAAGATCCCTGCAGACGCGCGTGGTGACTAGAGAGAGAAGAAAAGAACCGAGTTAGCCACTCTGGTGTCTTTCCCGAGAGATGGGATCAGGAAGGCATGGGGGGGGGGGTTTACAGTAGGATAGGTAGTGTCGGTAGTGATGCTCCACACCCTGGAAGAGAGGATCGACGAGGGTCCAGGGAGCCGACTGGGTCTCGAAGGAGGCGGGCCTGGCGGCCGAGACGACAAGAGCTGTGGAGTCGTCCTGGGTAGAAGCCGGAGGGTCCTGGTGGTCATGGCGGCCCGAGGCGGACGCGGACGCGGACGCGGACGGGGGCTCGAGCGTAGAGGCCCGGGACGAGATCGTCGTCGTCGTGTCGGCCGAGAAGGTGATGGTAGTCTTCCCCGCGAGCTTGCCGCGGCTCGCGACGCCCTCTGTCCAGCGGAACAACTTCCCGTAGCCCAGGCACTCCTGCCCGCCGGCTGTGCACTTGTGGCAGTGGGGGTAGGAGCGGTCACAGCGGAGGCGGCGGCGGCGGCAGTTGTGACATGGCTTCGTTGGAGCGTTGAGCACGTCGATGCGGGCCATCGCAGCTGCTTGGTTCTTGCAGGCACAGCTAGCGAGATGCTATCAAGGTGCCCGCGGGAGACCGGGGAACGCGTGGGCTGGCTGTATGCGGCCGTGTCCGTGTTTCACGGAGCGAAAGTGTCCGCGCAGACAGGCCGATACCCAGCTCTCGGTGAACAGCAAGGTTCCTACTCCAGGGCTGCAAGTCGACAGAAGCGGAATTTGAACGACGTGTGGTAACGATAACGTAAAAGGGCAGCGTCAGACAAAGCTTGGTACAGTCAAGAGGCTGCGATGCGTCTCGCGAGAGGGGGTGAGATGGTCTACGGTAGGAGGTGTTGGCTGTGACAGAGTGGTGGTTAGGTGGGCGCAGATACTGCCTCGATTGAGAAACGAATTATCAAGATATGCATGACACGGCGTCCTGAGATTGGTCATCGGCGGGGGGTCCTGCGTGTGTTTGTGTTTGTCATGCGAGATAGGAGTGCGTCAGGAAGAGAGAGCGGCAGATTGGGCGAACGAACCAGTGCAGACAGAGGGCGGGAGGTTCGACACGGAGCTTGGCTGGGTTGAGCAGCGTAGTCCGAACACCAGATCAGAGGGGCAGTTGCGGCGCGGCGGCGAGATGAGACGGTCGATTCGGCTGGTGTGCGACGTGAAGCTTCCATGGACACTCGGTGGCCGAAGCCGCCCGCTGGGTACCCATTCGATAAGCATCGATAAGATGCGACACTAGTCTAACTTTGGCAGCCAAGACACACAGCGTGCATACCCGTCCCACCTTTTTCTGGTCGAAGAACGACGCTCGGCTCGAAGCTTGGTCGGTGTCCTCTGACGTTAAGTTCACAGTCGTGTGTGAAAGCGCCGCTAAGCCGGTTTCGGCAGCTAAAGAACCCCACCCTGCGCTGGTCCAGCCAACGACAGCCAACGACAGCAATTGATGTGTCAGCGGTGCGGAATTGCAATTCCCTGTCGTTGCGTTTCGTCACAGGGTCCCCAGTAAATCTTCACTTGTGTCATCATCCAGGGCGTCATCGCAGCGCAGTCGGTCATCACCCAGCAGCAGTTCGCAACCACGATGGCCAGTGTGGAAGGCGAATACAGACTTGTGCGCTTTAGCGCCTGAAACCTGCTCCATCTCCAAGGCCGGCGCTAGGCTTCTCGATTCATATTCCGAACCGAACAGGCGGCTCTGCGTAATGGCTTGCTTGCTTGGCTGGCTAGCTTCCCCCATCAACGTCTCCGCCTCGCCGATGCAGTCGCCGACCTTAGACTCCCGCTCGACATTGACTTTTGTTACAGAAAGCGTGACCAACCTCAATTGGAATTATCGCCCAGAAAGGAAGCCAAGGCGCACGCCATGCCTCCCCTCACCCACCCGCCCCGCGAGCCATGTGAGGCTCTCTCCGGCACTGGAACTGGGGGCCAGACGGTGCCCCATCCCGGCCCGTGTGTTGAGCTGCGGTGCTTGTTCTGTTTGCCTGCCGTCCAGTCGTCACTCCACGCTGGGCCAAGAACGTTGCTGGTTCTAGCCGTGTGCAAATCCTGACGCCCATTCTCCACACTACAAGGCCACCCCCATTAGAAATTCTCTCCTTCAAAGGAACCTTGGCTCTTTGTTTGTGACTCTTGATGTATTGTCTCTGGGCCATATTTAGATCCGAGGGTCCTGTTACGCCTCGTTATCTTGACCCGATGTCCATTATCTGCTTCCATGTTGTCAAACATTGTATTTCCATGACCTAAACATCATCCCGTCCCACGGACAAGTGTAGACCGCCAGCGAGTACTTACCCACCTTTTTCGACCGTCGAGCATCGCATAGAATAGACACAGAATCAATGACCCAGAACGACACCGAGCGGGACGCCGGGCCTGACGGCGAGGCTACCGAGTTTGATGTCGAGTTTCTTGGTCGGCAGCGGCCGGCTGTCTTCAAGTCGCAGTGGTCCGAACTGGGCTTCTGCTTCTCGCTGCTGGGATCAATGTTGATGGCGGTGAGCTCTCCTGTTATTCCACGCAACTCATTCAACAAAATACTGAACTTCTCACAGGAATACTTCGTCAGCGGCTTCCACATCATCCTTCCGCCGCTCGCCACGGAGCTCAACATCCCCGCGGCATCCCAAACATGGCCGTCGAGCGTCTTCTCCCTCGTCACGGGCGCCTTCCTGCTGCCGCTTGGTCGGCTGGGTGACATGTACGGCGGCTATCTGACCTTCAACATAGGTCTCGCCTGGTTCTTCCTCTGGTGTCTCATCGCCGGCTTCAGCAACAACTATCTCATGCTGATCTTCTGCCGTGCTCTGCAAGGCCTGGGCTCCGCAGCTTACCTGCCTGCGGGCATCATGCTTCTCGGCAAGACCTACCGACCGGGGCCGCGGAAGAACCTCGTCTTCGCGCTCTACGGCGCCTTTGCGCCCATCGGCTTCTTCTTCGGAATCCTCATTGGCGGCGTGTCCGGCCAGTTCCTAAACTGGCGTTGGTACTTCTGGCTCGGCAGCATTGTCCTGGGCCTCATCACCGCAGTGTCGTTCCTGACGATACCGCATGACTACCGCGACAAGCGCCGCGAGGTCCGCATGGACTGGTGGGGTGCCATGACGATCGTCCCCGGACTGCTGCTGGTGGTCTACGCCATCACGGACAGCTCGCACGCGCCCAACGGGTGGGCGAGCCCGCAGATCCTCGTTACCCTGATTCTGGGCCTCGCCTTCCTGGTGGCTGCCTGGTACGTCGAGAGCCGCGTCGCCGCGGAGCCGCTGCTTCCCGGCGACCTGTTCGCGCCCAAGTCCATGAAGACGCTGGTGGCGGCGCTCTTCTTCGCCTACGGCACCTTTGGCCTCTTCCTCTTCTACTCGAGCTTCTACATCGAGACGGTGCTGCACGTGTCGCCGCTGTTGACGGCGGTATGGTACGTGCCCCTCATTGTAGGCGGCGTCATCATCGGTACCGTCGGCGGTTTTACGCTGCACCTGCTGCCCGGCCGGATCCTGCTCGCCATCTCGGGAACGGGCAATGTCATGAGCGTGCTGCTCTTCGCCATCATCCCCGAGAACCCCAACTACTGGGCGTACGTCTTCCCGGCCATGGTCTGCGGCACCATCGGCATCGACATCACCTACACGGTCAGCAACGTCTTCATCACGACGAACCTCCCCGCCCACAGGCAAGGTCTCGCGGGCGCGCTCATCAACAGCCTCCTGTTCCTGGGCATCAGCTTCTTCCTTGGCATCGGTGACGTGGTTGTAGGGGAGACGAGCCACCTCGGGCCGCGCAAGAGCTACCAGGCGGCCTTTTGGCTGGCCACCGGCGTCGCGGGCGTCGCCTTGGTGCTTTACGCCTTCGTCCAGATCGGGTCCGCGAAGAGCGACCTCACGATGGAAGAGCGCGAGCAACTCGAGGCCGAAGCTCGACAGCAGGGACAGGCGGTGCCAGTTTCCGAGAACACCACGCACAGCGCCGGCGTTCAGAACACTTCGGCGACGGCGACCGACACCGACGCGGAAAAATCAAAGCTGCCAGCGCCGGAGGGCCAGGTCCCGGCGAGATGAGGACCAATGCGTTGATGAGGGCTTGACACGAGCGCATAATGCCTTGCAAGTTAAAGAAATTAATCAGAAGATGTGGAGAGTCGGCAGGATATGTCTTCCCACGTCGCATCAGAAGGCGATGATCAGTAACCACAACGGACACCCAGAGTCGCAGCGCAGCGGCGGCAACTTTTGCAGATCAACGGGCACGAAGACTCCGCCAAGGACGTGTTGCGAAAGCGAGGCAGCGTCGTATCTGTAATGAGGAGGCTTAGAAGGAGATTGCTGCCCGTGGACCGCGGCTCCAAGTTCGACAGCGATCCCGCGAGGGGTGGAGGCCCTTCCGGCGGAAGGTTGCACTGCACTCGGCGGTTCCCAAAATAATCCCGGACCCCCCCACCACTACCAATCTGCCCAGAGGTGCCATGTGGCAGCGGAAACGACTGGTTCACCATTTCTTCGTATTGGCGACGAGGACTAGAGATTGAGCTGCCCAGTTGTCCAAAACAGCCAAGACGATCGTCTGTCAAAAAGTGTTGGGAGCAGCCCAGGACTGCAACTGTCTGCTTTCCGAGATAACCGTCTTGGCAAACCGCCTTGGCATTGTCGATTCATTGCTTCAAGAGAGGCAAATGTTGTTTAGTACATTTAGCAGCACGGCCTTTGTCGGAGCCGACCAATTTTGCATATTGCATCCGACTCGTTGGGGCTTCGAACACTACGCAGAGGGCGCTACTCGGTGGGCGCCCGAGGTAGAAACGGGACGGAAGCACGAGGTTGATTAAGGACATGCTGGATTTCCCCGCCACTTACAATGTTGTAATACCGAATAGACTGTGGCAAGGGTTCAGAGATTGGACAGGGCCGCGCATTGAAACATAGATGACTGTAAAAAGAGTGGGAAAGGAGTTGCATAGTAAGAAAAGAGGGGCCGGGGTCCCATCGGTCGCCCAACACATCACCCAATCTATTGTGTGCACAATCTCTTCAAAGTTTCACCTTTCCAATATTTCGTGACTGACAACAGCGACTCTACACCCTCTTGGGGGCCGCATTATGCCCGACCAGTACCCCCATTCGTGGACTCTCATCCCGTCGGCAGTGCCATCCCCCACCTAGCCTTGCACGTTGCCTAAAGTTATAGGCACCTGGTAACCGTCCAGTGTCAGGGTCGTCTTGTGGGCTGACGCAGAGTGGTCCGTGTGCGAAAGCTTCCGAGTGGAAGGAACTGGTATGAAGGACCCTCCCGACGTAAGGACACCGATCAGGGGATGTTGGCGCCGATGAGGACGTCTACTCCTTTCCAGAAACGGGTGTCCCAGCGCCAAAAAGTTCGACATTCGAGCGCTAAGGAATTAAGGTAGGTGCCAACAAACGACATGGCATGACTGCGAGTCCTCGGGTAAATAGTAAACAGCACGCTCCCACCCAACAGCCAGCACCACGAGGCCCAAATATTGAGGTGTCATCCAGCAGCCGATTTGCAAAGTCCCAAAAACCGTGGTACGCATCTGCTTGGAATATGTTAGGAAGTACCAGACAAGGACCCAGCATCTCGCGATTCATAGGGATTTTGTGTAATATGCGAGCTGCCATCCTCAATCTCCGACTCCCTGTCAGTCGCCTCGCCAGTCGTTGTTGAAAAAGTTGAAACGAGACCGTTGGCCGCCGTAGCGACGTATACACCCCCGTCAATGCCAAGAAACCAGAAAGGCCGAGGCTCCAGCTGTAGCCAGCGCCTCCGAGACCGTTGCCCGGATGGAGGCTCGAAACCAGGCAAAGCTCCTCTGGTTTTTGACTGCATCCCGCGAGTTGGGAATCTGATTCCTTTGGGGCCAGCCGTGAGACATTGGTTCATGCTGGATCAGGGAATGGAGCCCCAAGTTCCGGGGACCAGCTACGACGTCGCCGATGGACAGGAGGATCAGGCCTCGCGACTGCGGCGTCTACACTACCTGCATCTGCTGCTAACAGCTACAGTGTTCTGAATCCGGCTGGTGACGTTGGGCCCCCCCTGCAGGTACTGGGTCCCCCCTTTCTCCAGAGTCTAGCTTTCCTAGCCAGTGACAGGGGAAGAAAAAAAAAGAAGTTGGAAAATCTCCTGCCATCCTGTCATGTCCACATTTTCCACTCCACGATCCGGTCAACGCCCAGCTGCCATGACGCAGGGGGCACTTGACGGGAGGAAAGAAAGCGGTCCGCGGACGCACTTAGCGCGCCGCTGTTGACCGGCACTATGGCATTGGAGGGTGCGAGTGACAAGCTGCATGCACGCCGCAGAGAGGCGCAGATTGGTGCGACGACCTGAACCTGAAGCTCTTAGGAAGGCCAAAGGAGCGCTGAGCTGTGCCTTGCAAGAGACGCGGGAGCCCACGACGAGACCCATTCCACTCGAGTAAGGATCGGTCACACAGCGCCGGCGGAGGCTGTCAGTCAGGTCAAGCGCAAGAAAGCCTCCGATCCTACGGCCAACGAGACGCATCGCTCACCGCGAGTTGGTGCTTGCCCGTCCTCGTCATGTTGTCATGTTGGATGGAGAAAATACCATATCTGAGACGAATCCCCGACCCCACAACTCTACCTGATTTTAAATTCAATGTACGCCGGGACCCACCCGCCTCCCGCGCCATTCCCCGTTCGGTGCCCCTGGCCCCCCACCGCACCGCCGAACTCGACCTCGCCCGCCACCCCGGGACATCCTCCGAAGGTGGACGACGGCCAGCAACGGATTAAGACCAATAATCCCCTTGACCGCACCGCTTCCAGATCCTTCCTAGCCCTCTCGCCCGATGCCACGCTGCGTCTGCTTTAGTCCAGTGTATCTGCGCGGCCCTGCGGCATGTGGGAGAATCCGGCCGCCCAGCATTAAGATGTTGGACAGAGAGAGATTCGCTACTGCCCCATTCAGAACCTGCGCACCCACGCAAACGATTCAACAAACTGATGATCACAATCGACGAATCCACGCCGTGACGTCTCGACTCGCCCAAACTCCATCGTTACCCGATGCCATCCAAGATTCATCAGCCCCGAGACCACTCCTCATGGCTGCCTCTCCACTCCAAGTCCTGGGTTCGAAAGTCCGAGCCTCCCCCTTTTTGCCGCCCATCTGGCCCGTGAGTAGTCTAAGAGCCCAGGGAAAAAAATAAAAATTCATCAGATCAACGTCGCTTCGCGATACCCCGGCCCCGACTGCCAGCCCGTTCCCTCGGTCCATAGTGTAGCACCATGGTCCCTCCTGCACCCCTGTCCGGGCTGTCAATTATTGCCAGACTTCATTTCGCACCTCTACTGCCCACGCTCACCCTCCCATCCCTGTCCGTTTCCAAACGTCAGTTCGCCCTGACTGGCTTAGCCGCTCTTGGCAGGAAATCGAATAAACGACGTCTGGCCTCGTTTCCCCTGAACGAGCAAACAAACCACCACCGGCTGGCGTTTACTCACTACACCGTGCCTCGCAGGATGTAGAGTGACCACCCCTTCCCCGTTCTGGCACCTCTGCCTCCCTTGTCCCGCGGCGTCTAATTCGTGCGATTTTCTATAGGTTGCGGTCCCCGCGGGGCCTGATTCTCTGACACCGGTACTAGTTGGTGTATGCGCACCGCCCACAGACAGCATAGAGGCACTCTACTCTGTACGTCCATACGCAATATGCTTCCTTTTCAAGCTTGAACCAGGGGGGGGAAGGCGGGCTCGCATAACCCTGTCGGACCTGTGCGTGATTGAGACGATGGGCCACCTGCTCCATCAACCATCAACAGCTCCGTGGGCGTGGTTCCTCTCGCCAAGGACCTCCCGACATTAGCCCAGGCCCAGAGGCACACGCAAGTGCCAAGAAACCGTCGTCGAGGAGCCTCCTCCTTGGTACGATTCCGCCAAACCTCTCTCTCTCTCTCTGCAATGGCACCATGATCCCCGCCCAGACCAGGGGAGCAGCGAAGCGGCTCACGCGTACGCAAGCCCACAGGACAGCTCCGCGCAGGAGGTGGGTGGGCAGAACGGATGACACGACGGGCGGGCTGCCCAAGCTTCTCCAGAGATTGGCCTTGGGCTCTTGGCAACCCAGAAGCTTGGCCAAGAGATCGTCTCGAACCCCGAATACATAAGAGCCGTCGTAGTCCGACCTCCTCGTACTTCTCATTCTGATCCTCATCCCGCTTCACTTCTTCAACCTTTCAGCTCTCGCGCTCTTTGCATTCATTCTCTAAATCACGCAACATTCCATTGCATCCTTTCGTTAGACGTAGATCGTCAACACATTCTTTTACACTTCACCACCCACCACAAACCAGCACTTTCTGCAGCTTGAAAAGATCAAATCCGTCAAGATGAAGTTCAGCATCACCTCCTCCATCGCCGTCCTGGCTGCCCTGGCCAACGCCACCCCCACCCCCACCATCGTTGACGGCTCCGCCGTCGACCCCCGTGCCGTTGAGAAGCGCGCCACCATCACCGACGCCTGCGACCTCGGCTACGGCGCCGGCACCACCGGTGGCGCCGGCGGTACCACCACCACCGTCTCCACCCTGGCCCAGTTCACGGCCGCCGCGACCTCCAAGGACGCCGCCGTCATCGTTATCAAGGGCGCCATCACCGGCTCCGAGAAGGTCAGGATTGGCTCCAACAAGTCCATCATCGGCGCCGCCGGTTCCTCCATCACCGGCGTCGGCCTGTACGTCAACAAGGCTGAGAACGTCATCCTGCGCAACCTCAAGATCTCAAAGGTCAAGGCCACCGCCGGCGACGCCATCGGCATCCAGGCCTCCTCCAAGGTCTGGGTTGACCACTGCGACCTCTCCTCCGACAAGGAGAACGGCAAGGACTTCTACGACGGTCTGCTCGACGTCACCCACGCCTCCATGGCCGTCACTATCTCCAACACCTACCTCCACGACCACTACAAGGCCTCCCTCGTCGGCCACTCCGACTCCAACGCGGGCGAGGACACCGGCAAGCTCTACGTCACCTACGCCAACAACTACTGGAAGAACATTGGCTCCCGCGCCCCCTCCGTCCGCTTCGGCAACGTCCACATCTTCAACAACTACGAGGAGAACGTCGAGACCTCTGGTGTCAACACCCGCATGGGCGCCCAGGTCCTCGTCGAGTCCTCCGTCTTCTCCGCCGTCAAGCGCGCCATCACCTTCCTCGACTCCAAGTCCACCGGCTACGCCACCGTCTCTGACGTCGACCTCGGCAACTCCACCAACGACGCCCCCAAGGGTACCTTCAGCAAGCCCGACTACTCCTACACTAAGCTCGGCTCTGCCAAGGTCAAGGCCTCCGTCACCGCCTCGGCTGGCCAGACCCTCAGCTTCTAAGCTTGTCGTCCATAGGAACAGGTTGGAAAGCAGTGCCGTGAAGAGCGCTGCCGGTTGCAGGGCCTTGGGCCCTCGGCTGGAGAGTACTATGAAGAAGTACGAAATTCTTGTAAATATTTTCAAGGCATCAGGAACGGCCCAAGGTCGCCACTTGGTTCTGTAGATAAAAGTTGCCGGTTTCAACGCATCAACCACCCGTCTCTTATTCGTGAAGACCATGATTCTCTTGTGAAGTATGAGTGCTTGCGAATATGACAGCACACATAGGGAGAGAACGTTATGCATGTTTACAAAGCCAGAGGCGCAGCTATAGGAACAGATTGAGTATGCTGTCTCAATGGTCTAGGTTTGCAAGGAGTCCTCGGTACGGCCCATCGCCGCGCTTTTACATCGGCTTGCAGGCCGGCGGCAGCTTCGGTTCCTAGTTGCCCTTCCTCTTCACCCCCACTTCGTTCCAAGCGTCCCTTACCACCTTCCCAGCCTCGTCGCCGTACATCTCCTCGGCCGTCTCCGTCGTCACATCGGCAAACTGAACAAAGGTACAGCGGGGAGGCACACGGCCAGAGTTCATGGTTTTCCACCAAATGGGACCGGCCTTTTCGTACGAGTAACCACCGAACGCCTTGGCTACAAGGTAGAAAGCGCGGTTCGGGATGCCCGAGTAGATGTGAACGCCGCCGTTGTCTTCAAAGGTCGGGACGTAGTCCTTGAAGTGAGCGGGCTGGGGATCCTTCCCAAAACGCGGGTCGTTGTAGGCGGTTCCGGGCGACTTCATGCTCCGAAGAGCAACCCCCTTGACGCCAGGCATGATGCAGCCTTCGCCGATCAGCCAGTCGGCCTCGTCTATGTAGGATGTTAGTCACACGGATTTCATGGGTAGAGCAGGTGTCAAGCCTTACCAGCCGTTTCATTCTCGACAATATGCTTGACGATGATGCCGAATACGTCGGAGACGTGCTCGTTGAGGGCACCGCTCATGCCCTGGTAGTCCAAGGGGCTGGTGTGCTCCGTGACCGCGTGAGTGAGCTCGTGGCCAATGACATCGATGGTGCCGGTGAAGTTATTCAGGAACTCCCCACCATCGCCAAACACCATTTGCATTCTCTCCGGATCCCAGACTGTACCGGATGATTATCAGCGGCGTCCGAGTACGAAGAGCACAGCAGGGACAAGATATCGGTCGAGGAGTACAAAAGGCGTAGGGGGATGACTAGGGGTGGGAGAGTCGACTTACATGCGTTCTCGTACTTCTTGCCAAAATGCACCGAGCTGACGACGTTCATGTTCTTGTTGTCAATAGACAGCCAACCGAACTTTTCCTTGTACATCTCCAAGACTTTGCCCACGTTGTCGAAGGCGTCGTTGACTGCCTTATCGTCCACAGCCTTCTGACCTTCGACACGGACGACATCGCCGGGCAAGTCTTGCTCATTGTCCGAGTTCTTTGCGTCATAAACGGCGCGATAAGTCGCGTCGGACTTCTTGGGGTCTTTGGCGGCGACAGCAGCGAGGGGCGCCTGGTCCTGGGGGCCCTGCTGGGACTGCTGGATCTTCTGCTGGAGACCTTGCAGGTGTTCGAGGTCCCGTCGGGCGTTGGCCCTGGTGTCGTCGTCTACCTCTGACGACTCCGCGATGTGGCGGAGCAATACGTCGGGGATGATGGAGGGGCGGGAGCGGGAGGACAGCTGGTTGCGCTGGGCACGTGGCCCGCCGAGAATGGCCAGTCGCTCGGCGCGACGGGTGGTGAAGAGTTCGCGGAGCTCGAGAGCCTGTCTCGCAGCGTGACGCTCGTGCTCACTATTGCACTCGGCGTCGGCGATGCCCTTGAGGAGATAAGGAGGGACAACGTAGCAGATGTGGGACATGGTGGGCGACTGAAGACTGGAGTAATATTACTCGTGAATATCTGGATGTCGAGTACTTGTGATAATTGCAATGAAGTGGAGACGAGGTGTGGAGGATTGGGGGTTGAAGAGGGGAGAGAGCTGAAGCAGAGACGGGGACGGGGACGACAGGAGGTGGTCTTTATGCATAGGTGATAGATACCAAGCCAACACCTAGCTGCTTCCTCACGTTGTCGTCAAAATCTAATGGAGGAAAGTCTTGTTCGAGGTTCGTGACCTGCTTTGTGTCAAGGTGGCACACACACATACACACACACCCTTTCCGACCTGGCCATTCCATTTGCTGGTTTGCTTTCTGGAGCTTAGGTGTGCGACATGTGGTTGACTGAGGAATAGGCGCAAGTGAAATGTATACTCAGCCTCGGGAGGCAGCCATGCGGTGCAACCTTGTTCTTCATCCTCGCTCGGTGTCCTATCGGTGCCTCCGCTGCCTAAGTCAAGCAAGGTAATCTGACCAAAAGGTAGGCAAGACATGGTGATGCAGCTGCCGTCCTAACGCCATCCGGTGTGATGGGTTGTGCGACAGGGGTAGGTGGGAGCTCCCAGCTCATACCCCTCTCTCATCAGACAAGCCCGGGGAGCTCATCGTCATATTGCTCTGGGAAGGCGAGGAGGCGGCGCCGCGGTTTGAATCTGCACATTGCTTCACATCTTTCACTTCTTGTCCAGCCATCTTCTGGCAATGACGGAGGTGACGCCAGAAGGCGCCATCGCACGCCAAATGCCCCAGAGATACGGAGAAGAGATGGGCGAGCAGAGCACGGCACAGATGAGATAAGATAAGAGATGCTGCTGCTAGGCGCCGTGCACAGAGGATGTCACCCACATGCCGTGTCCAGGGGATGTGCCTACTGCCGGGGTCTGGAACCTTGGCAAGCCAGCCAGAGACACAGGCATTAGAACAAGGCGAACAGGTCGACCAATGAGGCGAATGTTCCTTTTTCGTCCAGGTCCTCGAACCTGGACAGCCTCTGTGGCGTTTTGCGACAGCCGTTTGGCGTCTGCCGCCCCGTTGCACACGAGTGCACCTCGGTTTCCGCACATGTGCCACTCTACGTCATGATCGGGTGTGACAAAAGCTTGGGCATCGTCAGGAGCACTCTAGGCAAGGTAGCCCACGTCGTCACACGACGCCAGATGCCATGTACCTGTACTGTCTAGAGTTTCGGGAAGTGAACGGCAGGTCTTGATTCAGGCCGCAAGCCTACCTATCTGCCCGAGTCAGTTGCCAGTATACACTACCTACCTACTGTGGCCGATCCAGAGGGGAACCATTTGGTGTGAAGCTGCCCAGTGGCCCAGGACCCACGCCATCTGGCGGGGATTACCGGCGTCGCCCGGGCCGCAGATCGTGCAAGTGCCACACAAGCTCCCGCCGGTCCCGCCATGGCCATGTGCCCCGCCAAAGCCACCAGCCAGGTAAATGCTCACGTAGGCATCACCGGCGGTCTTCATATGCATCTGACGAGCGCAGACTTGACAGAGAGACACTGGCAGTCTTTGGCATTTCGGTGGTCATATGGAAGCAGTAGCCTCACTCTCTAGATTCGATTTGTCAATGTCTAGATCACGAAATAAGACTAGAAGGGGGAGCTGCAACCAAGAATCATTCCGCGACATTGCTAGGAGCGTTATGGGAACCGAGAAAAAACAAAACAAAAAAGAAAACCCCGTAAATGAGTAGAACATGCTGCCAGACCTCGAAAGTAGAACGAGAGGAAGGAAGAAGCACGAGTGAAAAGATAAACGACCGGGCCTACGCCATAGACGCGTAACGTCGCCAAACATGAGCCCGCAGCCCCTAGACCGTCCTCGTAGGCAGTTGCTCAATAGTGACGGTGAACAAATCAGTCAGTGCTGTGTGCACAACGGAGAGACGGCTGGATGCAGTAGACGTAAGTCGTCCTCTTCCCTAATGTATCTGGCAATTTTTTCTTGGTGTAGTCACGGCGACATCGAGGCTCACCACCTCCATTCGGACCAAGGCCCAATACCGATGGCTGCATTCCGTGTAAAGGGAGTAAATAAAAAATTGTAAAAGATCTTGTTCATTTCATCCAGAGAGCTCCTTCCATCTCCTGGGTAACCGATTAGGTACCTAGGCAGCCGGCTTCATCGCCGGAGCAGAACGAGGAAGGGGGCAATCGAGGCAAGGACCTTCCTTTGCTAGTTTGACTCTTGCCCAGAGAAAATGGTGAAAAGCAGAAGATCGCGGAAGGAACAGCCACTGCTTGATGAAAACCTCTCGAACCCTCCGAGTTCCGACCCTTCTCTTCCCGTCTTTTGGACCTTCGCTTGACAAGAGCCTCTGCTTCAACATCGCCTCTCTCTGATGTTCAAACCAACTTTGACTCATCTTCTCTGATTTCCTCCATCACTCCCAAAGCATAAACTCCAACAACGTGAGAACATCCATAATGCCTCCCCCTCCAAAGCCCAACCCGACGGCTTCTAAGTCCGCATCCTCCCAGCCTCACAAAGGCACACAATCCTCATGCCCGTCTCCCACCGCCGCCATGACCAACGCCGCTAGAGTCCCCCCAGTGCGCCTCTCCCCCAACACCACGCAATAATGCTCCGCTACTCCCTCTCCCCAAGAACAATCCACGCCCTCGCCTCCCTCCCCCACGCCGCTCCCCCCGAAGAGATTCTCCGCTGCGCGGCCTCCGCCACCGAGTTCCTCTCATTTATCTTCTCGCCCCCGAGAAAGGCGCCTTCACCGGCATCAACAACGACCCTTCAACCCGCTGGCACCTCCGAGAGCCCCTCGCCCTCCCCTGGCACAAGGTCTTCCTCGTCGCGCAGTGCGAGGCCGCTGGCGGCGACTACGGCGAGAAGCTCTCCCTCCAGGCCCGCAACAACCTTTACGCTGCCCGCAACCGCATCGTCAAGATCCTCGGGCAGGTCCTGCGCGCCTGTGCCGACGTCATGGGCGCCCGCCGGGACGCCGTCGGCCTCCGGCGCACCCTCGAGACCTGGCGCGGCGTCGTCTCCGGAAGCTAGGAGGGGCTGGCGACGGAGCTGCTGCAGGTCCCCGGCATCGGACCCAAAAAGGCAGATGTGCTCGTCAAACACGGCGTCCAGTCTGTACGCCAGCTCGCTGACTTGGAGTTCTACCACATCGAGAGGATTTTATGCCGCAACCCGCCTTTCGGCCAGAAGGTGTTGCGCAGCTTGGCGCACTTCCCGCGTCTTGCACTCGTTATCGACGTTGCCAGACGGGGCGAGGGCATAGAGAAGGCGATTGTCCGAGCCGTCCTGGGTTGTTCGAACCGCGAGATCCCCGTCTGGAAAGAGAAGGCGCCTTCGGTCACTTTGGCTGCCGAGATCCCGGATGGAAAGCTGGTTTTCTTTTGGAGAGGCAAAGTCAAAAGCCTGATGGCGGGAAAAGAGCTCGCGTTCCCCGTCGAGGCGGCGCCGGACCAGAAGGTGTTTGTGTGGGCGAGTTGCGAGGAAATTGCTGGCACTTATGTGACGGGCGAGGTGAAGGTTTAGGACATGGATCACGATATAACTGCATCACCTCAGAGGCTTGGCCATTGGGGAAAACCTTGGCACATCAGAGGCACATTTCTTCTGTGAAAAGCTCTCGTTGCACCATCTACTGGATTGCCAGCAGTCAATTACAAGAGAACATAGGCGGCTTGGACGGATCTGGACCATGGATGGTTGATTCATTAGCGGCTAGCGCGTAACCACCACACATCATCAGCTATCGGCTGCCAAATTCTGCAATTATAAACACTGGCGGCCGCCGCTGTCGCTTCTGCTCCCCTCTTCGCTCCCTAGCAGGGGCTCAAAAAATACAATGCATCTTTGCCCTCACCTTGCGGTTTAGCCGGGTATCGCTGTTGATGATACTGTGGTGTGGTGTTGTCTGCGTGCAAGCCGGACTCTATTCCAGGACCCAATGTCCAAATAATCCGGAGCATGCCACCAGAAAATTGCAAAACAAAAACCCCACTCCTTTCCTTTTATTATCCAACCTTTTTGCTGTTCGTCAATGCCTACCCTCTTCCGTCTCGACTCCACCCGGAACACGGTCATAAACAAACGATTTGAAAATGACGTTACTTGTCGCAACGATGCCGTCCAAATTAGCCATCTAGTCGTCGCGGTTCTTGCCCCTAGCTGAAGGAGCGCGGTGATGGTGCAACATGGGCGACGATGGTCTAGACGTCGACAGTCCCATGCCGCGAACCGCGTCGAGCGGGTCCAGGTTAAGCTTGGTCTCGTCCGTGACCGCTGGCGTGTAGGCAGGGTCGACCATGGCCTTCTCATAGCTCGCAATGGTGATCGGTGGCGGGCGGCCCTTGCGATCAGGGATGCTGTAGAGGTAGGTTGAGGCCAAGACCAGTGCGGTGCCAATGATGAACTGATGATGCGTCAGGAAAGAGCCGTGGACAGAGGGTGGGAGGGAAGGATCCAGAGTACTTACAGTGAAGTTGACTTCGAAATTGAAGAACCACACGCTAAACAAAAAGCTAATAACAATACTGATACTGGCTGCGAAGTTCTTGGCAATGTTGTCGGCATAATTGATGCACAGCGAGGCGAGGACGCCGCCGACGGCCTGGAAAACAATTGCAGTCCAGACCACCCAGTTATAACCCTCGAAGAACCCGTGCTTGGCAATGTCCTCGCCGTCGATGAAGATGACGCCAGCAAGGGCGGGGAACAGGGAGTAGAACGACAGCTGGATATTGCGCGTCCAGACGGAAGCAGGGGTGGCCGAGTCCTTGAGCATCTTCTCGAAGTAAACACCCGCAAGGCCCGAGGCGACAGCGGCGACGAGCACGGCGGACAACCCAATAGAGTAGTTCATGAGCGGTGACGGGTCCTGGTCCTCCTGAATACCTTGGTACGAGGCCGATCGCTTCACGATTTCACCGCCGACGCCTGCAAGGCCGTCCGCAGCGCGCTTGGTGAGTTCACGAGCCACCTCAGCGGCGCCCTCGGCAGCTTGACCCAGCTCGTGTACCGAACGAGGGAAGAAATGATCCGTGGTATCGTGCAGAAGGATGCTGGCGGAGGAAGAACCGGCATGGTTTGCAGAAGGTTGGGGAAGCGACACAATGGAGACTCCTAGGGTCAAGATGAAGAGCGAGATCCAACGCTTCATGCCGAGCGCGCGGCGTAGCATTGTGACAGAGAAGACGGCTGTCGTGAGGATCTGCGGCGCATGCAGGATTAGCATTCCAAGTTCAAACGGAGGGAGCGACAAATTCGGCAATTCCACGCACCTTGAGCTGGTAAAGCACCTGAAAGTGCACCGCGTCCAGGTTGCCGACGGCGACATACTGCAGGGTGTTCTGCAGAGTGTATAGTGTAGCGGGGATCGCAAGCTTCCAGCCGTCGCCGGAGAAGACAGAATTGAAGATCTGTTCGAAGATGACAGTAGCCGGCGTCGAAGGGGCCAGTGTCCGCGAGACCTCAGCGATGGAGCAAGTCAAGCAGATGGACAACTTGATGACCTCGTTGAGGAAGACGGCGGTTGACGTGAAGTATCGGTGGTCGCCCACGGGAGGCATGATGCGGGAGTAGTGCATGATCTGCCATGGCCTAGTCAGCGTCATGTTGCGAAAGGGAAGGCAGCGACGGGGGAGATGCATACCAGAATCAGCGCCGAGTTTTGGAAGGTCAGCTGCAAAAGAACCAAGGCCATTGTCAGTACTCTGCGTCACCAGAAGGCGCGGTCGCACAAGGCTCTGCGCGGGTGGGTGTTTGTGCATACCGTGATCAGGGAAACCTGCTTCATGGACATGCCGAATAGTGTCGGGCCCCCCGCCGGCGGCGCGGCAGCGTCGAGGAGAGCCATTGTGGCTGATGGAGAAAGAATTGAGGATGTCAAAACGGGAGAATTGCCAATTGACGATGCTCGGCTTGTAGATCAAGCCGTGGCTTTGTGCAGTGTTGAGTGGTTATCCCGAGTTGGTTTGCCGCTTCGTTTGTGGATTTGTGTCGTCGATAGGTGGTGTGTTGCGATTTAGGGGGGGACAAAGTGGGTGAGAGTGGGCGGGCGGCGGCGATGGATAGCTTGGCTGAAGCTCTTCCTTTTTTGCTACCCTGGGGGTTTTTTTCCTTATCGATTTTCCTCAGTCAGGGCAGCGAGCGAATCGGGGAAGGATGACGATCTGGAGGGGTCTGGAACAATGTCAGGGCGAGGGCCGGCGTTAGTAACGCTGGACGGTTGGCGAAAGGGAGAAGGTGAAGGGCAGCGTGGCAATGGGCAATATGAGGCAGACGGTGAGATAAGAAAGATGTTCCAAGTGGAGAGAAATCCAGGAAAAAGAAGGGAAAGAAGGGTTGCATTGATGGCGTCGAAGAGGGTTTGGAAGTGTGTCGCGTTTCTCAATGCCCCCCTTCGAAAAGCATGGGACGTTTCCAGCCCCAGTCCACCTAAGGCAACCTGGAAGAGTGTTTCCTCTCCTGGAGTTCTGGATGTGCCGCGTCCGTGACGCAGGTCCCTTCCCTTCCTGAGTGGGCGAGCCGGCCCCTGACGTAACGGAAGTGCAAGGGCAGGAAGGACCAGGGGGTAGGGAGACGACGAGGAAGGACAGCGGCGGGCAGGAAGCAGCAGCAGCGGACTGGACAGACAAGAGAGGCAGGCCAGGAAAGGAGGAAGGAATGTTGGGCAGAAGGGAGGCACGTACCGTCGGACGGAGTCTGGCTGGTGTTGTGGTGTCGTGACTGCAGAAATAGGGACGGAGGCCGCGGTTGCTGCCGGTGCGCTGTGCGGTGCGGTGCTCTGCTCTGCTTTGATTTGCTTTGCTCTCTCTGCTTTGCTGGCGGCTTTCCGCTGTCTGTTCTTGCAATGCCCCCCGTGATGCAATATGCTTTGCTCACACTTTCAGATTGCCGCTGTCCGGTGTCCGATGTCCGATCTGCACGGCCACTGTCGTCTCCTGCCTGAGATTCCAGGGTCTCGCAATAATGTGTTTGGAGACAACTACTCGAATTATTGGTACGCCAAAGCGGCGCGTCCAGGTATTTGTGACTTGTTTGAAACTTCAGACTGGTCTGCCTCCTCGGTTGGCAGCGAGCAAAGGTCTGGACCAGAGCTTCAGCTTTCTCGCCCTCTCATTCGTCCGTCGTCTTTCGCCTCGCCTCACCTTTCACACTTCTCAAACTCTCCCGACGGGAAGTCCCCAAGAATCCAAGAGAGAGGGAGGGAGGGAGATGGGCAGAGAACCAAAAACACGTACCTTGAGCCCTTCTCCGTTGAGGCATCCACCTTGTTCGGACGGGAAAGTCGATGCGAGAAGAAACAGCCGAACCACCAGGCCACAGAAGGTTCCAATGCCTTTGCCGGTCCCTTTATCCCAGCTCGTTTGGCCCGGTGTCTTTGATTTTGCAACTGCTCATGCGCTTGCGACCAGAGAACGGCCACACGGGGGACGCAATGCAAACGCAGAGCCGCCCACCACCGGACCCTTTGAGTCCAATGATTTCAGTCCGATCCAAGCCCGCTCAACCGCCCGAGCGTGCCGCCGTGCCGTCTAAGCCCGCCGTTTGCCTCTCGGCTTGCCTGCCACGATTCTTCCTTACCTATGCACAGATGCCCAGCCTACGGGATAGACGGCTGTTGGAGTCTTTTGCCCGGCCTGTACTGCGGCGCGGTGCACCAACCAGACGTCAATACCAAGAGCTGTACCCGATATCTAAGGCCCTGGGCCTCGATGGCAACAAGCGAGCAAGCATGCAAACCAAACGGGTCCCGAGCAAGCTGGACAAGTCAGCAGTCGCACCACCAAGCGAGCGAGGGCGAGGCACAGACACCACCGCACACCGACGATCAGTGATGCCACGACAGGGATTACCTTTGTTTTCAGCACCCTTTTTCCTGTTCCTGTCCTTTGCCCCTAGCCGTCAGTGAAGATCCGGGGAAGCTATTGGCAAAGCTTTGTTGGGTGACAGCAAGGCGAACTACCTAGGCAGGCCGCAAGACATGGCTCATCATTTTCAGACATCGATCGACCCACGATACTCAGCCCCTCTTTATGTCGTCCACGACTCCCATCTTACCCTCACCGATCATTCCATTCATCACCATCATGGGGGCGTGATCAGGAGTCCAGCAAACAAGCCTAGCCATCTAGGGCCGAGGGCGGGGAAACTCCCGATGGCCTCTGCGCCCCCATGCACAGTGAACTGTCCTGACTGGATCTGGCTCCAGCATGGCGTCACCTGGTACTTGGCCGAATCATCACGTCAACCTATTAGCCGAGACATCCAGCCATGGCAAACAGCCCCCCCCAAGTGATCCTCGAAGGCGCCATCGAGACAATTTCACTGGACCAAGACATGCTACCGCAGCCGCATCCACCCTCTTCCGTCATTCCACTATTTCCACCGTTCCAATCGGCGTCTAAAACACTCCTTCCCCGCGCAAATCTCCCACCGCCCACGTCCAACAGCGCCTAGCTCCATGACCCGCCTAAACGGACCGCTGGTGTGTGACCCTAAGGGTGCCCAAAGGGTGCTGATGGCGTTGTAGCGGCTGGGAGAGGCGCATCACGCGGGGTCCTAGGTATTCCATGATTTTCAGACGGCGCATCTCCGCGTTAGGAATCACTGTGCATTTGACAGCTGCCATTTCATTCGGACTCGGGACGGCGCAACGTTGAGACTTTCCCGGATCCCACGGAATGATTGCCACGAGGGCTGGTATACCTAGTGCGATCCCATTTCAACGCTTCCTCAAGGTTTCTCTTCTGCTATTGGATCGCTCTTGAGAAACACTTCACCGCCCGTGTCTCAGGTGGGATGGCCCGATCGGGTGCTGTCCGTTCGGTCCTCTGATGTTCGGTCTGGCCAAGAAATGGCATGCAACACCTCCACGTCGAGCTGTCATGACCCTAACGAGAAGACGGTTCCAAACCTTCCATTCTCCACTGTACTCTGGATGATCTTCGGCATAAAATCATGTATAGCAGGTTTTATTGTCCATGATTCTCTGACACTTTCGGTATCAGTCATTTGTTCCTACAGATACTAACTCTTGCAAGATAGCACAAGTCATGACCGTGAGCTTGTTTTGGGGTTGACATTCATTGGCCCAAGTTCCCATCAATTTTCCAAACTTTACCTCAACTACGACCGGCTTGCTCGGCAGCTTCTGTTCTCGAGCGCAGGCGCACCGATCAAACCGATCAAACCGGACCTTGACCTCTCAAGTTTACGGCACCAAATATTAAATCCTCCCATCTGCAGGCCATTAGATGCATACACTTGCCGTCATTTGGCCCCGTTTCCACTAAGAAATACTTCTCAGGGACTTTAATGTGATCTCTCTCTTTAGGAACCACTGTGCAGTGAGGTAATCTGAAATGTCCGCTGCTTCTCTATAGTTCAATAGTACATGAACTTGGCCCTCTTCTAATTTCACGGGACTATCCTCGTCAGGAGATAATGGCTTGCACCCATGGGACTCAAAGAACGATTGAAAAGGCAAACGAACCTCGCGGCTGTCTCTCTTTGTGACCTTTTCCAACAACCTTTACGTTCAGGGCCTGTTACACACACGTGAATGATTCTGGGTCACGCTAGAACAGTTCCATGAGACGTTGTGGACAGTTAGTATCTTCGTTGTTAGCCAGCATATGTTCCGCAAACGCCCATGACAGTTCAGAGGAAGTTCATTAGCAGCCAAACCTCATCGGACCGGTATCATCGAGCCTCCAGACTTGGTCACAAGTTTCTGCCCTGTTGCAGATCGTAGCCTATGTTGCATATAGCTTCGAGTCGCGATTGTGGGTTTGCTTGATCTATCGAGCTTAGCCAAGCAAAAGGTGGGCAATGGAGCTGTACGTCGATAAGGAATGCTTACTGCAGATATTCCTGCAGGGTTCTGACGTGCATGGTAATCACACAATCCGCCCTTGGGAAGAAATGAAAAGGAAACAATGTCTGTCTTGCTTTGAGCAAATGTCTCAAATCAGGGCTTAAGCAGTCAGCACGGCGCCAACAGATTGCCCTTGATCGCGGTCCGCCTTGCATGATGTGTACAAATACAGCAGTTGTGATTGGTAGCCTTCGAGAACTCAGCTGTTTCTTCCCGCCGCCACCGCTTAGTCTCTCGAATGTTACGTTGTCGCGAGATTCTCTTGCAGGGAACATGAGCTTACTCTGCTCTAGCTCAGGATCGGTTATGCACCTCAGGGTCGGGTAGCACGGAATTGCGAGAGACCCCATGCTTCAGGCTCCAGACTAACTACCTACCCATCCCAGCATAGCTCACAAAGGTATAAATATATGTTATACGCCCAAATTACAAGAGGCTGTCCCAGAAATGGGCCTCTTTCTACACGTCGAAGACAGTTCGGTTCTCACAGGATCAGCCTACAGTCGGAGCCATGCAAGTATCAAAACTGATGTTGGCGGCTGCTTTGGCAGCCAGCCACGTTATTTCTGTCGTTGCGCAAGACTTGGGCGACGCCGCCTCAGTAGTGGAGCCAGAAAGCTTCAACGTTGCTGAAGCACTCTTGACGCACGGCATTGATGTGTCTGAGATCCCCGATCTGACTGGCGTCGGCAAACGGTCAGAGATCGGGTGCTCTGCAGCTGTGAGTGACCACTTACTTCTAGCAATGATTGAGTGAATACTAACATTCGTTTCTCATATGCAGTGCGGCTCACTGCAGTTCATTTATGGCGACGCCGCCGTCGAGACGAGAAATGAGACGGCATACACCGCATTTGTTAGTTCGTACTGGTCAGCGAACCAGGCTGAGGTCAGGCCTCACTGCATCTTCAAGCCGTCCAAGCCAGAGGAGGTGTCAGTAGTGGTTCTTCTATCTCGGCTGACGCAGTGCCCCTTCGCAGCCAAGAGCGGCGGGCACGCTGCGATGGCTGGGGCGTCCAGTGCCGAAGGCGGGATTACCATCTCGTTCGTGAACATGAAGGGCATTTCGTTGTCTGCTGACAAAAAGGTTGCCTCGATCCAGCCTGGGAACATCTGGGGCGATGTTTATGAGGAGCTGACCAAATCTGATCTCACTGTCATTGGGGGACGCTTGTACAACATTGGTGTCGGAGGACTCACCACCGGAGGTAAGTTGCTGATAGTCGAGGCGATGTTATGGTAATGCCTGGCAGTTTCAGCGCTGTCTTCGACCAACCCATCTTCCAGGGCTTGTGTGTGCTGACTTAATCCTAGGTGGCATCTCCTATTTCTCAAGCCTCTACGGTTGGGCTTGTGACAATGTCGAGAGCTACGATGTACGTCAACTATCTCAAGGTCACATACATGAGCTTACATGGACAGGTGGTAATCGCAAGCGGACCCATCATCCGACCGACGGCAACCCAGTTCCCGGACCTCTACTGGGCGCTCCGCGGCGGCGGGAACAACTTTGGCCTCGTCGTCAGCTTCAACCTCCTCACCCATCCGCTACCCGGTGGTAGCATGTGGGGCGGCTCCAGGACCTACTTGGAAAACAGCTTTCCCCAGATCACAGAGGCCTTCGCCAACTCCATCGCCAACGCGGAGGAGGATCCCAAAGCCGGTATGTGGCACGTGTACATCTACTCTAACGGCACCAAGCTCTCGTCGACGACGCTTTATTACTCGGAGCCGGATGGCGGCAATGCCGACTTCTTTTCTGAGTGGAACGCCATTCCCGCCGTCTCAAACACGACGCAGAACCGCGTTGTTGCCGAATTCGCCAGAGAGGGTATGGAGAGCTCGCCGCCGGGCCTGCGGGAGATTTACGCCGTCATCAGCACCAAAGCAAACATCGAGATCGTCGAGCTCGCCCGCAACACCTACTTTGAAGAGGTTCTCGCTGTCGCGGACGTGCCGGGCATTGTACCCGCTTTGGTGATCCAGGGCATCACCGTGCCGATGCTGAAGCACATGCAGAAGAACGGCGGCAACGCCCTCGGACTGGACACCGAAGACGGACCGTTCTACATCGTGCTGATCTCCATCATGTGGAGCAACAAGGAGGACGACGATGCGGTGTACGGCTTTGCGTCGACGCTGTTAGAGAAGATCAACGCCGGGGCCAAGGCGCGGGGGATGGACAACGACTATATCTACTTGAACTACGCCGGGCAGTTCCAAGAAGCCATCAGCGGGTACGGGGCGGAGAACAAAGACAGGCTGAAGGGTGTTGCGAAGAAGTATGATCCGAAGGAGGTTTTCCAGAAGCTACAGCCTGGGTACTTCAAGCTTGATCGCGGGCCGGTTTCGGACCCGCGGTTCTTTAACTGGTAGTTACGTAGAATTAATGACCCTTGTTATGAGACACAAGCGTTCTTGCCTCGAATGGCAGACAAGTTCTACGTGATGCTAACACCTAGAGATAAAGGACGCCGAAAAAGGATTGCGCATGGGTGACGAATTCATGAAACTTCCGTTTCCCCGGCTACGAGATCGCGATCTGGACGAGCCACCATCCCCAATGTTTTGGGAGCCGTTTGGTGTATCGCTGTTCGCCGCTTCTCTGTCAGGTAGGAGAAGATGCGATGTGGTGCCCGCGGTTTCTACGTAGCCCTGTTCTTCTCCGGACAACTCTGCGAGATTAATCGAGCGAAGATACTCATTAATCTCTCCTGCTATGGTGGTAGCCTCGAACTTAGAACGCGCCGCTGTGCTTTCTTCCATCGTTCCGTGAACATTTCTAGCTGGGGTAGGTGTGTGGACTACCGTAGTTGGAAGAATCTGACGTAGTGATCTTGTTGTTACATGAGCCTGAGCTTGGAGGTCATCTGTGGTTTGGTCTGGCAGAGTACGGACTCGTCCTTGCATTTCCACTGGAAACCACCTCTTGTCAGGAGGCGGTCGTAGACAAGGTCGGTGATGGTGTCCACCTTCTGAAGGATGAGCCTCTCACTACCGTCACCGAGCCTCCAGTCGATGGAATGGTTCGCGCGGCACGTTGGCCGAGGCGGCAGTGCAACCAAAGCTGAACTCCCGAGACCAGCGGCAAACATTCCCTGAGACTGGCTAACACCTGTTAAAGCTGACCTGAGCGTAACGTATTAATGGAAACACCGGAAGGTAATTGTGGGAGATGCCATCAGACGAATAGTGCAGCTTTCAGGACGCTGTTGTTGATCATAAGCTTCAGGTGGTCCAGCTACGCAGAAAGACACTGTCTGAACTTCCCAAGGTCCTCGGCAGCCGCCAAAGCCCACTGTATCTTCCTTAGCCCGCTCGAAATCACCTCGCGCTGCGAAGCCTTACCTAGAGACTTTTCATAGTTTCAAAGGCTTTTATGAAAATCATCGATAACATCCTCGAGAGTCGAGGAGCTTTGCGTGATTTGGGAACGGAACGATTCGGGGAGGCTTGAGAGATCTAGGCTTCGGAGCTATTGCACGGCGGAAAGAAATGCCTCACACTGCCGTACGGCGAGTTGGAATTCAGACTTGGAGCCGCCCTTATCCTGAAGAGCCTGAATTACCTTAGCGGTAAATTTAGTGAAAAGAACGATGTCCCCAGGACTGGAGCCAAACATCTTGAGAAAGCGTTTCCGCACCACAATAATCTTGGCTACGTGTGGGTCATGTGAAGCTGCGAATGCTTGGGCAAGTTGTGAAGGAACAAACGGACAGTCGTCCTGCCCCGCAGGGGTAGGCCGACCTTCATGCAGATGGTTGCCGTAGATTGGCAGGTAAGGGCATGTCGCCTCCGTCACTTGACTGACAATTGTGCGTGAAATGTGGCTTTTTTCTCTGTCAGAGAACAGTTTTGGTCGCCTTACCTTGGACAACCATGCCGAATACCGGATGATTCTGGTTCGTGGGGCTGCCAAACTGTGCCAGTCCACACTCTCTTACCACTACGGTATGGTCATCCGACCTAAAACTTTGGACAGAAAGAGGTTCTAGATTTCCGATAAATCAAGTCAGTATAAGCCCTCTTGAAATCTGGCTACGAGTGCGCGCATCGGAGGTCAAAACATTTCCGGCCCATGGAAAACGGCTAGCCGCCTGGCTTGGCAATTTGTCTTGTCCCGTAATTACCAGGATAAGAGAGGCGGCAGCAGTCATCCAACCAAACTCGTGTTTACACACTGTGATGATATTAGGAGAATGTGAGCTGTTTGGGTTCGAGTTCGCGAGCTACATGAACGCTCTCGTTGGTCCTTGCTCTTGAAAATGCGGCAGTCTGCCTCATCAATATCCTCATCATAGTGTCACTTGATAAGTAGGCTCTCAATATCTGTAAGTAGAGTATTATATACAAATGAAGAAGGCGCCCAATCGTTATGATTCTTCAATTTTAGAACGTGGGGATATCGCTTGCAAACCCCTTAATGTTAGCGCTTAGAGATCTCAAAGATACCGACACATTCATTACCCGAGCACTGCGCGAACTGCATCAAGACATGCAGTGCATGTGGCAAAGATGCCGCCAATATACCCAGCGTGATGAATCAACCGGGGTCTAATGAGGTATTATTTTTGATGAATGTTATCCTCCGGCATGCGTGCCGAATCGCGACTGATAGCTGTGTACCCCAACCGGATTTCTTGATTCTGCCTAAGATACTCATGAGAAGGCAACCCAATGGTCCTAAGAATTAAACGTATCGCTTCTAAGCAATACTGCATGAACTGGAAACTGCATTATCAGACACGGTTTTTGGAAGCACGTCATAATCCAATAGTCAATCCATATTTTTTTCCAGGAAAAAACACTTTGAGACTACTCTAGGACCCTCTAGTCACCCCTTATTGATATGGCCTGCTCTGCGGCTTGGCATGTTAAGCAACTAATTGCCCTTTTTCCAGTTACACGATCGAAAGAACGAACCCGCCTTCGGCCTGACCATCTCTTACTTTAAACACATCCTTGGAAAGGCTGTGGACCAATTGACTGCTGTATAACAGTGGCCATAGAATTAGCCTCGCCTTTTTTCCTCGGCGTAATACTGGCCTCAATTTAGGCTATTGGAAGCGTGTAGGGTGATCATGTCTATAGAGAGCGGTGCAGTACAGTGACAACCATAACCTCCCCCTATAGCTACGCAAGATGCCTTTAGCCAGCTGCGAATCAGCTGTCCTGATCAGGTCGAATATGCCCTGATCAGGCTTGGCTGGGACGCGATGGATAAAGTAGAGACTCCCAAAGTTCTTGTGTAGAGGTAATTAGGGCGTTAGGTATTACGAAAGACAAAAAGGATGCTCCTTTGAGCGTAGAAAAGTCCGATGAGTATGCGTTTATTGTACGTGTGTGATCTAAGTCCTTTTGTATCTTTGAAGTTTCTATACCCCTGGTTAGACCTTGCTTAGCTAAGAAATCAAAGAAACTAAACGCAAAGACCACCTCAATGAGAGCAGGAAACCCTGCCCTGTTCCACTATCCACCCGGCCATGCAGCAAGGCATGTTTTCTTACTGAGATGCTACGTGAGGCAGGGTCATAAAGATCTTGTGTTACAAAGATGGATATCGGACGCCGGATATCGGCCGGACCCCTAGCGATGGGATTCTTATGGGCCTACCCACGTCATGCGCCAATATGCTTTATTGTACATAGGATAGACTTAGGAAGAACAGTGCACTTTTAGACTGGTAATAACCTTATTAGCAGGAAAGTTTCATTCCAGTACCTAAAGATAGACAGGTAGATTCTCTTAGATTTAGAGCCTCTGAAAGGCTTCCTAGTGATATATATGCCTGAACATCCCCGGTCTCAAATGTTACTCTAGTAACCCTGATCAATCTACTTCCACTCCTTTCCCCAGCAGTTGGAGTCGCCAGCAGCACCGTAGTTGTTGCACGCCGTCTTGAAGCGGCAGTTTTGCAACAACAGTGGCTGCACTCCACCAATACCAGCTCCAGCTGATCCGGCACCGCAGTAGTGGCGACCATCATCAAATTTCAGATAGTTTCCTCCGAAGTTGGCACAAGCCTTCTTCGTAATTTCATCGTTGAAACTGTTGTCGGCATTTTGACAAAGGCAGAAGTCGTATACAGCGCAAGACCAGGCAAGGGCTGGGAGAAAGGTAACAAGAAGGGCGGCAGACTGAAGTTAATATTAGCCTTTGATTACTTTGTTAAATCTTCTATTCCGACTGCTTACTTTGAACATCATCTTGACTGGATTAGAGACGGTTTATTGTCACGACCTTGAAGGGTTGAAAGAGTGAAAGAATAGGTAGAGATAGAGGAAGTCGACTTATTTGCTTGATGACTGACAAATCTTAGTGTAAGAAGAGCGGCTTCCCTTGACCTTTATACACCTAGACTTAACAGTACTTGTCAGTGAGAGATATCTAATGTGTAGCCCAGTCAAGTAAGCATGGCTTATCTTGGCAAGGCGGTACTTATTGCAGCGTGATATATTTGTTGTTATATTACTTAATCTAATTTACCTTAAAGTAGACCTATTTTGTATTTTCTCAGGTTGTCGTGCAATACTTTCATTCTTCGGAGGTGAGCCACGTGCGCCAAGTGTGCCTCTTTGACGGGTAAGCTTATCTGACCATCTGACTCATTGCAAAACGGCGGGCCTAAGAGCACCGGAAGACTTCCTCTTCTAGACACACGCTGGCTGCCACGATCATCAAACAAAAGTCTTCTATTCTCCAATCTCAGTCCTTTTTTCCTTGCACGTAAAAGTTCCCAGGGAGGTTCTGACTCGCATGAGACTAATAAAATGGCTAGTAGGGAATGATATTGGACGGCAAACAGCGCTAAAAATGGGGGCATGATATCCCGAATGGGGTTTGCCTCAATGGTCAGTATGACTGACTTGAGCTTTTAATTTGTGAGCCCCTAGAAAAAGTCTAGATTTAAACAAGAAACAAGCTGAAGCGGCGTCATCATTCCCAAGCCTCAGCTAGCTACCTCGTTTAGCCCTCTTTCCCCCTTTACTTATGCCGCTCAGATTTGTCGGTGTGTTATATGGTTCAGCTGGCGTATTGGCGCGGAAGGTGATCTTAATAATTACTAAATTGGGATTGGTGATAACGGGAGAGGGAACATGATGACAAAGAGACAGAAAGAAAGGGAAGGTACTGGCTATTGGAAGTTCGAGTGAGCAGGGCAAAACATTTAACTACATCCGTCCCTCCATCTCATAACCACATCAATCAAGACAAGGTTCTCCTCCATGTCTGAAAAGCTCAGGATATGGTCCCTGTCACATAACTAGCAATATCGGCTCCCGAAACCGTGACAGCTCGAATAGAATCGAAGTTCGATATCAACAATCTCTTAGCTCCTCCAGCACCCTTTTTAGACAAGTATATCTTCAGACAGGAGCAAGTCTGGCCCTTGAAAAAGAATCCATTCTCACCCGCGCTATGGTTAACTCACCATGACCATCCTAGATGGCGAGGACACATGACTCATGTCCCCTGTTAGGCGTGACCACGGCAACTTCCGGCTTGACAGCGGTGAGATATCAGGTTACTGCAACTCCTAACTGCATCCAGTGCACGTGTGATGGCAAAGGAACCAACGAGAAACTCGGCCGCGTGTGCCGAAATTGGTTGCAAGTGCTCTGGCACGGCAACATAACCGACGATGACTATGCCACCAGAAGTTCAGAGGTCTACTGTGCAACGGAAGGTACATCCCGAACGCGCGTTCGGAAAAGGAAACTGGGGCGGTGCGGATGGGGCAAGGGGAAGTCTAGCGAATTTGAGAATTTTTCCTGCTGATGTTTCTAGTACCAGCCATTATCTAATCTTAAAGATTGTAATATTGCTCCGGACTTCTGGGCCCGTCCATACTTTGCAATTATGCGTGCCGAAAGACTTGACTTCTTCTTCGTGCAACAGAGACTCTGGACATATCGAGATTCGGCACGGAGAGTAGGCATGGCCATTATCAATTGCCCTGATAACGATCGTTTAGCTATATCAGGTCTTCAGATCCCGATTGATGCTCTCTTTGACATCGGCTGCACAATTGGATTCAATCGAGTTCCGTCACAATGCGTTCAGTCCACGCCACGGCGTGTACCAACTTTTGACTCCATTCACCTAGAAAATGTTTCAGGTCGTTCAGCAGCGGACGGATCACCCGCCCCGACGGTTGCGCAAGCTCAAAGCGAAGGATAAGGCAGCCATCACTGCAGGCTTACCGAAACTGTTTTCTGGAAGCACTACGGCATCAGCACAGCACAGCCAAGAAGTTTCTTCTCCCTTTCGATGCTGTTGTTGAACATTGAGGTAATGAGGTCGGCATGGACTTCAAGCCTGGGGATCCTTCCAATATGCCATCAAATCCTACCGATGCTCAATATCGAGTTATCTTAGATAAGAATCTGTCAGATCCGACTGGACACTCGAGGCTGGATTCGCTGTCCGCGGAAACCCGCAAGAGACTCCTCGCTCGATGGCAAAGCCTACGCAACAACCCATCTCTAAACAACCGTATCTTTCAGGCTGGAGTCAAAGAGGTCTCCAAAAGCATAGGAATAATCATGGTCGGTTTTAGCGGATTGTTGAGCCGTGGCTCAGCTGGATTCGAACTCCCTAACGGCTGAACAACCAACCTCGACTGTATTTAAGCCAATTTGCATGCAACATAATTTATCTGAATTTTATTTTCAGAATACTTTAGTGACGGTTGAGTCTCACGATGATTTTCAAAGGGGAAAGAAATCCGATTTTGACGACTTGTCGCATAGGTAGGCCGCAGAACAGGGTTAACAATTGTTGGGAAGCAGCTGACAGGCCCATAGAAAGGTAGGGGTCAATGAGGTGGATTGAAGACTATGCTCAAAGAAGGACTACGGACGTCTCCTCCGAGTGATCAAACTGCAAACACAACATGACAGTGAGTCATGACATTCAGAAAATAAAGGGCAACTTTGGGCTTCTTCACCTCCCAATATCCTACTACTTTATTCTACAAAATACATATCTAGACTCTGCTAGACCTACATTTCTCTTTCTAAGACATATCTTTTATTACTTTCGGCCTATAAAGTCATAGAAAAATCGTAAAGAAAGCTCCTCTAGAGGTCTATTAGGATTCTAGTTAAGGTTAAAGTGTAAGATTTAGGTTAGGATTAGGGATTAGTTTAGCGGTCAGGATATGAAGATTAGTTAGGATTAGATGTTAAGAAAACCTATTTTGAATTTTCTATTGGCTACACCTGGATGGCATGACCCACTGTCGTGTTGTGTCTGCACGTACCAAGCGTGCACGGAGACTCAAAGTTGAAATTGGCGAAGAGACGAGTGAGAACGAGCTAACAAGCACAGTCTACGTCGCCGCTGTTAGCAGCTCAGCGAGGAATGGAGCGGTGGGAGTTGGTGGTATCGTTCAGAAACGCCCGAGACTACAGGACGCCCACGTAGTGGAGTCTTTCTCCTCTACACTAGGCCCGAGATCAGAGCAGAATCTACACAGCAGACAGATGGCAGCGATGGCATACGCGTTGCGCAGATTCTTGCAGGGGATGAAGGGCGAAAGAATTGCGGTGGTGACGAACAACAAGGCGGCAGCGCTTGTACTGAAACGACCCCACCAACAGTCCGGACAAGAGTTTGTACGGTGTATCTACGACTCGGTTGAGGAGCTTCGATAAGACGACAACACCGCGACGATCCAAAGGACGGCAGCTAGTAAAGACGACAAACTCCTCAACTAAGCAAAGGCATAAGCGCTGGAAGCTACTTAGAAGGGATCTACTCCGCAGGCGAAGTGCCCTACGATGAGATTGACAACGTTTAGCGTGGCGCGGTCGGAGTGCTTTATATAGAGGGCGTTGCCCGAAAAAGTGCGAAGACACTCCAAGGGAGTTGACGCAGCGTTACCAGGAAAGCATACACTCCAGCTGTACGACAAGCTTACGTGGAAGGAAGCAACGATTATTGCGTAGCTTATGACTGGAATGGCAAGGCTAAACGCATGTTTGCATCGAATCGACGCTGCATCCCTGAACTTATACGGATGTGGACAGGCGGCAGAAACGATTGCACGCTTAATGTTCCGATGCACGAGATGGACAACGTTCCGAACTGAGATGCCCCAGTGCACTGAGATGCAGAGAAGCAGTATCTTCTTCTACCTGGGAAGCAAGAGTCCATCGGACGACGAGAAATGGAAGCCAAATACGGAGGCGGTTCGAGCAACAATACGGTTCGCACTAGCAACAGGCCGTCTCGACGCAAGGTGATGAGATACGAAGTGGAGGAGACCAACCTGGAACATAATTCTTGGACAACTGGGGTCCCATTTATAAGCGTCTTACTCCACACGGGGCATAGATTTAGTCTAACAAGGGCTGACTCGCTCGCGTCGCCGCGGACTGCCGGACCCATCCCATCCGCGGAGGCCGAAGCCTACCATGGAGAAGAACCACTTTAACAGATGATTCAAGTTCTATGGAGAGAGAAGTTCATCGGGTTCTGATAGACATTGGTAAACTCTAGCTGCATCATGTAGTCTTTTGTAATTAACAACGGAAGGACAGTTGGGAATACATGGATCTTTCATTTGGCACACCACTATGTAGGTACAAGTCCAGATGAACTATTCCCATCTTTGGTCATTGACAGTAGCTTCGAGACTGTTCATTGGAAACTCGCATCCGAGTCAGCTCGTTTTCTCAAGAACTTAAGCATCCAAGGCGGTGCCCTGTCCCTGAGGCTCCCACCCCTGATGCGTCGTTCAAGCAACCACTGCACCGTCATGGTCGCCATCGCGCAATTCCATACAAAGGACACGATCATGCCCAAGGAAAAGACCAGCGAAGAAGAGATGGTGGTCGTGCCGCAGATGGTCATGATCCCAAAATCGTCGATGCCGTCGGGAAGCGCGAAGCCCGAGATGAGGAGGATCGATTGGCAGACAACAAAGTCTACAGCGTTGATAAACTTGAGCCTGCGGTACATGTAGAATGTAAGATCTGGGCGGGAGTTGAGTCTTTTTTGGTACAGGTAGAGGGGGACAGAAATGGCGGCTAGGCCGACGGTGATGTAACCTGTAATCTAAAGGGTTGTTAGTGAGTAATGGAAAAGTTAATATCTCAAACAGAGTTGGTTAGATTTACCCCGTGCGATGTTCTCGCGTGGTCAGAATTGCCCATTGCTATTATTCCGGTTACAAGTCCTGCAATCGAAAACGGTGCAAAGATTAAGATGGTGAAGACGGTCTGCAGCCGCTCGACCTTTCGTTTCGTAGGTTCGAGGAGTGGGCGGTCGATCATGATACATAGGCTCGGTGTTGCCGCCAATACCAAGATTACTGGGTACGCAAGAAAGAATGCAGCAGTCATGGAGACGACTGGCCACTCATTAGCAAACAATAATACATACTGTAACAAAGCTCTTTGGGAGGATGCAACTCACGATGAGCATAAGTCAAAACCACAAACTCATCCTCGTCAATGCCGTTCACTTGATACGAGTTGTCCGAGAAGTCGATGGAGAAGGTATTGCCGGAGCTGGTAACGTTGAGAGTAACGCATGTTGGAATTGTGACGTTGAGAAGGGGGTTGGCCGAGATATTCCTTCGAAGCAATTCATGCAACCCCGGGACGCCTTTTATGATCCAGCAATGGTCCGATGTAGAGAGGTCGTGGAAATGTTCTTGTAGGAAGTCGGTGATATAGAAATCGTCCCACGCGCTAAACGGACAGTCTCGATGAACGGGGGCGATGGTGTCGTTGATCTGTTGACGGTGGGTGGTTGCGGCGTGATTCAAAGATCTCGGAGGTATTCCTGCCTCAGATAGATCTCTCGTAGAATATTTGACGCTAACATCTCCGGAGATATCACCCTGAATTGTACTGGCGTCCGAGACTCTGGGGTAAAGGAGTGCCAGGCTAAACAACAAGATTCGTGGATACATGGCACGATAGATGGTTCGAGGAAGGAGGAGAAACTAACGAGAAAGCCCACCGTAAATGCTCAGGGATCGCGAGTAGATATGTGCAACGGAGCCGTCGGGGATTTTTCTTGTATCGACTCCACAGGGATTTCTCTCACTTCCACAGATGACGAAGCTGAGGCTGAGTTATCGAGGCGCAAATACCAGATATTTACCGTATCTAAGGCCTTGACAAGGGCATTAAAGTTTGTCTCATTACCCGACAAATACGGATTGTTTCGGGTCCGGGTGGAGACTCGGTCTCCGCGGAGCTGCTAGTGCGGGTCCACCTTTGCTAGCGGCATCAACGATGCTATGATCGTCAACGACAACCACCACGAGTAATGTGTATTTGATGTCTAGTTTACTCCTGCTGTTAGAGGCAATGCGGTGACAAGAACTTAAACTGTTGCGACTGCGCCACTCTGATAACTGAAGCGTTTTACAACTTGTTTTCCCCATCCGTCTTCGTATCAAGGCGCAAACCTGGCTGATACGAAGAGCGATTCAGAAGTTCATACAGTCTAGGTCGCCGTTGACACCCAGCTCGCTCAAGAAAAAGCCGCTTACATGAGGGTTTGTAGAGACTACGCATTTCTCTCCCGATTTTCTCCTCGAGGACTTTCTCGAATTTTCTTCAGAGTCACTCCGAGCCGTCTTCGGGGAACCATCTACTCCGCTCAACATCCTTCCCATTCCTTCCGACGTTGAATTTTGGTGGAAGAGGAAACTATAAGTGGTTGATGGTGATGGTTGTCCCGGGAACTTCGGGATGTCATGGCGTAGTTCGGGGAATCGGTCGAAAAAGTCCGGCTCCATCGTCCAGGATGTGAGATCATAAATTCTTTCTATAAATAGCGGTGAGAGACTGTATGTTCCCAGCTGGATGTTCCGAAGGTAACAATCTCGAAAGTCATATGGCCAGACGATGCGAAGATGCTCCTTAAACATATGCCAGAATATGTTACCGCAGTACCTGTGTGGTGCAACAGCGAAGCGGTATCGGAGAGCGGGCCTATACGTCTCGGTCAGATGCTTGTCAGCTCGGAATAGGCGAGGTCATATACCATGCGAAATAGTCGGCCGAGGGATCATGCGAGATTTCCTGCAACGGTCTCCGCGCAATCAGCTTAACGCTCTAGTTTGGCCTATGCTGTGGGTCCAGCACTCACGACTTGAGATACCACGGTGGTATTAGTGCCGACTTCACGAGACTGGGATCGGCATAGGCTCTCATCAGTAGGTGGATGATAAATAACACGGCGAGGCGCTCTGCTTGTCCGCAAGCCGCAAAACAGAGCTCATCGAGTTGTCGAACCTTCCTCCACAGTGGAGTCATCCTGCCAGAGTGGGCAATGTTATCCCAGCCATGAAGTACAGCGTGGACGGGTATGTCCTCACTTGTGTCGTTTTCCAGGTGGAGAACGGTACTAGAAATGACAAGGGGCTCTTTAAGGATTTCATTGCCGGCTTTCCAGTTGTTACAACTAACTTGCGAGCCGTCTGATAGCCGCCGGACTCTCTTTGTTAAGGAACAGCAGCATCTTGAGTGATTGCTTTGCGCTTCAATTATGTTGTTGCTACGTTTTTCAGTCGAAGCAGTGTACGTAGTCGATGAGGCCCGTGACTCGTTGATGCTCATTTTAGGCGTAGTTGCTGGGAAATCCGGCTCAAACATGGAGTCATCCAGGAGTTGACCAATGTCAAAGGGGCTTTCGTTCATTGATCTATCCGCGTAGCTGCCGTTCTGCTTGTGGGGATCGAGTTCCGTGAGACTTTCATGGGGAGGCATTGAGGATGTTTGTGGCGTTGCCGAAGAACCCAGAGTTGAGGGATTGCGGAAAGCCATGCCAACTGTCAATGGCTGCTCATGTAGCGTCGGTACTGCTGGAACGTCATCTGAATCCCAATTTTCAGTTTCTTTGACATGATCGATAAATAATGAGGACGTTGTTCTCAAACAGCTCATCAATTTGTTCCGTTGCTCAGTTACTTTCGACAGTTGCTTCATAAGAGACGCGGTCGTGGCATTGTCATCTTGATGACTGAGCCTTTCAACCAAGCTCTCAAGCTGGGCTATACGTCTTTTCGTCTTTTCGCGGGCGACACGCTGAGCTTTCCGATCGTATTCTCTTTTCTTGAGTCTCTGAGACGTCGCAGTTTGCAATTTCGGCGGAGATCGTACGGTGGTATCTTGTGTAGATGACATCGGAGCGCTGGTCATAATGCTGTTCGGCTTTGCTTCTCTGTAAGCAACACACGTTGTATCGGCACAAGTTCCAAAACGGATTCGGATTCTACGGTTTGAGTAAAATACATCACATGATGGGTGCGTGGTGACGCGGGTGGGGTGTGTCCGATGAGCTGCAATCCCGATGCGGGGAGACTGCATTGGGGAACGGTGCCTCGGCAGCAAGCGGCAGATGGTTTCACTTTTGATGTCAGTACTGACACTTCCCAGTCGACAGTTTGCAGCTCAGCTCTACGTTGGGCATTTAGATTGCAGCTACAGCGAGCTGCTACTGTATTCCTCACACAATCTACGCCTTGCTCTGGGCAATTCGGAGGAGTTCTTAGTGGGGACTATGAGACCGCGCGAGATCTGAACCCACCTGCATGTTATCGTTTTCGGCATGCCTGTAGACTTAGTTTTCATGCTTGAGATCCCTGACATGCCCTCATGTGACCGTGGTCGGACACCCATAACGAGAAAACGCTGCTGGATACGAGGCGCTACAAAACTTACGGAAAAGAGCGTGGTGCTTGACAGAGTCGGTATATGGTGGCTTCATATCAGCCAATGGCTCACCTCAAGTCCCTTCCCATAAACTTGCCGATGAGTAAAATTGGGTGAGATTCCCGTTTCTGGGCGACGATTCTACCAGTATCTGAGTCTGATTTTATTACCAAACGTAGATCTTACTGTCGTCAAGCCCAGATCAGAGCAACGATCTCGGGATGGTATGAGAAGTAAGTATATGCAAGCTAGGAGAATTGCTGGACAACCTGCAGGATTGGGTATAACATCGTCGCAACATAATAATCTTGCCTTTGCAGGTCGGATACATCTTGTTACGATTGGCCATGACAACCATGATGGAAGTAACATCGTAGGTACCTTTCAACTGCTGGAAATTGAAGCCTTCCTCATTTGCAAGTGCGGCCTAGAACGTCGCCAGTACTTGATAGGGGTTCTGTTGTCGTCAACCTGAGGTGCAGGGCTGGGTGATCACTTGCCACAGAATCCATTGCATATTCATTTAATCGACTTTGAGCTACACATCGTAAGACACTCGCTACCAAACGCTACGTGGCCGACACGAGAAGAACAACAGAAGCAGAAGATGCCCGTCAAGTTTAGTTGCAGCCGAGTAGCCGTTGGTATATGATGAATTACGCGCGGGTCTGCTTTCGTGCTGCGCCATGGGTTCTCAAAAACAGGATAGGTTGGTCTCTCGTTGCTCTGGACTTGTCTAGTTTCGCTTAGGCATTACTAACCCCTTCTCAACTTTTCGGATGCTACAGCGAGTAAGGGCCGTAAACCTTTAGTTATGCAGCAATCTGACTGATTCACCATGATGACTTTTGACTATCATTTAGATGTGTATTGTCAGGGGCCTAGACCCACGGACCTATGGACTTACGTGGGGTATGCCGGTAGGCCCCTATTAGTCAGCCATATGAAGGATAAAACACCTTTGTTGGGCCATGTATGGGCAGGCCAGAATCAAATGATGTTACAACACCACACCTACCTATCGTTAAATGCCCTATCGTTGACTTCTTCATTCTGATGCCATAGCCCTCTGACATGTATCATCGTCAATACATCGCTCAGACGAATCATACAAAGAACCGTCCAGAAAACGCAGGAATTCCGTTGAACCTGTACATCACTGTACATCAAATGCTAGTTTAGCATAGTTATTGTATCCAAATTACTTCTTGTTTTGGTCATCTCAAATAGTCGGATTCTCCACATCATGTAGCATGGGGTTTTCAGATGGCTAGGTCAAGCCCGATTGTTACCAGTTTCCAGGAGCCGGCATGCTGCGTTGCATGCGCTAGTAAATCGCAATTTCCAAAATTCAGCTCTCACAAGTTGATTTAAAAACGTGAACAAGCAAGAAGCTCTATTGTTCAGTTCAAAGTTTCTTGAGTACAATTGTTGTCATACCATTCACCCATTTGAAATGTAAGACCAAGCTTTAGGGCCCTTGTTATTGACTAATATTTCGTGGCTCAAGAGACCGAGAAATGTGTCAGAAGAATGCCTTAAATCGATTCGCAGGGTCATATTGACGCCGTAAGCTCACTAGCTTCTCGAAGTGTTCGCCAAATACCTTGTCAAAGGTTAGTCGTGGCCTTTGGTACAAGCAGTTCAGAATTGAAGTTAACTTGCCCCTTTCACATCGTGATAATCAGGCTCAAGGCCAGCAGGATTGATCTCGGCTTCATCAACTCTCGGTCCCAGAATTTGCTTCGGTGCCTCCTTGGAAAGCTGGCGAAGTGTTTTCTCTTGCTCCTCCGAGCCATCTCCTGGACAGCTGAATATGAACAAAAGCAAGTGGTTCAAGTTATGCGATCTGGGCCAGGCAACTTCCGAAGAGCCTCCGATCGGGGACCGCTAGAAGATAGATCGTTTAATAGGACTATTCATAGAATACGACCAGCTTGGACTTACAAATAGAAGAAACTCGAAGACAACCGTGGACATCATTTGTACAGTTTTGTCCACCTCACCTATCTTGTCGTAAAAATCAACTGCCCGAGTGATGGCGTCTTTTTCCAAGTCGGCAACTGCCATAGGTGCATAAAGGGTCTTCATTGTTCCTCGGAGAATCGCCGCATTCCCTATAGTTACTAGATTAGTGGATATTTCTGACAGTTCATCAGGAAGAGATACTTTGCATGCTAAGGATTCCCTTCATGTTCGTCACTCTGGTCCGATCGATTGCACCAGGCATTTGCAATATCCATTCAAAAGCGTCTCGGCCGTGCTTTTCTCCAAGGGCGTCGTAGACATGGAACACAACCGAATCTTCTGCACCAGGCTCGTCCCTCTCAAGTATCGTGAACAGAAGCTGTTTGGGTACCAAGTAAACGAAATAATTAACCTTTGGATGCGGTACGGAGTGATTAAAGGCGTAGATCTTGTCAACCAGCTGCGGCAGATATTTGCGAGGCACTAAGACCATACCCGACCAAATTTCAGTCGGATATGGATGGGCTCGAAGGAGGACCTTGGTGACGACTTGATTAATCGTCAGTTGCGGACCAATACTGACACTGCTTGTTGTACCCACCACCGAATCCGCTGCCGCCACCTCTGAGAGCCCATAGAAGATCGGGCTCTTTGGACGCCATGATGACTGTGCCGTCATACTTGACGACCTCCGCGTCAAGGAAGTTGATTGGATCACTAATACCACCGTATTCAGTGGACATCCACGAAAGCCCACCGTTCAGTATCGACCCCGCGACTCCAATACTCGGTGTACGGGCGGCAGGAACTTCTCGTGCTCATATAAGTGACTGTCCCACTGCGACATATGACGGAGCTTGCTAACCTGAGTACTCGGGGTCCACCCGTTCCATGAACGATACTACCTCAAACCAAGTGGCACTGGCGCCGACCGTCGCAATCTTCTTCACAGAGTCGTATTCCAGGTCCTTAAAGCTCAACATACTGACAATTACATGTTTGGCAGATGGAGATTTGAAGCCATGGCCTCGGATTACAAAGTCCAAGTCCGAGACGTAAAGGAACTTCAAAATGGCGGATAGTTCCTCCACCGTGGTTGGATTGAGTACTACGGATGGATTAAGCTGCTTCTGAATAGCATACGGTTCCGAATGAAGCTTGTAGGAAGGATTGGTTGACGTGATTACTGCTTCCGAGTTCAATGTCTGTATCAGCGGCTTTAGTATAGTGAGCACGTCTGATTGTGTTTTGGAGGCCATGTTGTTCGCGAAGGTGGAATATAGAGTATTTTGATGTATGGCAGAGGTGAATCTGAGATCGACTCCTTTGAGGGCAGCCTAAAACTAACTGAACTGATATGCCCTGGCACCTTTGATCAATGACAGCGAGACTTACTTACGTCTTTTAAATTCAAACTTTGGCCTGTAATTTTGTGTCATCCGAGATTAGAAGAAATGATGTAAGCTTAAGCACATAACCTATGAGCTTGGTGAATTTGGCAACCCGTATACCTGGAACATGTACACAGACATCACTTGCCGCATTGCGCTTGTAAGTTCGTGCACCAGTCTCAGGATCCAGGACTCAGCGTTACAAATCGGACAGTCTCGGAATAAAGGACTGAAGCTTGTTGAAGCTCGGCCCAATAGTGCACTGAAGTCCGCGATGGACCGATCCGGCCAGTAATCGGGGTCCGGCCAAACGTTGATCGTGTTCATGTGAATATTTCGTTGGCCAGTGGGCAGGTAAGAATCGCATTTCTCCATCTCGGTGCTATGAAACTTTCGACTAATTATTCGCATGGTTGTAGCACATGTAGCTCAACAGCTGACACTAACACTTTGATGATGGGAAGAACAGTCTTGCTTCGGGTGATTTTGAGAAAGAGACTACGAGTGCCTAGCCTACTAAGTTCTGGTGATGGTTTTAAGACACGACGGCATTGAAATCATTTGTTGGGTTGCAGTCAGCTAGCATAACTATACGACTCATAGGTCAAAAACAAAAGGACCATCCATCCGCGAATGAGTGCCCTTGTAATCGGGCTACTGGAGCCGCCTCCGCCTGAATGAAAATGAATGTGACGCGACCTCGAGCAAATGCCGTGAGTTGTAAGCAGCTCGTGTTTTCGTCGTCCATTCAAAGAGCGAGGGCTTGTTGTTTTCTTCAGATAATAGGCATTCTTTGTAAGCTTTGCGAGAGCAAAAGCGTTCTGCAAGCATTCTGCAACCAAAGAACAAAGATCATTTATCTATTATCCTTCCTGTAGTCGCTAGCCACGTGTTCGTCACTATGCGTTACTACCATCATTGTAAGACAAACACTGTGCACCAATTCCGAAAACCTGGAAACTGTACAGAATGGAAAGTTACATATCAAAAAATGCTATGCCTCCGTCATCATCGGAGCTACTACTACCTCTTCCTCAGGATCTTCAAGGTCAAACCGCACTGGTAACGTTAGCTTTGGTCTACCTGTTTAAACGAGATTTCCTCTGAAAGTCGTGCTTTTGCACAATTCAGCCCAAAGCGCAACAACGGAATGGTGTTTTAAATCTTATGACGCTGATGAAGTGATTCCAGCGGCGCTTCCCGGGGAATCAGCCGAGCGATTGCTTTCTTACTTGCCCGTCGCGGGGCAAGCATCCTTGGAACTTGGTCCCCAATAGCATCGCTGGAACAGATTCAGTCACTTGAACGGGTAGTGAAACAAGTGTACAAGACAGCGGACTTCGAAGCACCCAAGATCATTGAGCTGGCTGCTGGTGTGCTTTACCTGAATTTCCTAACCTCGTTGCCAATAGAGTTCGGGATTAATTTGGCAGCAAGCTCAACATCATTGTCAACAATGCAGTGTATTTCGGGACGCGCCCTATGGGCGAGCTAGATACCGAATACATTCAGCGAATACTCATCGGCAATGTACAGCACCTCGTTCTTCTGATGGATCGGCTCCTTCGGGATGGGTCCAAACAGCCAAAGTCAAGAATCGTCAATATCTTGAGCGATCTTATTCGATTTCATTTGCCTTACGTGTAAGCTATGTCTCAACAACAAAAGTTCGCTGTTTGACTCCAAGCTAACTCTTACAAGTGGTATGATGCTATATGCATCTGCCAAGGCCGCCTTGGAATGTCCCACGCGCTCTTGGGCAGAAGGTTTGATTCGGGACCTGAGGACGCTAGGGACCACGGTAAACTCGCTGTCGGTCGGTGGTACAGCAACGCATGGATTGCTCAAGAACAACGCAGGCATACGTGATGTTGCACTCAAGGTTCTGAAAGATGGAAAATCAGTCCATAATGGGCTCGGGCTTCCTGAGGACGTTGCCAACGTTGCCAGCTTGCTTGTAGAAGAGGCGGTCCGTTGGACAAACGGAAGTGTTGTAGCGGCCAATGGTGGTGCAGCCAATGTTCTCTATTGATAATATCACTTTTGACTGCAAAATACGTTTTTTTGCTTAGATATACATCTAGTACGCAAGGCAGAGTTTGTTTTCCTTGCACTGGAAATGTAGACGGAAGAAAGACTGCGATAGCCAGTTGACCTCACTGTCAAAAACAAACTTCTGGAAAACAGCTTTTATAGTCACTGATGAACTATGATTATGGAATCAATGTTTTTTGTGTTACTCATGATTTGTATAGAGCTTGGCATCAAACTACAAATTCTAACAGCTGCATCCAGAACCTTTCGTCATTGCTCAATACCCCAGCATCCGGATCGTTTTACTAAGACTATGCCCACTTGTCAGAGCAGCAGAGTCGATAAACCTCTTGCTCAGGCGATGACGCGTGTTTGAAAATGCTACCAGGTCCCACGCATCTCGAGCGTCTTGTTCCAAATCGAAAGGCCACGCGGCCCCAACATCGAGAATGGTTGCGCGGTCAAGCACTGCATAACGAAACGCAAACGTCCCATACTCCCTCCAGCTCTTCCACAACTCCATAGTTTCCAATTTGGGCATGTGCAATGCCGCATTCGCTGCAGCGACCAGGAGCTGGTTCGCCAGCAGCGGACTGGCGTCGGGTCTCATGGTGCTGTGAGAGGTGAGGGCCAGGAACTGGAGCGTCGTCCAAGGCTCTGGAGGAACTAGCTGCTGGGGTATACCAGGATAGAAGTCCTTGAAGAAGTCCACGGCATCAAAGGCGTTACATCCGTGGAAGTTTGAAAGACGACGACTAGCCTTGACGGCAGCCACCGCGACGGCCTTGTCGTTTACCTTTCGACATGATTCATGCAAGTTGTCCTCGTAGATCTCCATAAGTAGTATATCCTTAACAGTGGAGGGAGAAGATTCCAGCAGGGCAATGTTTGCCAAATCGCGCAGACTCTGCTCCTCGCGGTCGATGCCGCACCAGTACACGTACTTGATTTCAACCAAGCAAGGTAGGCGCCTAAGAATCAGATCAAGCGCCTGCGCCGATAGACTCCGGTAATAACGGCGATCAATTAGGAAGCGCCTGACCATCCGAACCTGCGGAACCTTGACGCACTCTTTGTCGTTGGTGGGATCGTCGAAGACCATCTCACCAGAACCGATATCAAAGTCTAGAAGACTGCCGAGGGTGCGTTTCTTGCAACCCTCTCGTGAGAAGTGACGGGATTGAGAGTGTATCAAATGCTGCGGCTCCCGATCCACCGCAGCGCGCTCGATGCCTCCAAACGTCGCATAATTGTGCTGTACATCACTCCTTGAAGCGGCACCCAGCACCAAGGTCAGGCCATTGTTCTTCGGTTTTTGGTCTACTAAGTTCCAAGTTGAAAGGACTTCGAAGAGCAACAACAACGTCCTGCCGAACACGATGTTATTCCACGCTTTTTCGGCATCGCCCTCTGCCTGATCGCAGTGACGGCAATCGTAGGTACCGAGATCGACAAAAAGCACAATATACTTGACGAAGGCCTCGCGACGACCGTTGACCAAAAGATTTAGTTGTATTAAGTCGTCAAAGTCTTTGACCCTCAAGGACCTAAAGTTGCGTCTTTCGAAGAAATCCCGCCATTCGGAGCAGACGGTAGGCAAGCTGCCCTTCCTAGGCGGCGGATAAACCTTGGTGAGCCACGCAATCTTCTCAAGGAACAGAAGTCGGAGCTCTGTAGGCATATCATTCCATTCTAGCGAAGGTTTTGGGGCTTTGGCAATTTGAAGAGTTTCGGGAGGGTCCAGCGGTGTTAATGGTGCTTGCAAGAGTGTGTCGTTGAACAAATTCGTGCAAGAAGACTCGATAGAGAGATCCATGGCGTCTGATGGGATCATTCTTCCTCCAAAATAATGAGCCAATGCCTCGTTGATGCTTTTGACGTCTTTACAAACGAGGAAGTGTTGTCCTTGAGGTAGACGTTGCTCTGCTGGGGGTCTCAATGTGAGATTTGAAATATAAAATGTTGAAAGGAGCGGGGAGCAAACCTATGCAGAATAGAGTCAAGCTTTTCTCGAAGTAAAAAGAAGGAATTTTTTAATTTCCTTGTAAACCTACGGGGAATCAAGCCCAAAGGCCATGGTGGTTGCGAACCCTGCCGACCACTTGATCCATGGAAGTCGAAAGGCCTAATCTAGTAAAACGTACTCTGCCAGATGTGGCCTGTTCCGCCACCCTCTATATTCACTTCATTCACTTATCGAACATTTAGACATCATGTTGGATAAAGCCATGAATTGTACGTTACTATAGTGGAATGCAAGGGCCCTTCTCTAAAATGCTGCGGAGTGCGCACTTTGTGATGCTATCGACTGAGCTGAATGCACTTACACGATAAGATAAGACAGTACCGTTAGATTCGATAAGATTAGATAAGGTTCCGCAAAAGTGACGATCGCAAAGCTCCAGCCGAACTTCCTTCCACAACCACACGATGTGAGAACGAAGCATAAGACTGCGACGCCCGCCGCCAAAGGATGTCGCCGTCCCAGTTCATACCCGCACGCAGCTCCCGTCACCGCATCGCCTGCGTAGCCCTCTACCGTGCCCTCATCCGTGAGGCGCGCGCGGTCCCCCTCCCCGACGATGTCCTCCGCAAGGGCACGCAGCATCCGATTCCGCGGCTCGTGAAGAAGGCCTTCGCGCGCAATCGCACTGAGACGAGCTACCGAATCGTTTTCTCGGCACTGGGGACAGGGTACAACGTAGGTTTTTTCCCCATTCCTGGCTTCCTCGGCCATCGAGCTCCCATTCCCAGGCCGACGCTGACGATCTCTCCCACCAGTTCCTCAACCTCTTCAAAGCCGCGCAAATCCCCGACTCGAAGGAACACTCCCAAATCATCGCCCACCTCCGCGAAAAGAAACTCCGCGACGCGAAATCCGAGGCCGGCAAGCCCCCGCCCGAACCCCGAGCCCCGAAAAACCAAAATGGCCGCCCCTCCTCCAAAAGGTCTCCCAGGACGGCGAGCCCCCGGCCTACGTCTCCCCGCGGTTCCCCGTGCCGCGGGAGAACCTCACTGGTGCGCGGCGCGTGCCATACGTCGCCATCACGGCGGAGGGCATTGCTTTTCTGCGACAGAAGAAGCTGCAGGACCACTCCGTCGCGCTCTACATCCAGCACAAGACCAAGGTCAAGAGGCGCACGATGACCCTGCTGCTCAGCTCGATGCGCGAGGACATAACGTGGGCTGCGGAAGAGGATAGGTGGGAGGAGATTGTGAAGAGGGAAATGTACGCGGCGCAGCGGCAGGGGGCGCGGAAGACGAGCGCGCGCGCGGGGAGGCCCGACGACCTGGATAGGTCGGGGAGGGAGATGCCGGACAAGTTGAAACAGGACGAGAGCTACGGGCAGATGGTATTGGAGAACTGGCGGTTTGCGAGCAACAGGCTGACCAGCCTGATGGAGCAGCAAGCCGCGCGGGCGAAGGCGTTTGTGGAGATCCACAAGGCGGAGAAGGAGATGCTCGACAAGGAGAACCAGGCTTACCTGTCGATGGGACACCGTTGGATGGTGGACACCCCCGAGAAGAAGATGCAGAGGCACAAGAAGTTCCGGATGGACTTTAGGGCGGCCAAGATTGAGCGGAAGGCGAAGAGGAGGGAGAAGAACAAGTGGCAGAGGGTGAGAGGCTTGGAGCCGGCCCCTGTGGGGGTTTGAGAGGTCGGTCTGTGGACAAGACTCCTTTTACTATTATGTGCCCATTTGCATTTTAAAATGATACCACCTTGCTGCCCATTCACGCATTACTACAATATCGAAGAAAAACGAACGCTTTTATTGTCATAAATTCGTAGTTAATTGTTATGTATATATCTTTAAACGTATGTGTCGATCAAGCAGCCGTTCTTCCGAGTCGTGAATCATACCTCATGATGTCGAAAATAGCTCGGCAGCACAATCATAGTCATCTAACCCGCTCTCTGCTCCTACTTGGACTGGCAGGGGTCGCATTGATTGGCGGAAGTGGCGGACCGACCATCTTTGCCAGTGCGTGGGATTCGCCCGCTACGGCTGCCCAGCTCTTTGTTGGCTGGAACGAAGGGATCTTGGCCTGGCCCAGACCATCTCGCGAGATCTCACTTCCAGCCACCGATGCGAGTTCCACCTTGGTTGTGCGGGGCGAAGACAGTGCAGACGACATGGACGGCGGAACAGATTGAGTAGGGCTCGAGGGCTCGAAGGACGGCTTCGTATCGGCAGTCTCCCGCACTACGTCGTGAAAGTCTGCTTGCTTCATGGCCGGGCTCACTGCTGGTGGAGTGAACGTTTCCGTGCTAGTCTCGAAGCTGCGAGCCGAGAATAAGGATGAAGACATGCTGGCCTGGGTGCTGTCCGTTAAACTGGGATCTCTGGCAAGTCTAGGTGTACTCGACCGTGGTGTGGCCGGAAGCTTGGCGAGGATTGGCAGGCGTGAATTCGAGCCTCGGGAGGACAACGTGCCACTTCTCTGCGGATTTGGCGATGGAGTATCTGACGACTGCGGCACGGGATCGGGTTTGGAACCCCCCGACATGACAGCAACATTAGGAGTGACCCATGCCTTGTGAGGACCGCTTGGAACCCGTGTTGAAGGTGTAGGACGAGGAACTGCAGAGCACGAGGTGTTTGTTGAGGGAGGCGGTCGTATCGCGGCTTGGGGTAAAGGGTGGGTTCGTGGCCTGTTGGTGATTCCCAGTCCGTAATTCAAGCTCGTAGCGGCGGTGTTGGAAGCGAAGCGATGATCGATGTTGGCGTCTGGTCGGGGTAAACCTGTTCGATTGTGCCTTCTCGACTGCATCTCCAACTCGTTAACCCGTTCTTCGAGTTTCCTTCGTTTTTGCCGTTCCTCGTCGCGCTGCTTCGTCAGAAGCTCGGTATCCCTAGCATGCTTTTTCTCCTGGTTTTCTAAGCGCAATCGGTAGGTCTCGTCCATGGCTCTGAGTGCCTTGACCTCCTTCTGCAGGCGCTCGTTCTCAGGCTTCAATCGGGCATTCTCGGCGGCGGCGGCAGCGAGTCTTTCGTCGATCCGATTGCCAACGTGCCGAGCGCTCTTCCGACAACAGCTGTTATGATAGACTTGTTCGATGCCACCGAGGTCGACGAGTTCCTGGTCCACTTGATCGGCTCTGGGTCTAGCCCGTGGATCAGACGAGACCATGTTCCCTGCCAGGCCAAGTATGTGGCGCGGCGCGACAGTTGGTCTTTTCTCGTCGTGAAAACATTGGGTTGCTAGAGCGTGGAGCGCCAGATTTTGCTGGTGCGCTTTCAGTTTCTCGGCACGTGAATGGGGTAGCAAGTCTGCGACCACTGAGTGGAAGTCATTCAGGTCACCATGATAGACAAGCGTGGCAATATTCAGGTATATGAGGCCTAGAGAGTATATGTCGGCACACTGGGTGGAATACTCCTCGGGGATATACGCCTCGGGGGGACGCCATTTGGGCGTTCCGTGCAGGCCCATGGTGGCGGTGTTTTCCTGATCGTGGAAATCACGAGCAATGCCAAAGTCGGCGAGATAGACTTTGTTGGGGTTAAGCAGGATGTTACTTGGCTTGAGATCAAGATGGCGCACTTTGGAGGCGTGGCAGTGGGTGACGGCCTGCGCAACACAGCCCATGATGCGCTGCAGGAAATTGAGCGGGCACTTCGACTTGCTGGCTTCCGCAGCATCGTGGCGACCGCGAGACTCGACGAGACTCACGTCAGCGATGTCTAGCTCCTCGAACCTCTTCAAGATATCCTCTCGATCGCCCTGGCCGCTTTTCAAGTCAGCAAGGTCGGTGAGCAGTTCGTCGAGGTTGCAAACGGCAACGGGCCATATCAGGAGATAGAGCTCTCGGCGTTTAAAGGTATATGTCCCGATCAGCTTGACGATGTGGTCATGATCCAGACGCTCCATGGCTAGGGCCTCCCTCCGCAGCGTTTGGAAGTCCTGGTTTCGTTGGGGCTTGATCCATTTTCGCGCTAGGCGAACGGTGCGATGCGTGACTCTCTCAACGCGGCCGAAGGTGCCCATTCCCAGGTCGTTGTCCTTGGGCGCGATGATCTTGGAGTGTATCTTCTTCGCCTCAGTGAAGTCGTCTGGATGTTTCCCACTGGCGCATTGGCGGTCAGCTTCGATGCACCTGCTATCTAGTCGTCGAGAAGCAACGAGCAGAGAGGGTTGGACTCACATGCCAGACCAATGACCGCTGGACGTCTCCCACTCCCGGATCTTGGACTTTTCGTACACTTCGCGGTGAGCAGGCGGGAGGCGATCGGGATGCGCCTGGGATTTCAGGTGGACGGTCGTCCAGCCCGCATTGGGACTGTCGTCGGCCATGACGTCCGAGGTAGGATGGCGATATCCCTGCGAGTTTCCTTGACACCTCGGGGCTCGGACAAGTGGTTGCTAGCCTTCACTGAGACCCATTCAGAAGGGGAGAGTGGTCATGATGCTGCCCGAAGAACGTTGCACATGGTGGTTGTCGGCGCGTCAAGAAAAGAGACGGACGGAGGCGATTGCGGGGTGTCAGCACAGCGGTTGGAACTAACCAGTCGAGGTTGTCGATCTTTGCGGAGGGAAGTGAGAGGCGGAGTAGGGGGCAGATGGCAGGCGGGTTTTTGGTTGGGGCTTCGGCGCACAGCCCTGAAGCTGGCCCCTTTTCAGGGCATCCGGGGCCGTGGAACTGCGGCTAGCTTACGGAGCTAAACTCAGCCCAGCACCTAGGGACGGAGCGCTGAGGGGCCCCCATCGTCCCATCATTCAGACCTGCTAACGATGCTTACATCATCCGGCCTTCACCCTCCTCAGTTCTCACTGAGAACAGCCACTCACTCGCGCATCGTCTCAGTCTCATCAACATGGCCTAGCAGTCGTGCAACCTCAGCCAACCCTCCCCCCTGAGCGGTTACCACACCATGCAAAGGCCGTATGAACCGAACCAAGCTGCAGAGGTCTCTTCGAGTATTCGGCCACCAAGGCATGCATACGTTGGTCCTCGGTCGCTGTTCAACCGGCAGCACTTTGGACACTCGATTCATATACAAGATGCACGATGCCATGCAAGATGCCATGCACGATGCCCGGCACGTTATGACTGCTCGCGAATCGCTCCCGGCATTCTGCTCTGCTCTAGGCACTACTGAGGTCGCACTTGCCTAGTTGCTTGTTCCCGTTAATACCCGGAAGCTGAACGGGCGGTGAACGCTCGCAAGGCTGGCACAGCGACTGCCAAGCGTTCGGCAGTGTATCACTCGAGACGCTTGAGAGACAAACCCACCATCACTTGCAACTATGGTGATGATAACTGACAATTCTCTGTTCGCTCAACTTCCTTGGACAGATGATGGGTCACCTAAATTCATAAGTTTCATGGCATGAAGTTGGCGATGGGAGACTAAGCCCGCAGCCCCACCTACAATGCGCTGATCCAACGGTCGTCTCAGCCAGTTCCTGAGAGAACCTGCGTACGATGCGAACGTCGACCTCGAGTATCTGCAATCATGGCTGCTGCCGAGACACTGGCCGCGTAGTCGATCCGGCTAGGATCGTCACTGTCGCGACGAAAACGAGGCGGATGCCCCGGTGTGGCTGGCTTCCTCTCGAGCTTCGCGAGATTACTAATGATACGATCTCGCCGCTGTTTGACAGAATCCAGATCGGACACGTGAGTAGTGCCACACTCGACGTCGTGGTCATTATGATGAACCGGCCGCCACGCCATACCCTGTGCCTAGGAAGATTCTTAACTCAGAGACAAAAAAAGGGGTCCAACAGACGTGGGGGACGGACCGAGTGCCTCCTGGAAACTGACTACCTACGGTGAACCAAGAAGCAGCCATCTTACGCCCTCGTCTCAGTTCAAGCTGTCGTCGGCACGTTGATATGGCGCTCACCGTCAACATGCGCACGCGTCACGTCTTACCTCATGAGTCAGTACTGCTATACTCGTCTAGATTTGGATCTTGCTATGAGAGCCATACCCGATGATGTAGGCGAACTGGACTTATCTCTCGAGACCGAGCAGCAGCTGGGGCGGCGGCCGCTGGCGAGAATTCCTTGGACGATCCCGCCGACACCCTGAGCTGAGCCAAGATCATGAGGCTGCTGCCCGTTCAAGACGGGCCCCAATCGACCCTGGATGCTGCACTCGCCACTGCGTGCACACCATGCTTGCGACCAACTTTACGCCCACTTGCGTTCTTTTTGCCGGCCAGAGGATGCAAGCCGTGGCAGCTTGGCCGGAAACGCTGTCCCGCGTCCAGGGCCGCTATTCTGACTGATTCCGTACTAGAGGGTACCGTTGCTGTTTCCTGTTCTCGACGATTCCGAGAACGCAGATTAAAATACTTACCACTGGGATTTGCGGCACGACGCTGCGACGATCTTTGCTACTCGAGGACCCAGAGCGACCCCCAGAGTGAGGCTGCCAGGTGGGTTGCACCTTCACTGGCGAATATCGTTGCAATGGATCTGGACTAGACCTCTCGCCGTTGTTCCCCGGTCCAATTGAAGTCTTCAGCAGCTGGGTACGGGTTTCAATCACTTGCAGCTTCACACGCTATAGTGAAAACCGGCGCGCCGGGTCCCCTAATTGGCATGGTTCTAGACCAGGTTGCCACCAAGATACTCCGCCCGCGCCATCCAATGCGGCATCCTCAGGTCAACCATGGTCGTCGCTCGGGCGGCCGAGTCTACGATGCTTCCCCGCGAAATGGATATCCCTTCATATCGATGACATGCTCCCGCGCAGGCGCAGTTGCAAGCCGCAGATCTCATGCGACAACTCCCGTCCGGCGGTGCCCACGAGGCAAACAAGGCCCACGAAGCGGCCCCTTTCTCGTACTCCCTCCTGTTCGAGCCCCCCGAGCCAATCCTTTGTTGCGGGCCATATCATTTCGTGCTTCACGGGTGTCTTTGTCTTCATTGTTCTCTCTCCGACAGCCCCCTGGTGTTGCAAACGACCCTCGTCAACCAGGTTGGGCCGGCTACCCTAGATCTTCTTTCCCGATGGTACCACTTCAAGGATTGGCAATAGGGGTTGCATGTCATGATGTCCATGTCGGTTGCTCTCCCCCATGAGGAATCGCCGTGTCAACCTTTTGCCTCTTTGGCACTTTCTTTTTCTCCTTGGCCGGTCCGGCTATTGTTAACAAGACTTGCCCCAAGGCTTCTTTCCTTAAATCATGTACAACCTTCCCCTCAGACAGCTACAATGTCCATGTGTCATGCAAATGGCTGGGTTGTCTCATCCATAATCGAGCTGTATTCAAAAGGAAGACTGTCCTTCCTTGCGGGTGTCTCCACTGAGACGTTGTCATTCACCTGCGTATCTTCAATAAGCTTTAATCCACCTTTACGACTAAGTGAGTACGATCCAATCGCCGTCAGTAGGCTCCTTTTACTTCCTCGTTACCTTCCACTTCTTTAGGAACCCTGTGCTTCGGACGTTTACTCGTACAAGAGCCGTGGTCCTACTGTAAATGGCCAGCGGGTTGCTAGCTCTGCAGTACAGCGTAATGCCGCAGCTAGCAGGCCTTAACAGATCCCAGCTGTTGCCCGCAGGAAAACCGTACAACTTCCCGACACCCTCGATGAGGCGCGTTAGTCGGCTACTTTTTTTTTTAAAGTTTCGCGAGGACCCATTCTTGCCGGTGCGCTCACTATACAGTCGGCGGATATGAGTAATCATCCCCGTCCCAGCGGTATGGAGACGCCGACCGACACGGCCGACGATTTGGACGAGCCTCCTCCTCCCACTTGCCAGACACATATTGTACACGGGTTTCCTGAGCAAGGTGGACACGGCGTTTCCACTCTCAACCGTCAGCTGCCCCAACGACGGTCAACGCATCGCCATCAATTCACTGATCAGCAGCAAGAGGGATACCCCAGCGGCGTCGGAACGTTTGCTTTCCCATCCGTCTCAACGTCGGTGTCCCAGGGAGAACGGAGCCCAACCGCCGTCGGTCAAACTCCAGTGTACTCGGCTTCTCATTCTCATCTTTTCCTACATCCTTCACATCTCCACGTACAACCCCGCTACGAGCAGCTTCGTCAGCAACAGAACCAGGGTGACCGATATCACAACGACCACGGTCAAGACACGGCAGTCCTTTGCGGCCCCCAACACTACGGACAGCTCAGACACCAGCCCCGGCAAAGCCGACAAGGTTATCAGCAAGCGCTCTCGCAAACTTCTCCCGCTGACACTCACCGGCCTGCCTCTATTGTTTCCTCATCTTCAGACTCTACCTCTCTGCTTCGTCATCCCCACGACCCTAGGTTGTTGCAAGCCCAGTACCAAGCTGTCACTGAAAGCGGCTTCCAGCTCCCTCACCAGGACCCCAACTTTCCACCACACCCTGGCGATCTAGTCCCGATTCGATTTCCGGGCTTAGATCCCACGCACATCCCCCAAGAGCCCCTCGCTAGTTTCTCTTTGTCAGCCTCTTCAGGACAAGCCCATTTATTCTACCATCCAAACAGCGACCACGACGTCTTGCACCACCGCTATCCTGGGGTCCTCCAGTATCCTGGTGGCCACCCGATATCATTCATGCAGAACCCTGAGCTCTCCATCCTCAATGCCGAGTCTTACGACGATGGCACGTCGAAGTTTCGTGCACCGAGAAGTCTACCTTCGGGGAGATCCCGGAAAGTGACCCGCGATGAGCCGACGACGTCAAAAAAGCGGACCAAGGCCCAGTCCTCTGAGGCGGGCGAACTTGAAGAGGAAGAAAAGAAAAGATCGCGAGGTAGACCACGTCTAGATACTAACGATGAGACGGCGAAAGATGTAAGTTTGCAACCGCCAGATCCACCGCCCTTCTTACGGTGCGAGCATCACCTTGATGTATGCCTGCAACGTTCATGCCGTGCACCAATCTAACCAGAGCAGCGTCGCCGTACACAAATCCGACTCGCACAGAGAGCCTATCGCAACCGCAAGGAAACAGCCATTCAGTCACTTGAGAAGAAGGTTGACGATCTCAGGCGCACTAATGAAGAAATGAGCAAGGCGTTCATGAAACTCTATGATTTTGCCGTTAGCAAGGGCATGCACGAGAGCACACCCGAGTTTGGACTGCAACTACAGGTGACGACGGAGAAATTCGTCTCGTTGGCACGGAGATCGAGCGAGGAGCCCGAAAAGGACGGCGAACCGCCCGCCAGCCAGGAAAACGAGGGCGAGGCGCATGAGGCCAGCCCAAGCAGATCCCACGAAAAGCACAGCGACAAGTCGGGCTCGCCCGACGCCGTCAAGCCCGTGGAGACGCTGTATGGAGGCTATACAGTCAGCCACGGGGAAGGTCCGCCGCACTCGACACCTCACTCCTCCCAAGCACTGACGGCAGTGCATACGACTTCATGGGCCGGTGAGAGTCAATCTCACACGTCATACTCGGCACTCACCCAGGCTCCTCTGGGTTACGAGATTGTGACAGAGCCGACAACAGACAATGCTAGTTTCCCTTTTGGTATGTCTCTAGAAGAGAGCTTTGACCAGCAAAGCTCCCTCGGCCTATCTGACCAACCCATCTCCGAATCCCTCTTCTCCCTCATCGCTGCGCCGAGCACGTTCGCGTACCAGGAACGCACGTTCGGACGGCGGCTCCAGCGCTCGACGCTGGAGAAGGCTTACCTACTGGTGCGCATGCCCGACCCGCCACCGAATCTCATGACCAGCGCCTTTGGCTTCTGCCTGCTATTCGAGCCGAAAGAGCGCATCTTGGAGCGAGTGACTAACTGTCTCAGAGTGAACGAACGCGAAACAATGTTTAATTGGAAGTTCCCCTTCTTGCATCTGGGCGGTGGAGGCACGTGGTTTGGGGAAATGAACGAGATGGATGAGTCGGCGTACCCGCGTGCGCTGAGGAATCCGGTGGGGAATCAGGGCACGACCGAGCCCCATCGGCAAAAGGTCGAATCGATCTTTGGATTGGGGCCCTGGGACGCCGAGACGGAGGAGATGCGGGATTTGATGGTCAGCCAGGACCTTGACAAGCTCCGCATGAGCGTGCCAGGGTTTGAAGGCGACTTTTATGATGCGGACGAGGTGGAATGGGTCCTGCGACAGCGCGGAGTCGTCATCCCGCCCGCCGCCGACTTCGTCACGGCCGAGATCGATCCCGCTGATTTCTCGGTCGACACGAGCCCGGGGGGACAGGCCTTTGGGACGGGCACACATAGCAGCGTCGCCGATATCATCAGCGGGCTGGGTAACGGTGGGACGGGTTCCCTGGAGAGATATGCCAGGGATTTGCTTGGTATGAACTTGGAGCCGACTCGAGCATCCGATATCAAGCTTGACGACGGGCAGTCCGCCGCCCATACGAATGGCGCGCCATCTGCTCATAAAAATATTGACCCAAGCCTTGGAGGTGACGCGTCCAGACCCAGCGAGGACTCATCCAGCCAAGCTTCGAACGCAGCGTCGAGGAAGCGATTGGTGACGATCAATGTTGGAGTCTTGATCCAGGGTAAGTCTCGGCGTCTCTGATGCGGTAGGGACATATACTAACCATGCACAGAAATTGGATTGAAATCGGTTTGCCTCGGACGATCTCCGGGCGTGCGGCCGAGAGATCTCAACGTTGCATTTTGGGCTTCGCTGGCTGCGTGAGTCGGCGTCGGGGTTCACTTGTTTTTTGGAAGCGCTTGTTTTGAATATTAGATCTAGCCGGGATCGGCACGGCTAAACGTTCCGACGGTGGACCAGGCGCAAACCATCACTCTAGCGGGCTGGCTGGCTTTCATTGACTTACTCTTTTGTAAGGTATTCTTTATGGGCTCGGTATTGTCCAAGGGTGGCGGAGCCTACGTGTATGCTGTACATGTCGGAGGCAAGAAATGGGAAAGGCACAGGAGCGTGAGGAGCATCATTTGTACCTCAAAATTTGCAACCGAAAGACACTTTTCTTGATATACAGTCCGCTCTCCAACAGCCGGGCCGCGAAATACCACACCCTTTTATGATTGTGTTGTGAAACCGCATCGCTATTCCTGGTCACCTCGGGGCCAGTTGGTAATGGTACCCGTCGACAACAGAGCCAACTCAGGACGACTGCAACCACAAGGAACCTCTACTTCGGAGGAAATGCCCTCTCATTACCTCATTATCATTACTATGTAACATCTCCATGTACGCATACCACCATACCCGGCCCGGACTGGCCGTCTAGTTCCGCACATACTCGACAGGCTCCAGCTCCGCGTCCGCGCAGCCCTCGGGCCCGTTGACGGGGTTGCAGCGCACGGCGGCGCCGCCCTCGAAGCGCACGGCGTAGTCGACGTTCCAGCGGGTGCTCATGCCGTAGGCCTGGAAGTCGGTGGACACGATCTGGGCGCCGCTCGAGAAGGCGGCCTCGCGCATGCCCGTCGTGTCGTTGGACAGGAGCGTGTCGAGGGGCACGTCGGCGCGCGTGCGCACCCAGTAGCCCGCCTTGACCTGGGCCTGAATGTTGGCCTGCTCGGTGCCCGTGGGGTCGTTGAGCTGTTCTTGTCAGTCTTTTTCCCGTACCGAGGGTTCGTTGATTTTGCGAGCGGAGAAAAGGGGAGAAGGGGCAGGGGGACGCTGCAGGACTCACCTTCTGGAACGCGCAGTCAGAGTTTCCAGGCGCCGAGTTGGTGAAGAGGACGCGACCCTCGAGGTTCGGGCGGCCGTCGGTGTAGGTGTCGCGGATGGGGTTCACGGGGCCGTTGTCCATGAGGAACAGGAATCTGCCCCTGGCGCTGTCGAGGTCGGGCCAGCCATGCTGCAGGACGGACTGCTCGAGCGTCAGGTTCCCGCGGCGGATATCGTCGGGGGTGATGAGCTGCTCGGGCTCAAAGACGCTGCGGATCTCGTCGTCGAGGCCCTGGAGGAGGGCCGTGTCGTTCCAGGGGATCTGCGAGGCGCCGCCGGCCGCCAAGAAAGCCGCCTCGGAAGTCTTGAACTCGATCATAAAGGGGATGGGGACGTGGTCCGGGTGCGCCTCGCTCCACTTCTTGACGATGCCGAGGCACCCGACCAGGGTCTTGCAGGTGACGTGGTAGTCGGCGTCGGCGACGTGGAGGACCTTGATTCCCGGGGCCAGGAGGTCCGGGTCCGGGGTCGTGGAGAGGTTGGCGAGCTTGCGGATCAGGGCGTGGCGTAGTGGCCGCCCTCCGGGTCGGCGAAGAGGTCGAGCTCCAAGTTGCGGATGGACTGGTAGTTCAGCTGGACGTCGAGGGCCGGGTGGGAGTAGTAGTAGTTCTGGACGTTGGGGAGGATGGTGGCCTGGGTCGGGTGCTCGACGAGCGGCGCCTCGCGGTGGTACGAGTTGTGGGTGCCAATGACTTGCACCTGGTTCATGCGCACGGCGCGCGGGGACCAGGTCAGGCCGTTGTGGGTGTAGCTGCCGTTGGCGCACGAGGCGGCGTTGACGAAGGGGAGGAGGACTGACGGGTTAGGCCTGGGTTCAGGAACAATGGCGAGTGTGAGAGGAGGTGAGGCTTACAGAGGGCGGCCTTGAGGCCGAGGTTGGACATTGGAGCCATTGTGAGGTAAGGTTGGATGAGATGGACTATCGAGAGGGCGCACAGGACGGAGAGGCAGAGCGTTACTGATGCTCTGGGCGAGGGCATGTTTATGTACGTGGAGGGGTCGCATTCATGTCCCTTGATGTCGACCGACAGCTCCGCGAAGGTTGCGCGATGACGGAGGCATCGGCATGGTACCGGGGGTTGGTTGGTGCCAGCCAGCTGGGCCAAGTCAAGGCACGTGGGGTGAAAACAATCGATGCAACGGTGGACAGGGGTTCGATTAAAGATGGAAAAAAACACTTGACTATAACTATCTTAGATTGTCGGGGGTAAGCCGGTCAACGAGACGGAAGAAACGAGCAAAACTTGATGAACGGTTGTAGAGGCGGGATGGGCTCCATGGAGCTTCCCCACTAGGTACCGGATGCTGCCCGCTTCGCCCCCGCACGGCGAGCTTCCTGACTTGGCAAGCCTGAGGGGGGTTCGGCCAATGGGCGGGTGAGGGGCGAGCATGTGCCTGGGAGTTCATTTCGGGGCCCCTGAAGTTTGTTTTTCGGGGGAGTTGGAGAAGGTGATCCGGCCCACGTGGGTGATGTACCAGCATTCCATCTGAAAGTCGGTATTCGCGTTCTCATAAAAATGACGATTACTGTCTCTTATCTGTCTTGTACTGTAAAACTGTGTTTACAGGTTAAGGAGCCTTAGTCGCTGTTTACTGCAATCGGTGGGCTTCTATTCGTCTATTGGCAGCCCGTAGAAATGGGCTTGCTGTGACCTAGGGGCGGAAATTCGACATGCATGCATACCGACAATGCCGTGTGGGAAAGCATTGAGTAATTCGGTAGCTCAATAACTTTGTTGCCTCTTATCGTACAGGGACCGAGATGGTAGCATCAAAGACCTTCGCTTCGCTTCGATACTGCATGCATAGAGAACACCGTCTCGTGCAGTATATCCGCTGATCGCCGAGCTAAACCTGCTAACCAATTGGCCAGTACAAGCGCGGCATGAGTCTCCTATTCAAAGTCATCAAACCTACCTCACGATCAACCGTGCCGCATGCAGAAGATGCTCATTTCTCTATTTAGACAGGTGTCATCCTCCAGGATCTAGCCGGTTTCTAGATACTATCCTGCGGCTCTTTATGAATTACAGCAAGCCTTCCGGTCGGCTGGCTTATTTGTGGTCCACGGATGAGACTCGAAAATCCAATTTACGCAAGCCAAAGCGTGAGCAGCTATGCGACTCCCTTCAAGGCAACAAAATTACCACCTCAGCGGCCAGTCTCCGTGATGTGACAGTCCAGTTTTCTTGTTCTTGCAAGCCGGCAACGCTATGCTTGAACCAGGATGCAATATGGCCCGCACGGCGCCGTGGCGTGCATCCGGCGTTGTGCATCTGTAGCCCGGCCGTCTGTGCCTCGATCTAGACTGTCATGCCATCGTGAGCGCTCATCCATCGCCCAAGTTCCTGTAAGAGTGGAAAATCAACATCATGGAAGCTAGGTTACTGCAATCTAATAGTGGCCTTACTTATAAAGACACTTTCCCGACCATGCATTCATGCTTTTCAACCTCAGCCTCCAGGCGCTTGCGCATATTTTCACATTTGTTTGATCCTGTCTTGAAATCTCAATGTCATTCGCTTCCACATTCTAGTCTTCGTCCAACATCGACATCCATTTGAATACAGCCAGATCGACTTTGGCGTATCATTCTTTTGCTCACTTCTACACCGAGCGTCACCGAGCTCATTCGCTCCTTTCACAAGCACTCCCATTCACCCGCGCCGAGGCTGTAACCCCAAGATCGGAAGATCGACGCGGCAATGCTCCCGACCACTCCGCACTTCCCACCCCTCGCGCTGGCCGCTCTGTTGGCCACGGCAACCGCAAGAAACATCGCCAGCGCACATACCCTTGCCCTAAGAATGGACAGTACCACGGCCGTCGGAACAAACCCCATCGTTAATCCCAAGGTCGAGTACCTGGGCCTCCAAAAGGCGGATAACAGCTGCTCGCACCGCGACCTGGGCTTCACGGGCGCCATCGCGGGCAAGTGGTACGCCGTCTGGGGCGATGTGCTCTGGTGCGATGCGGGTGTGAAGGATCCCGAGAAGGACACGCCCGGGTTTCACGGCATGGTCCGCGACGCTGTATCGGCCGTGACGAGCGATCCGCTGCTGGTGCACGATTTGAACATGGGCGACAATCAAAGGCAGAAACAGTTTATCCCGTTCAACGCCTCTTGGGGTGAGAGGTTCGATACCGGGTTTGGCGGGACCAGCCTGGTTGAGACCGATGCCGCCACCGGAACTGGGGCCGTCTTTTATCTGGTTGTAAGTCTACCTTAAAATGCCCCAATCTTGTTGGATTTGGACCGCATACTCATAAAGCCCTTAGAACCAAAACGCAGCAGGCCTCGTCGGCGCTGGCATCGCCCAGGTGAATGTCATCAACGGTACGCCCACGGTGACCAAGCGCTACGGCGAAAAGGGCTACTGGTGGCCTGCCGACACGAACCCGCGGTACGGAGACATCGCTGCGTTCCGTGACCCACGGTCCGAGTACATATACGCCTGGGGCGGCCCGCCAACGACCATCTCCCGCAGCGACTGGCTCCAGAGCAGCTACGTCTACATGGTGCGCGTCAAGGCGAGCGAGGCGTTCGACCTGTCCAAGTACGAGTACTGGTGGGGCCGGCAGCGGGGGTGGAGTACGGAGCGGTTGACAACCTTCACGGCCGAGACGGCTGCGGTTTGGGGCACCGGGCAGGGACAGGTTGTGTGGAACGAGTTTTACCAGTGCTATATTTTCGTTCACTTGGGTAAGCCATCCGTTAAGTTACTTTGGTTCTCCTGTTTAGTCTCCACGAAGCTAACATTCTATTAGGTATCGGTGGTGGCTCGGTCTTTTTGAGGACGGCTCCCAGTCCCGAGGGCCCCTGGACGCCGGACGTCAAGATCTTCGACGCGAAGCCCATCAACGGTGGTCTAGTCTACGCCGGCGTTGCTCACCCGTACCTTGATGAGTCTGGCAAGACTCTCGTCATCTCCTTCACCAACAACAACAGGATCCAGGTGATCAAAGCGACCTTTACCCAATAAGATGATCAGAGCTTTACGGAACTACTGGGCGTGTGGAGCTTGTTGTTATCGCCTGAACAACATTAACGTACATGTACCGTAGAATACTCTGAGATTCATCTTGGTATACCCGATGCACGTCCCCAGATACCCTAGCTTGATTGTCGTTGACTATATAGCATGCAAAGCAGTCTTTCTTTGACGACTGTAGGGGTCAGAAGGCTTTCATTCTCGAGGATTAAGCTTCATCAAACCGAGGTTTGGGCCAATCACTTTGCTTCGATTTAAGAGATTTATGCCAAAGCAGGAACACTACCCCATTGACTCATCAAACATGTTCCTTCCAACGGTGTGGCCTGGTAGCTGCGGCGTGCTCTCGGCAACACTAGCAGCAAGTTGCGGCCTCATTAAGCCCGTCTGGTCCCTTGCGCAAGCGTGAAAGCAGCTCACAGTAGTTCGAAGAGGCCTCTTACGCGTTTTCCGGTGATTATTATCAAACATTGCATTAGTCACGACAGTCTACAGCTCAGTATGAAGTTGGTCTTGATGTTTAATGTCATGATCAAAAGTTCATTTGTGGATTTCTTAGGGAGGAAGGTGGGAATTTGGCCCAGCCGAAATTTGATCGCTTTCGGCGAATGACACGGAACTTCATGATACAGTTGGTCTGACGGCGTGAGTCAACGCCCCAATTGGCCTCAAACGCCCGGCCGCTGATGTATAAATAAGCGCGCTCTCTCCGACCTGCAGACTATCTTCTTCTGGTTTTTTTCTCCTACAAGCAACAGTGAATCTGCGTTCTCGGCCTTTTGCTTGGGCTTTGACGTGTGGGCATTATTTCTCCCATCTGTCTTCCATACCCTTCACATGTCGACATATGCATACGGAACAGAGAGAAAGGACCCAAACCTCGCTCACCATGGCTACCAACGAGCTATACGATCTGCTGTTCCTGACGGACGCCACTGCGTCTATGCAGAGTTACATCAAGGCCCTCCATCAGTCACTCCCAGAAATCATTCGCATATCGTCTCTCACAGACTCCTTCTCACGCATAGGAGTCATGGCCTACCGGGACTATTCCACCGACAATCTAACGGAATGGTCTGGCTGGCACGATGCTTCTGCTCGTGAAACCAACGCCGGTCTTATCACCCAAGATAGTCTGCTGGACATGGCCGGAAAGATTCGAACGGACTCTGGTTGGAGAAGCGTCGACTGGCCTGAGGCTGCAAAGACTGGCCTCGCCCGGGCTTACAGCGTGATGCGACCAGAGGCTACCACCATCATTGTTCTCTACGCCGATGCCCCTCCCCATCTCCTAGGCACAATGACCACCAACAGACTTGTAGAGATTGAGCACCTGTCCAAGTCAGACACTTTCGATGGGTGTGGAAAGCTGTTCGAAGACTGGGTTTCGGGCGCCAAGACCCTTCGGGACAGCGAGAAGAAGGCCAAGGTCTTTCCCGTCGTTCAGGGAGCCATCGCTGACACCGTCTCTCCTTTTATCTATCTTGCCTACATGACAGGTGGGGTCTGCTTCAAGCTAGACAATGCCCACTATGACGTCCCAACGGCGAGCGCCATCTCCCAGCTGACCGCTAGCATCCTTCTCACCTGGATGGGTGTTGGAAAGCAGGGTGCCTCCGCCTCCGGCCAGCGTCGCTTCGCCCGCGTTTGCCAGTATCGAGATATGCAGATGGTGGAGACCATCAAGGACGAAGAGGACATGGCTGCTCAGATATTTTTCCCAGTCCAACGCTACATCGAGGACTCCATCAAGAAAAACATTAAGGCTGTGCACTGTACTCTCGACGAGCTGACCAACGTCATCGAAGCTCGGCAGACGCCACTCTTGGACTTCTCAAAGCGGTATCAGGTCGACAAAACCTACCGTGATTTCGTTGCTGATCAACTGAAGTCGCTAATCGAGGCTGATGTGACTGTCATTGCCGTCAATCCCGTCTTCGGCAGCCTCTGGCGAGCTATCTGTAACGATCGGGACAATCCAGCCCGAGATGAGCTCATCCAGGCTTTTGGTTATCATGTCGATCGCATCTCGGAGCCTGATAAGAAGGCCCGGATGAAAACCTGGCTCGAAGAATCCTACGATTACGCTGCCGAGATCCTAGAGATCATCAGGAAGGTACCTGAAGCCCAGAGATTTCCCTGCGTCTTCTTGGACCCTACCCAGTCTTTCCGAACCACCGACATCCAGGTCGAGGACGGAAATGGTGACCTCAAGGATGAGGGAAGCGCCGATGGGCCTGTCACTACAGCATTCACCCGAGACGAGCTTCTGGAAATCGGCCGCTCCTGCGACTACCGCGTTCTTCGTCGTCTCGGTCAAGCTCTCACGCGCCTAACCTATGTCAATTCAGAGGCCGAACTGCCGGCTCATATCAAAGCGTCTGACCAGGTCGCCCAACTTCCGATGGCTCTTGCGACTCCTGAGCACCAGCGAAAGTTCTGGAGGGTTCTGCTTCACCTCGTACTTCCAGGTACAATGTTGGCAGCTCGCCCAGCCGCACTTCTCGCTGCACTCGCTCTTCGGATGGGCATTCAGCCGCTCAGAGACGCCGCCGACCGAGAACTTCTCTGCTTCGCCACCAAGTGGAACACCCTGGACGTCCCCGAGACGTGGAATGCCAGCTGCCTCTCGCTTCTGCTTGACGCTAACAAAGACTTTGAAAGACGTGTGGCTGAGGGTGTGACGCAGCGCCCAGCGCCGGATGCTCGCGTTCTGCTTGAGGGAGATGCTCGCCTATTCAAGATTCTAGTCGACTACAAGCTGCTTGAACTCAACCTAGACACCACTCTCCAGGCAAAGGTTGGCTGGTGTCCTGACAAATCAAAGGTTGCCATTGGGCCTCTGGTTATCTGCAAGGGCTGCAAGTTCCCGCGTTCGGTCACCGTCATGGGCAAGGACGGCATCTGCGGTCTCTGCCCCCAGGACCACCGGTGCAAATGCATCATTTGTCAGCCAGCGGTAGACGAGGAGCGCCGTCTCTACAACAATGTGACCCACATCGACACAGAGCATACCGAGGCTACCTGGGTCGAATGCTTTACTCCGACATGTCGGGCCCAGTACGTCGTCTATAACCCAGAAGCACTCAATGTCCGGGCCAAGTGCTATCATTGTCGACACGAAAACTCGTCCCTGGCTGAACACAAGAGCGCCCCTTGTATCGAATGCTCTCAGTGTCTGAACCGTGTCATCTGGCCGGAAATGTATCGCCCGTTAGACCTCGATAGTTCAACCTTCAAGTGTTATGCCTGTGCGACAAACCGAGTTACTGTGATCAACTACGAAACTTCTGCCAAGGGGTTGAGCACTGAGAACGGGAAAACATGGCTTCTACGCAACGAAGGTTCCGCCATCAAAGATCCCTTCAACGGGCGTTCTCTCTTCCACACTATTTCTCAGGTCCCCGAAGAAGCACGGGGGACTCTTTCGGCCAATGTCGAGATCGTTCCTTCAGCTCAGCAGTCAACCCAGCTTACCATTCGCGGCAAGACTGTCCACAACCAGACCGAGCTTTGCGACAGCCTCCGCGGATGGGTACAGTCTCGACGAACCCAGGCCGGCATCTGCAGCCTGTGCTTTTCTAGCGTCAAGAAGGCGGACCTTCGTAGGGCTTGCGGCAGGAAAGGCTGCCATCAGCAAGTCTGCAGCGGCTGTTTGAAGGAGTGGTATGGTCTCAACGCACGTGGTAGACTGACCAACGCTGCCGCTCTCTGTTGTCCCTTCTGTCGGCGTCAGCCTACCGCCAAGACCGTCTCCGCTTTTGGCGTCTCGCATATCGGCGATTTGAACACGGCGGTGACGGACGCCGAGTGGATATACGGATGGTGTAGGGACTGCGGGTTTGCCCAGAGGTACGCCGAAAGGGTATGCGCTGCTGGGGCCCCCGAAGTCTTGGGATGGTCTTGCGATAATTGCAAACAAGAAAAGGGCGCCACTAGGGTGCGGGTTCGAAACTGTCCTGGCTGTGGGACGCCGACGGAGAAGATAGGGGGATGTAACCATATCACTTGCACGGTCCCCGGATGCTCTGCACACTGGTGCTTCTTTTGTGGGGAAAATGTTGGGCGGGAGGGCATTTACCAGCACATGAGCCGTGCACATGGGGTTACTGGTATGGAGACATTGACGAAGACGACGAGTATGATACGGATAATGAGTAGGACAGTCACAGCACATATATCCTTTCCTGATTGGATATTAATCGACTTCTTCTGCACTTTAGGCTATACCTCTGTCCAAATCTCTCAAGATCTTGTGACATGTCACGAAGACAATGCAACACCCAAGACAGAGGCAGGATGCAGAAGGCAATATATACCAATACAGGTAGGCGATGTTAATCAGAGGATGATCGAAATGGAGTCCATTGCATTTTTATTGCTTGTTGTGCCAGGGAAGCTTTTGTCGGGCTGTGATGAGCAGGCGAAGGACAGGTTAAAGGATTGGTTGGAACGGATCAACAGGAGGGGGACGCCGCAGAGTAATCAGTTTCGGCTCCGTGCGTCCATGAACTCGGCTTTCGTTGCGGCTCTCGCGATGGTAATGGAAGTTGTGAGAGAGATTATAGACCAAGATCTTCGACTTCTGTGCACATTCTATTTGTCAGTTCCCATTGACAAGGTGGGAACGACCAAGGGGCTTCTGCTTCGGCATATCCGGTGTTGGGCGAAGCATCCTCACATATGCAACATGGACGGGATACTAAAAGCTCGACTCAGGTACCCCATCATATTTCCGAGCGAGAAATACAAGTGCCGCAGTCCATGCACCGGTACCTGAAGATTGATACTGTTCTAGAGTTTCCAGAGGACAATCTTTCATGAATAAGAGAGTTGTTACCTCATCTACAGATGGCGGAGGTTTCCCTTTGCAAAGTTCAAAGGCAGATGATGGGAAAGAGTTACAGGTAGTCAAGGTAACCCGGTCGCTGAGACAGGTTACTCGCAGCACTCTGGAATACCAGTTTTCTCTTGTAGAACTTCAAAGAGCCAGAGGCAAAGTATGGCATGTTTGCGTACTCGTCTGCGTTCGTATCTGGTGTCCCGACTGAGTCCTTGCTGTCGCTGATGGGTCCAGATAGCACCCTTTTGCCAGCGTTGAGGGGGTCGAGAGATAGAGCGTAAGATGGGAGCTAAAGGATACAAGGATCGAGACAGTGGGGGTTCGAAGATGGAAGGGAGCCTGTCAGGTGCCGGCGTTAGTTAGTGTTTGGAAGCCGTAGGGATGACTTAACTTATGGGATGGGACAGCTTTGATGCTCATTGTAGAGGAGTTTCCCGGATGGTATCTTCGCGTTTACAGAGCTACATGGGACCCTGAACAAGTCTTTCCGTCCTGGTTGAAAATGTACAGACTGTGAATGGAGGATTTGCGTTCAACTCCCATACATTGGAAGTAACCCCTCCTGAAAATGGTAACCAGTAGATGAATGGCCGCTAACACACTGGCAGCAATGATAATTTTCTATTTGTATCCGAGACTAAGTTGATCAGTCTAGCCGATTCGGTCATCCAGGGAGAGGGTTCGAGAGGAGATGTCGGCAAGTGGGCGTGGGTGACGAAGCCGGATCCCAACAATAACCTCGACTCGCAAAGAACATTCATATCTGCGCTGAGCCATCGGTTTATTCATTTTCATAACGAGAAATTTGGAAAAAAGTTGTGCAATTATGCTTGCTGTGCGTGGCTTTTAGTGTGTTGCTGTCAACGCTGCGGCTGCGCTCAGTTTTTAACAAAGTCAGGGGTATGTGGAGAAGGAAACCCCACATAGATTACGTCCAGGGTATGAACCGGCCGTCCACCTTCATGTTTGTTTGATCCTAGCATTTGATGAAAAATGCCAAGGATGGGGCAGAGGGCTATCAGAAAATAGCTTGACTGGTAGGGACCAGAGTGTGCTTTCGAGCAGGAGAAAAAAACGGCGAAGCCCTCTAAGAAACTCCAAAATCAAACCCCATTGAGCGCTGATCTATCTCATCATATTATTTCTTCGTTACAGAGAGTATCCAAAACTGCTTCCCAGGACTTGGTCAGAGAGAGGCAAGCTGTTCACCGGAAACAAGTGGAAGAAGAACAACGATGGTCCAACGGTATCGTGTGTCTGCCAAGGTAAGCAAAACGTCAAGTAATGCTGGGGCTATAGCTCGGAGCATTCCGCCCGACCAGATCTCAAAGTTTCTACCAAGATTATCTGTGTTCATCAAAATGACAAAGTTGTATGCGGAAACTTTGGTCTTCCTATACGTGTGACAAAGTTTTGCTCATTCCCTGAGGTTCCGCCTCTCCAATTCCCAAGCCCACGGAAATCTTAGGCTCCAAAAACCGTCTCATCCTCTCTAGCTTTCCGCCAAGTCCGGCCGTTTATATTGTGGTTTGAACCCTGTGACTCCCAGCTCCTCCGGATATCTCACCCCTGTTAGGTAAAAGCGCTGTTCTTGCAATGTTGATGCTCCTGTAGCGAAACGCCTTAAAACCTCGCTTAGCATCTTTCCCGATACCCAACTGAACAAAATCGCAAGCAGAAAACAAGACTATAGAACAATGGGCATGGCGTGGACCATACGGTCCAGTTGCACCTCGTAGCCACCAACTCCAACGACCTCTATGGGCCACATTGCCAGTTCTGCCCAGGGCGTCCCGGCTAGTTGTTGTGAAATGATCGACATGAGACATTTGGTCCAACCGTTCAAAAACCAGCAGAAAGGCTCGGCCAAATGAATGATGACACAGTAATGTGCCAGTACTACCAAGGCGGCCGGCTGACGCCGTCGAAGCAAATCAAGATAATCGGTAGACATCAAGATTGGCCACAAGAATACGGCACGAAACTCTACCGGCGCCGACATGGCGTTAACAGTTGAGACCTTGGCGATACATTCGCTCAAGGCTATAATAGAGTTCGTGATTGTGTATTTTCCCTCGTGCTCGACCAGACCAATCTCAGCCAGTTGGGTGCTCAGACGGGGGAGCCTGTCGAATAGGGGCTGGAGCGTTGCCTCTACCGTCGTGGGCGTGGTGTCGCCGGCGGCACGGATGAAAATCTCGCGCAGTGGACCCTTCCGTAGATCATCATCAGACGCGCGTAAAATCACACTCATGCCGTCCGTCAGGGTAAAGATGTCGAGCATGCTGTCGATTGGGGAGAAGGAAGGGTTGTATTTTTCGTAGCTGGGGTAGGTGGCGAAGGCACTTAGGGTAAGGAAGATCGAGGAGGCGAAAAGTGCGTGACAGTTTGTTGGCGAGATTGTGCCCAGGAGGGTCCCCCGCATGCCGTTGATGGCGTCGTTCTGGTGCTGAGCGGCCTGCATGAGGTAGGCATGGCGACAGTCGGGCTGGAGGTATGCTAGGTGGTAGGCCGAGAAAGCAAGGATTTGGTGAAGCAGGAAGGGATAGGAGAGTGCTTCTCTGGGAACATCGTATTGGAGGGCCTTCTGGGCGATGGAAGACTGTGAAAACGTTCGGTATGATACGGAAGTGTAATGATGCATAAGCTCAAGATCAGAGATCCAGCCGCTTGCCGTCTCAGACTTATTGAGGTCGGTCAGGAATCTCGAGAAGTAGGGAAAAGGATCCGACTGTGACGAAGGGGATTTCTGGTCCCCCTGGCTAGACGCGCTCTGATGTCCGCTGATTGATCCGGCGGCTGATTGTGGCGACAAAGATGTTGAGGAGTGTGCGCTTGGCCGTCGCCCCAGCGTCGATGCCGACCCCTAATGACCACGCGTCTCGTCAGTTTCCAAACCGAGGCCCAGCAAAATACCTAAAATGGAGTAGGGAGACTCACTCTCGAGCCCGATCGCTTGGTACGGTGCCCGACGCTCCCCGGCGGCTGCCGAGTCGTCATTTGTGACGACGCGCCGGTTTGCACTCCCGCGTTCTCTAAGCTGCATGGCAGTCCGTGGCGTACACAAGCGCTGCAGGGCTTGTTCTCATCACACTGCGTTAGAAAGATCAAATGTCAGTCCTGGCCGAATGCACCAGCGCGTAGCAATAAAAAGCAGGACCTCGGGGATCAACGGCTTCGTTGCGACTTTGAATCAGACGTACTTTGACTCTTCTCTCCTTGCAACGTAAGCATCCGTTGCGAGATTTTCTGTACCCAAGTCGCTTCATGGTGGAATCGTGGCTTTTGTAAAAATTCGATGTGGCCCAACGGGCATGTTCAGAAGATAGCACAATCACCCGAGAACGAGGACGATAACGAGATTCGGAGAACAAGGTCCAGTATATAAGGACGAGCTGGTGGGGGTGAGATCTTGCGGATCGGATGTGCGTCCCTCTGTTTATACTACCAGACCGGCAAACACCATGGTCGGCGATCTGCCTTCAAGTTTTGTGAGGTTATTCTTATGTTGAGCCTTGCCAAAGGTTGTTGTTCCTTCTCTGCCGAATGTGCCTAAGACGAATGTGGAAGTCAGCGGACACGTCCGGGCTTCATCTGATCTGGGAGGGATACAGTTGGGCACAGGAAAGCGCGGGACTGACGCATGTTCTGACGGAACAACGGACAATAGGGCACACTCCTATCTAGACATCGATAGAACATCTGTGTAAGCGCCAAGACCCGAGTCTGCCATGAAAACACCTTAACGTCAACAATCTAATTCTACCCCGCCAGACGGGGTTCCGGAATTGTGTTAAAGACGACAAGGTAGAGGGGCTGATGGAAGATTGAACGTAGGGTAGAGGAAAATTGGAGAAGTGAAGCTTACTAGGTTCCTTGGTATCTCAGTGGTTAGGGGTGACAGTGTCAGCGCTGTGGAACTAAATCGCGCCAAGACCGTTCCACCTCTCCGTCGTACGGGCGGAGAGCCCTACCCCTGACCGACACCGGTCACTAGTGAGCGCTTAGGAGACCAGACAGCTCGCGGGAGGAGCGGCGGTAGCAGACTGTAAGGGCTAAGCCTTTTGTGCGTGCGTCAGTGTGGGGTAATACCCTCCCTCATTCGGATGCTTCCAGCGTGGCTTCAACACGCATTAAGAGTCTTACATGGACAGGCTGAATATAGAACCAGTGAAACGTCGTGCTGCTTGGGATATACTTTGTTACCGATGTGAAAGAAATGGGACGACGGAAAGTGACGGACTATGATTGGGAACAGACCACTGAAGGGGAAAGGACGGACAGGAAAGTATAGCGGCAAATCGCCAAGACATTTCGTTAGAGGTTGTGTGTCTGGTTGAAAGCTTTTATCACTCCCCTCTCGACGATACAAACGTCAAGTAAAACTTGTGTCGTCAGTCGCCTCTCAAACTATCATTGCCAAGACCAGGCTCAGCCTGACGAGTTACAGCTAAGCCTCAATCTTTCGTCACGCGACTGGCTGCCAAATCCAAGGTTCCCTTTTCGCCCACAATTGTATCATCGGAGTTCTGCGTTATAGACGTAAAATCTCAAGTCGGAGGAGTCCAGCACAAGTTTAGTAATCCAACGTCAACAGGGAAGCATGGGCTGCGGCAGGAGCTTGGCAGATCGATGCTGGTTCTGTGCCACCCGTGGAATCCGTGTACAGAAGAAAGTGCCATGGGCACGGAGCGGCCTCTACTCATGCGTCCACCCCGGTCCATCGCCGGCCGAGAGAACCTGAGTCGCCGAGCAGGGTGTCGACCAATGATTGATGGGTCCGAAAACGAGGTGCCTCCATCATATGAACTAGGACTCAGCGTCGTACACAGAAGGGGAAGATTTCTACTGCCACCGTCAACCAGCCAGAAGCGGTCGGACTCTGGGGATATTTGTTCTCCAGTGAGCCTTTACCACTCTAATCTTAATTCTGCCTAGCACCAGATGCCAGGTTATTGGAATTGACTCCTATATCCGATGCACAAACACCTGTCACCTTACTACTTTACGCTAGAAGCATAAGCGTTTATATGTGGCCTGGCTAGAAACCATGGCAATGAACAAAAAAAAATTAAAAATTTATGGATTATGCAAAACAGTAACGGGTACACACATGGGTATGAAAAGGACCGATAACCAACTAGCGAAGTTGAAGTCTGATGCATATGTGGACTCTTGTGTCGAAGGCCAATGCTGACGATCTAGGGGGGTGATGAGAATTAAGCTCAATTCAATTTCTATCTCGATTTTCTATTTGCAACGTTCTTCAATCGTGTTTTGCGTAGAACTCTTGGAGTGGAGTAAAACCCGCTTCTTCTCTTGTCTTGCGTCATGCTCGAATCAATCTTGGTTTATTTCCGCAGAAGAGACAGAATGCCTGCGATTGTCTTATTTCAAACCTAACGGTCCATCTTAAGACGATAGCAAACTTAATGGCTCAATTGCAGCTGCTTAGATGGAGAACGAAATACATAGGGGAAGGATGATGATGATCATCGGGCTCCCTATCCAGATCGCGTTTTCTGCGTTCTTATGATGGTTGCGGGTCTGTTCCACAATCGTATCAACCTCAGACCCACCTCTTCAAGTTTGGACATGACTACTTCTTGACGGCCTTCGACTATTTTCACTTCACAAGATATATCAACGGCACTAGGGAAATCAACTTTTCCAAACTCAGAGGCTGAAAACTAAACCCACCGGTAACTCTGGGCTTGAGAGGGGCCATATAAATGGAAGATGGCTCGCGCACGAGTGAGACGAGACACTGCAGGCGAAGGTAAAAGGTCTTGTCAGTAGAAAGACCTGCCGTTTTCACCTGTATAACTGCGTCATCCTCCCAAATTGAGTCCTTCTAGTGTGGCAGAATGTTTCAAATAGCAGCTCGGACTAAGCTAACTTAGTAACATGGGTAAGGGAACTCACACACAGGATTCGCTATGTTCTGGCTTTGTTTGTCAAGAGGCTGAAATTGCTTGGTCCATAAAACTTCCAAGCAAGAGCTGCATCAGAAAGTGACAACTGACGATCGAATTAATTTGGAATATAATTACTGAACTCTCGTTTGCCTTGCTGTTTCAACAACTCAGTGTCTTGAACAGATTCAAATATGTCCATAAATATAATCCGTCTGATTGGATCAGCAACACTCCACTTCGGTTTTTGGGGCGATCTAAATACGAGATGATAGTCTAGACCGACTCGAATCACTCCTCATCGCACCGGTTCTGTCCTTTACAACTGTATCCGAGCTTCTCTAGCTTGGCACGCATGCGCTCGAGTCTACAAGACACGCCCAACAACAACAATTGGTGGAAAACATGCTGACGACTGAGACAGTTATGTTTGGCATGCCAAGAATGACTGCAGTCGCAACATACTGAGACTGATGTGGCTAGGACCTCGCATGATTGACTGCTGATCATTCTGTGTCAAATAGCTTCTCTTGTGCTCAATGCTCTAAAGCTTTTAACCACTACATACTTGGATACTAGGTTAGCCTGACAGAAATCTAAATGAGATCAAGCTGCCAAGAGTCGCTTTCTGAGATGGTTTCTCAATTTATACGCCAAAGCTTTAGAGTGGTATATGGGATATCAAGATTCAACCCCAAAGGCTCGCAGTGCACTTGCCTATCGTTGGTCTTCGTAAGTGCATACCGAACGGCAAGCCTTTCTAGCCACTTTCTCCTAATACTGCATCGCGTCCACTTTCTTAGTTAGTTTCTGTTTATTTACAGTGTCACAGTGAAGGCATTCGGAACGGCCCGTTAAGCTTCCAAATGCGAAACTGCTCAAGGAGGTGGACCCTGAAGTATTAATGCTGCATGCTTGAACCGCCAAGAACTCCAGCAACTTAATCACTGCGAGGCTCTGGTACATGTATAGAGTAGCGCATGTGGCCAGGCACTCGCCAATGGAGACGAACCATCTTGGCGGGATGAGACTAGCGAGTTGGCGCTTTGAGCATCAAACAACACCCATCTGGACGCGATTTCCGATCCGTCGGAACCGACTGCAACGGAGTTCGAACTCTATGATTCACCTTCAGCTTTCAACAACTTGAGCCGGGATGAGGTCACAAAAACGTGGCGCAAGACTGACAGATGTGGCCAAGGGGCCCTTGCTCGAAGGAATTTTGCCTTGGGGCCAAGGCCGCCGACCCCAATATGCCGCCAAGACCCCTATCTATCTAAATTTATACTACGGTAAATGTTTGATTTCCCCGCATCTGAGCGAATAAGATTAGCAGACAAAAGGCTTTGCCCCTCCTCACATGAACAGTCGCCGCTGCCTGTCATATCGTGGTATCTTGGCATTCTGTTTTCTCTTGGCATTTACGCCGATTACCCGATCAATCTTTGAGTGTAAGCCTGCCCATCTTTCTTGGCGTTGCCATCATATCCAGGATTTGAGTTCTCCAACATCCTCAATAGGAGTTCAATAGTGTCTTTCACTATTATTGCTAGGCAGTGTCTCGATCGCCGTGAGAGTTGCTGCCAAGACAATCCTGACTTGGTCACACTGTGGCTTCATTGTATTCGCGTTCAGCAACCGGCTCATTCAATCCGTGCCCGGTCTAGAGCATACTTACCAGCAACAACTCTATGACAAGTTGTCTTGGCATCGATAACCAAGAGGCGTCAGCGCAAGGCAGAATTATGATCTTGGCAAGGCGAGGTTGGACCTCGGGTTACTCTAATGCTGGCCACTCGTCAACACGTGAAAAGGGTTGATGAACGGCGTGCCCCATGCCCCTTGGGCTGATTCTATCCAAGGAGCCCATCCAAAGAAACCCTTTGGACGGCGCCGTATGCAGTAGTAATCGTTAACAATGTATGAAACGCTGCTGACCACCATATACTTGAAAACAAGCGAACTGATCCAAACCTAAGTAGTTTCGATACTATGAATTCTTAGCCCTATGGACACCCAACAGCATTCTCCATTCTTGATCATTTGTTTCCAGGAACAGCGACTCCACCGCATAGATTTGTTGATCGTAGTGTAAAACAGGGCACATAAGGGTTCTAGGTTTAATGCATAAAAGTCGGCAACTGTTTATTCTATTTGATGGTGAGCGAGTAATTAATGAGAGTGCCTCAAACAAACCTCGGGTTACTCATAGTCCTATGGCTAGTATCGTATATATTCTGGAGAAACTAAATCTTCCTAGTGCACATAGCCTTCGTCGTATAAATCGTTCCGTACTATTAATTGAAAATACCAATTCCAAATGAAATTTGAGTTATTTGGGCTTAACTATAGAGATAACAGAAACATGCCACTTAGCGGATTTACCAAAGAAATCATTCACCGAAATATCGGTCCACATGGATTACCTCCTCAACTTATATATCAGTAAAGCCTAATACGCCAAGGGTTCCCTCGAAGAAGGCATAGAAATTTCTCTGAAAGTGGCCTACCGACTGCCTCCTTATGACAAAGCTTCAATTAATGTGGTCTTCTGATGATTCTATCCATAATGGCAAAGGCTTCTTCCTTTGCCATATAGGAAGTGGAGGCAAATATCCAGTACACCAAAGTTGTGAATATTGATCAAGAAGGGCTCACGTCGTAGGGTACAATATTTTCACAACTGTCTCGCTGAAATTATGACTTTTTACGCATTAAATATTCATATCCTAGCTCTGATGGCTATGGTAACAACTCTTCAGATATTTGCTCTTTAGCAAACACCAGTGGGGATGGTGAAGCCGTTACGGCGGTTAGAAGAGCTGTAGACAGCATCGGAGCCAAGACCACGCTTGGCGAAGGCGGTCCAGAGCTCGCACTGGTTGTCACCGCCGGTAAGAGCGGTATCGGCGTCGAGGATGGCGTCACGAGCCTGGATAAAGTTGGGGGAGCAGGGTTGCCTGTAAGAATTGTTAACTAAAACCCTATATTGAAGATTTTGATACTGGAAACATACAGAGCCATGCCATCAAGGACGAGCTTGAGCGTGAGGTATTTGCCGTCGGTTGGGACACCGTTGCTGTCGAACTCGGGACGAGGGCCGTCATTCTTGCCGTGCTTGTCAATGAGGTTCCAGAGAACCTCGTAGAGGATGGTGGCCCAAGTCTCGCCAATTCTATGAACGCTCGTTACGCCGTTGATGGTCGAGTACGTGTTGGGGGTGGTAGTCAAGTAGGTGGAGTAGAGAACAGAACGGATACCTGCAGGGTTGTTGTAAACCCAGGCACCCATAGAGTAGTCAGTTGCGCGAGTGTCGGTCGGCTTGAGACGGATGGCCGTGGCGAAGAAGTCGCCCCAGCCCTCACCCATACCGCCGGACTCGACAGCGTTAAGGCAATTAGAGTTGGCGGGACCGCCAGTCAGACGGGTAGAAAGGCCGTGAGTATACTCGTGGATAACGACACCGGCCTCGAAGCTGCAGTCGCGGCGAGGAGTCGACGAAGTCCAGAGGTACATGCGCATTCGGCCGTTGGTGCCATCAGGAGGAGTGAGAAAGTTGGCATTGTTGGTTCCGGAACCGTCCTGAGCAAAGAGGACGACGAAGTCGTTGCCAGTACCGCCCTTGCCATTGTTATTGATTTGGAAGTTGCCTGCCGACTCGGTGAAGCCAAGAGTGTACAGCAGGTCGTGGTAGTGGTTGGCAGTGTAGTAGAGCTGGGCGATGGAAGCGTCGATGTAGGAGGACGGAGTGCTCAAGCTGGTTGTGTACTCGTAGTCGAAGTTACGCGACGCACTGGTAGGGCGATAGTTGTTGAGATACGCGGTGCCGCCACTGGGGTTGGATTGAGCAATAGCGTTGTTTCCGCGGGTGGTGGTGTAGTTGGTGGTACCGTCACTGTGCCAGGTCAAAGGAGAGGCAGAGATGTCCCAGGGGTCGGTAACCAAAACGCGATCGCCCTCAGTAGGGTCGTTGATACCCCAAGGGTAGACGCGGTAGTTGGCCAGGTCGGAAACATAGTCAACGACACCGTGGACGTCGGTTCCAGTCTCAGCATCGACGTAAGTCAGCAGCCAGTTCTCAGTGATGTCGGTCTCAACGCGCCAAGAGAGGGTGAGAGAGCCGTCAGCCTTGACGAAGTAGACAAGCTTGGCCTCGGGGTCAGAGACAGCACCAGAAGTTCCCTTGATAGAGTAGACCTCTGTGCCCTCCTTGGGCTCAGCGGAGGCAGAGCCGGCCTCGACGGGAAGCTGAAGAATATCCTTGGCACCCCTGAGTGCGGAAACCGGGTCCTTGAAGTCCCGTTTCTTCAAGGGGCTAGCCTCAGGGACTTCTCCCTTGAAGAAGTTGTTGCCGAACGAGAAAACCTTTCCATCCTTGCCGATCTGCAAATCTCGTTAGTGAACTCCTGCGAAGCGCGGGTTTGTTATGAAACTTACGTTAACATTGAAGTCAGCGTTGTCAATGTCAAGCCCATGAGCAGTTTGCTTGAAGTTAACATGACCAATACCATTGGTACCGACGTAGTGATCACCAACAAGACGGAACTCGGCGTTGGGGGCGAGCTTCTTGACCAGCTCGGTGGCCGTGTCGACGTAGCTCTCACGCTTCAGAAGCGCAATCGGCGGGCTCGCCTCCGTCTGAGTGGCATTGGTGTAGGATCCAAGCTGAGGCAGACGGAAGGCCTCAATGTCAACACCACGACGGCCAATGTTGTGACCAGTGGCGGGGTGGGCAAAGACCTGCGAGGTCGGGCCCAGGAGACCCAAGAGGGCCAAGCTCTTCATGCTGCGGTACATGGCGACGGCGGTGGGGTATGGAAGGAGGGAACGAGAGACGGGGGACTTAAAAGTGCCTGCTGAGCTCCTAAGAGACAAAAAGCGTCGGATAGATCATCTTATACTCAAGTATGCGATGCCGTTGAGGCTTCAGACATCCACAAGAATACGAGGGTCAGCTTCAGAGCCAGGGAGCTTCCTGTTTAGACATGCATTCGGCCGACAGGTTTGCGGAGGTTGCAACCAAGCAGCACGACCAGGGATGTTACGGCACTCCATAATCGCTATCCTTAGTCAACCGGACAGTTTCGTACGATATTCAAAGCTCTATTAGGGAGGTTATTGGCGACTTCGGGTCACGATGCATGGCGAGCGTGAGGTGGTGCGCTTGCGTTATCCGACAGGGCCGCACGCCACTGCAGCAGATGGCGATTATCGGATCAGTGCGCGAGAGAAGAGGGAAGGTCGTTTCCTTGCGACCTGAACATTAAGCGGTGGTATGGTTACATTGGTGCTTGCTTTACGCTGTTGGCGTCTTGGCGACGGCTTGACTGCCAGTCGACTCTTGGCATTGGCAAGGGATTCAGCATTAGACAACGGTATCGCTTGGGTTTCTCCAGGCTTATTGACCAGGGATATTTTGAACACATGCTGGCAAATGATGCTAAGATAACAAATCTAGCAACAACTGCGAGGTGTATGGTGAAAACCTCGCTGAACACGGACCGTAAGAGTAAGCTTATTTTAGGATCATCGAGAAAGGAGGATTTTAAATGGAGATTAAGCTTATTGTCAAGTAGCTCAAGGTCAATTGAATCAGGTCCTGCGACGCAAGTTCGTCGCGTGCCCCGAACAAGGCAGTGAACACATAATAGAGCTATCACGTAACAATATGCTCCGCACATCATCTCGGATAACGGCCCCACAGTAGCCCGCCGCGGGGATCAATACCTTAAACTGCAGTTCAACCCAGGTATGCCGCTAGCAGACACTTCTCTAGAATCGCATCATTTGGTTGAGTCAGTGTCACTCAGAGACAGGCTTCAATGCAGCCTTTAGCTAGGAGAGCATGAGACTAAAGAAACTCTTGGACTTTTTTGAGTGTCAAAGCTGGGGGAAGGCAGAGTTCTATCTGTTGAATGGAGAAACTCCTCGCGAAAATTGTAATTTCGAACGACCCTCGTAATGCCGAGATCTCAGCTGCCGTCTCTGGTTATTTCAGCGTCGTAACACAATACTCCGGGCCGAGAAAGACACACCCTGATGCAAGGGGTCAAAAGCGCTCATTCGCTGCAAGGTACGGATTGAGGAGGTAGTAATTTGGACGTTCGACTGGTTAGTCTCACTTTCTAGATAGAAACATAGCCAGAACGAGCTGCATGCGAGCGAATACGAGATTGGATGCAATGAATCAGCACTTCTGTCAGGGACTGACAGAAGAAAAGATATGCCGCGCGCCTACCGCTCATCCTTCACGGCTCCAGATTCACAAGTCCAAGACAACAAAGGGTCTTGACACGGCGGGATGAAGGGTAAATGCGTGATGGTCTCGGCAGATGATCCCTGTACGCAGGGAGCCGCAGACCTGCCTCATTCGGTATGACTCGCCGGCGCAATGGAACGGCGTTATCGATCTAGGGACTCATATCCGGCGTATGCCGCCCCAAGCTCTAAACCGTCAACGATGACCGTGAGTCTAAGCCCACCTCGGCTATTGGCCAAGAGGCCGTCAGCGGTTTTCTGTGATTTGATGGGGTTAAATTGGCTAATGTGACTTTCTGCTTTCGGAAAGTCTTTGTGGTTCGTGCTTCAACAGAGCTAAGCCAAGTCTTCAACCAAGACTCCAGTTCTGGCAAGAGGCACAGAAATTTGGTTCTTGTGTAACCCTGATCCCGTTCTAGCAGGCGGATGAACATGTTCGCCACAAGACATTATCAATCGTGCGGGGAGGCTCGGTTCGTGCCGAATCATTCCATGACGCGCTGATTGCCAATCGTCCCGCGGTCGCAAACCGCGGAAAAGCCACGATGGTTCCGACGTCTCTTGACACATGTTGGAACGGGGCAGGGTTTCCTGCTCCGGTGAGGTGGTCTTTGCGTTTAGTTCCTTTTATTTCTTAGCCAAGCAGAGTCTGATCGGGGGTGTAGAAACCTCTATGACACAGAGGGACTCAGATCAGACAAGAACAATCAACACGCACTCATCGGACTTCTCTACGCATAAGGGAGCATCCTTTCTGTCTTTTGTGATAACCAACACCCTTATCACACCTACACAAGAACTTCGGGGGTCTCTACTTTATCCATCGCGTCGCGGCCAAGCCTGATCAGGATTCGACCTGATCAGGACAGCTGATTCGCGACTGGATAAAGGCATCTTGCGTAGCTATGGGGGAGGTTGTGGTTGTCCACCGCACCGCACCGCTCTCTATAGACATGATTACCCTGCACGCATCCAACATATAATTAGAACTTGGATTATGTTTGAAAAAGTAAACCAGGGGATGGAGTTGCTGTGGCACATATGGTACTTGTTGTTCCAAGTATTGTTGCGTCGTTGTCCTCCAACGACCAAGCAGCACACAAAGTCGGAACAGTGTAACGGCAATTCTCTCCATTGTTTCTTTTTCTTCTCAAATTCATTATCCCAAGTGGTGGCACTGCTGCTCCTAGGTATAAAGAGAAGAATGGGGGGTTTTGTAAATTATTATTTACGTTGATAAAGCTAACTGAAGCAACATCAAAAATTGGAAGTTAGAAGCGAAAAAAGAAAGAAGAGACAGAATGCACAAACTACATATCCACACAGAAAATATTGGATGGCAGATGCCCTTACAGCTCCTTCAAAAGGCCACTGAGAAGCCCAATGATCTCATTAGCACTAGTCTCAGAGGCCATCGTGGAGGCCCCAAAGACACCAATGTCCATCCCACCTGCATTGATCGAGGCTTCGATGTCCAGTGCATCCTGTCACTATATTAGCTGCTGCTTGCTTTATTCACAATATCATGGATCACATACCGGGAATGCATCTCGAACTGCATTATTACTCAGCCAGCGTGTCGAGCATTTCGTCGAAGCGTCATTACTGCCAAAAGTCTGCTTGAGGCTTTCGATCTCACGGGCATCAGAGACAGGCTCCAATGCTATATCTCCATGTTTCAACGTTTCCGTGCTCTCGTCATCGAGATGGAGAAAGTTGACAAAACAATTAATCTCAACTCCAGTCCAGTCCTTGATTTCCCAGAGTCCAGCGGTCGAGTGTGAAGAAATGAGATGCAGGTCCTCTTGGACCTTTCTAGCAATTTGCAAAATGGTGAGGTCGTGCTGGACTGAGACCTTCAGTGGCACTAAGTTAAGGGTTGGATATGTGGTTTCCAAGTTCTCTCCTAGTGACCTGTTCGCATAGTAGATGCCAAATGCGACCTCATTGAAGTTTTGCTCAGATGATGAACTCTGGAGCTTTTGAAGAGTCATTGCCGCTGCCGCAAAGAAGAGTGCAGGGAGGCCAATGCCAGCTTGAGAACACTTTGATTGTAATCGGGGGACTTCTTGAACGGTGGAGCGCATAAGGACAGACACTCGGTCCTCAACGGCAGTTGAGCCTGCGTGCCTGCTACTGAGCGTTTTATGGACGCCCTCCAAGTATCTTGTCCAAAATACCCTGTCGCGATCTTTGGTATCCTTGTCATTGTTTGAGACAAGGAAGGACTTCCACGTGTCAATACGGGACGCTGCGAGAGGAGGCTGTGCCCCGAATATCGAAAGTAGTTTCCCCAAGAGACTTGGGAGAGTGAAACCATCATATAGGGAGTGATGAAGGCTCAGGCGAAGCAGCCAATCCTTGTGGTCTCCTTGTATGGCACTGAGTTGAATTTGCGGCCAGCAACGTCCTGATTCTGCTGAGATAACCTCTCCGTCGAAGGAGATGTCCCGGTGTGGCCCTTCGCCTCCCGACTGGATAACAACTTGCACAAATGGATTGGATTTCTTCCCAGTCGCGATAAGGCAAGTCCTCAAAATTGGTTCCGAGTCAACCAGAGCAGTCCATGAAGACTCTAGCTGACTCTTTTCAATGGATCCATGGAGCCGATAGAAGAAATCTGGGAAGAAAACATGTCCTTGTGCATTTTGCCATGACGAGATCATGTATACCTGCATCGGTAGCGGCGGCAATATCTCTTCTACCTCGGATTCTGCAAGACCGGCATCGGCTAGGAGTGCGTTGATGTTGATGGAATCTGGGACCTTATAGGTAGTACTTGGAGTCCGCGGTGGTTGTACCGCATCTCTATCGTTGCCAGCGCTGACTTGAGCATGCCGTGCCATCTCTTTGATTGACCCCAAAGTCAAAAGAGCGCGAACTCCGAGGTTGAGACCTTCTTTTCGAAGAAGCGAGGAGACTTTAATAGCGCTGATAGAGTCCAGACCCAAATTGTACAAGGTGTGACTTTTCTTAATCGATTCAACTTCGACGCCCGCAGCTTGGGAAAGCACTCTTCGAATACTGGTTTCGGTGTTCGTCCATTCGCCATTCTCTGCGTCTGACATGGCTGCTGCGTCGGAACTTGAGGCCGAGAACATCAGTTTTTTGACTTGGAACGACGGCAATTGGCAGATGGAGACATCGTCGCCTTCAAAATGAAGAAGGTTGTCATCTGGCATCCCAATAATGTACTGCAACGCCCTGTCGAGTTGATGGAGCAGCTGTTGTGTCGTTTTCTCGGATACAAAAGCGTCCTGGCCCGCGATGCGCCAGATGAGACTTTTGGAAGTTACTTCCAGCTCAGCGCATACCGCAAACTCGGTTGCTGAAGAGCCTTGAACAGACTTCATGATAGTATTCTCAGGCTCTGAGTCAGGATTCTTCTGAAGTATGAACAGGGTATTGAACAAGCGTCCTCCCGCGACACTTTGAGCTTTTCGCAGAGGGTAGTTTTGGAATTCTGTAATGTCTCCCATGGTCTCTTGAAGGTAGTGCAAGAACCCGGTGGTTGAACCGTGAAGGAAGCATCGCACGGCTACCGTGTTCATGGTCGGGAACATCAACTTTTGTGCTTGTTCCGAATCACGACCGGCCAAGACAACGCCGAATGTGACCTCGAGAGTTTGAAGTAGAGTCGCGAGGGTCGAAGCCCAGCAGGCTTGGCCCAGGGCCTGCAGGCTCACGGCGTGGCGTTTGCAAAATGCTGTCACTTGGTCGTGTTTGATGCTGGAAACAGCCTCTGTTCTGTGAATTGAGTCTCTCGATGATTGATTGGGATAGTGCCTCTCAGATATAAGGGATGGCTGAGTATTCGCAAGATACTGGGACCAAAACTTCCTTGACTGGTCAGTTGGCGTTTTGACAAGGTTTTGAAGGAATGGCTCAGTCGGGGGGCGTTGAACAAGATGACCCTGATAAGCAGAGGCAACGTCCTGGTGCAACAAAGTCAAGGACCAGCCATCGTAGAGAGCATGCGCGATCGAGAGTACGAGCAGCGACTTGCCATTGATTGATACGACTGAAAGCTGAAGCAAATTATCGCTCCCTTGAGCGGCTCTGGCGTTTTCTCTGTGAATATTGATGATGTTTTGAACCTTGGCCTCATTTTCCGCTTCTTGCCTGGAAATTACAAGGGGTCTGGACCTCATTATGACTTGGGAAAAGGTCTGTTCCAGCTTGGGGTCGTCAATCTGGATAAATGTTGTTCGCAAGATAGGGGAGCGCTCAACGACTTGCTTCCAAGCCTCTTCGAGCTTATCAATGTCCAGACCATCCATTAACTCCAAGACATCATGATTGAAATACTGATCAAATTTTGACTGCAGCATATCGGCTATCATGGACTCTTGCAGAGGAGTTGGCGGCAAGACAGCCTCCACATCTTGGAGATCAAAATTTGTTGCCTCGACAGCCCTCCACAGTCGAGACTTGAGTACTTCAAAGCCGTGTTTTTCGTCAATGACTGTTGAGGATGGCTTCTTATCATTAAGGACCTTGGAAATTGCAGCAATGTTTTGTGATCGCATAAGTTGTGACAGAGTGAGTTCGTAACCGATGTGCTTGAGTCGAGCCGACAGCTTGACGAGGTCGATGCTGTCGAGACCCAACTCAAGAAGTGCCATGTTCTCGGTGATGCTATCCTCGGACGACCCCGACAAGGCCGCGATCTCCTTTCTTAAGGCCAGTGCGGCTGGTGTCCAATCAAAGGCTGACGCGTTTAGGTCCAGGCGGTGATCTTTCATCACGTCGCCGTCAACGGACTCGGGCCTTGACGTAAGAGGTGTTCGGGGCGACGTCGCCGCTGAAGCTTCTCTGGATGGGTTTTCTGTAACAGGCAAAGAATGCGTACCACTCGATGTGACATCGACCATGGCCTCGTCAATCTCTTCGAACAAAGAGCTAATTGTCGTTTCGTCAGCCAAATCTCTGTGCGCGACGATTTGGATACGGAGCTGGCCACCAGGTGTAGCGGATGCTTCAAAAGCCAGAGGGTAGTCTGATACACTGTAGTCATCCATGATGGACCACATTCCGGATGGTTCGTTTGATTGGGGAGATTCGATCTGAAAAACGAAGAGGTTCTCAAAGATTGGGCGGCCTCTAGACTTCGTGCACCACTTCTGGATATTCCGTAGTGGTACATGTTGGAATTGCAAGACCGCAGTGTTGAATTCGTGGCACTTCTGGATCAGCGACAACCAGGTATCTCCCTCTTTGATTCCCGCGTGAAATAGCAGTGTGTTAAACAGTGGTCCGATGGTGTTCTCAATCTGGTCTATGTCGATAGATCGACCGGATACGATGACTCCAGTGGCTGCGTTCACCGGGAAATGCTTCTTGAAAACTGACGTCCATAAAGCAAGCACAATTGATTGAAGAGTGACGTTAAGTGATCTTCTCAAAGTCTCAAGGTTCCTTGCTGTGTAAGTCTTTGTCTTGGTTATGACGGTCGTAGCGTTGCCAGAATGAAGTCTGGGAATTGTGTCAAACGAACAGTTCCTCAGGTGCTCAACCCAAAATTGGCGGCTTGCGTCGTAGTTGGCCAAAGGACCATGTGCCAGTGTATCGAGGAAGGAGGGTGCGGTCTCATGTCTCTCGTGGAGATATTCTGCAGAGACCCAGCGCAGCATGGCCTCAAAACTTGTGCCGTCATAGAGGGCGTGGAAAATGTGAACAACAAGGACGATCTGGTCGCCGAGCTGGGCAACGATCAACTCCAGAGGGTTGGACACATTCTTGCTGTTCTTGTGTATCATTTCGGGCAGCGCATTGGAAAGCTCAGATTCAACCTCTGCAGAATCCTGTTCCCTCAGGTCTCTCCAACGGAGCCCAGTGGATTTGATGGCAACTTGAGCGAAACCTGCCGGTGTCTGGATGAAGCTAGTGCGAAGGATTGCATGTGACTTGACCAGTTTTCCGCAAGCACTCTTTAGTCTCGCAATGGATACCTCCGGTGCAAGTTTGAGACGAAAGGCAGTGAAGTAGGCTCCTTCGTCTTGGTCCGACATGAATCGGGAGAGCATACCTTCTTGGAGGGGCGTGCATGGAGCGACATACTCGACGTCTCCATTATCGGCAATACCAAGTTCTTGGACGGCCAGAGATCGGTAGCGGTGACCAAAGGCTTGGATGAATTGACGTGCTTCTTGAACACCATTGCCCTCTTTCAAAGACTCATTCTGCTGAAGTGTTTCAGCCAGGTCTGTCAGGGCCGGATTTCTCAATATCACCTTCGGGGACGCGCCCGTCAGACCATTCTTGCGCAACAGTCTAGACAGCCTGAGAGCGGAAATGGAGTCGACTCCCAGATCGAAAATGTTGCTTGACAAGGAAACGTTGGTGTCTTCTCCCAAGAACTCTTGCATGGTTGACAATATTTGTCGCTGAGTCTCGCTGGTAGGCTCGGAAGCTGCTCTTGACGATGGCGACAGTTGAACCAGTACTTCGGGTGTAAGAGTGCGGAAAAGCTGGTTCAATTGCTTGATATCCGCCTTGTTATTGGGAGAAAGAGGGATACGAGGAACGTGGAGGATGTAAGATGGCACCATGTACCCCGGCAACGTGTCTCTGCAGGCTTTCTGAACAGACCTGACAAGGGAGACGGTGTTTTCGTCGTTAAGTACCTGGAGCTCATCCTTTGAAGCAGCTTTTGAATTGCGGCTGATGAAGGTGACTAGCAGGTCTTTGTCCAAGCTTCCATGCTTGGTGACCAAGGTGGCGACGTCGCTGACTTCGGGAACCCGTGTGCGGATCGAGTGGTTGATCTCTCCGATCTCTAGACGCTGTCCTCTCAGTTTGACCTGGTCGTCGGCACGGCCAAGAAAGTCGAAGCATCCATCATGCAATAGCCTTACGAGATCTCCAGTACGGTAAACACGCTCGCCCAGCCTCTCGAGGAGTGGGAACCGTTCTTGAGTCAGCTCAGGCCGGTTGAGATATCCTTTACCCACCAATTTTCCAGACAGACAGAGCTCACCAACGGCACCTTTCATGACAGGAATGTCTGTTCCTGGCTGCAGAACAAACGAACCCACGTTGTCGAACTGTTTACCAATGTTTGAAGCACGACCGTTCTGCGGAACCCGCTGATACATGGTAACTCCAATTGTGGCTTCGGTTGGGCCATAGGCGTTGTAGATGACACCAACAGGCCCCCAAGCATCTAGGATTTCCTGCTTCAAAGCCTCTCCACCAGTAATAAACACCCCTCTCGACAGACTCGGTACTTCTGACGGATCAAGCAGACGTGCCAAGCTGGGTGTTAGATCTAGGTGAGTGATGTTGAGTCGGCGAATCGTGCCAGCAAGATCGTCGAGGATGAGATCTCTGGGTGCGGCAATCAGCGGTATTCCCACTGACCAACTCCAGTATTGTTCCAGAACCGAAACATCAAAATGGAACGAGGCAAACTGCATCCATCGCGAAGTCTCATCCCAGTGGCCGGCAAAGAGTCTCTGGAACGCTTTCATAGCCTGCACTGCGTTCTCATGGGTGATCTCGCATCCCTTTGGTGTTCCCGTAGTGCCGGACGTGTACAGGCAATATGAGTTGTCCTGCAGAGTCAGAGACCCGGGAGATATATATGTCGGAGATGCGCCGTCGAGCAAGGCATCATCCACGTGGATGAGCGGCTGTTCAACGGTGAGGTCGATGTTGGTATTGGTCAGCAGTGCCAAGGCACCCGAGTCTTTGAGGATGAATTCCTTCCTTGCTTTTGGAGCGGATGGGTCAAGAGCCAAAAATGCACACCCTGCTTTCAGGATGCCAAGGATCGAAAAACACGCCTCCGGACACTTGTCAAAGTGGATGGCAATAGTGTGTCCAACTTTTGCATGAGGTGCCAGAACATTCGCGACCTGGTTTCCCCGCTCATTGAGCTCGCGGAAAGTCCACTGTCTCGATACTGGAGTTTCGCCATCAAACCCAGTGACGAACTCCAGAGCGATCTTATCGGGGTGAGTCTGGGCTTTTGTCTCGACGAAGCTGTGCAAGAACTGTTCCTCAGAGGGAATCGTAGGCTCGAGCGGTGGCGTAATGGAAAAGATTGATGGATGACTGATCCAAAGATTGTCGGTGCTTTCGTTCGGCTTCTGCGCAAGATATTGCAGCGCGGCGTCAAACTGATTCAACAAATGCACTGCCTGAGGCTTGGGCAAGATATCGTTTCTGAAAGAGAGACGCAACTGGATCTTTCCGCTGGGAAGTGGCTCCACCTCCATGGACACCGGATAATCCAAGTTACCCTCATCTTTCATAATTTGCCATGGAAAATCTGGAGTTGTGTCTTCTGGCATCCGCTGGTACACAAGTAGTGTATCAAACACTCTTGTGTTCGGGTGTCCAAGCCATTGTTGAACTTGTGCAAGAGGGGCATTTTGGTGCTTGAGGAGCTGATTGTTGTAGTCGAGTAGTTGCTGGAGAAGTTCCAGGTTTGACGATTTGTTATGTGCGATCACAGGGACCGTGTTGATGCATGGAAAGACAGCGTTCTTGGTGTTTTCGCTCATACGGCCGGACAGGACGACCCCAAAGACAACATCCTCTTCACCCAGATAAGCTGAGAGGACTCGGGTCCAAGCTGCTTCCAAAGTTGCTTGAATCGTGATACCGACTTTCTTCGCGTTGTCGGAAAGGTCGGTCAAATTTGTGCCACATACTTTTCTTGATACCAGAAGCTCAGGAGACTTTTCCGTCAAAGGTGTCAAAGTTGGGAAGCGATTGACCACGACCTCGGACGCCTTTTGCTCCCAGAAGCTTTTCGATTGGTCGGGTTTGACAGAAGCCTGTAGAATTGGCGAGAGTGCCTGCTCAATCAAAGGATACTCCGACATGGCATTGCCTGAGATGCACGAAGAGAGATCCCTCAGAATCAACTGCAGAGAATATGCATCGTAGAGCGCGTGATGCATAATGATGTGCATCCTAATAGAGGTCCCACAGTCAAGGGCCAGGGCCCATGGGGGCTGATGTAAGGAATGTAGAATACCATGGGCAGTGTCCAGCTTCCACTTTACAACATGGAACGATTCCGTAGGGTTGTTATGAATTGTGATAGGCAATTGGTAGTGTTCAGACGAGTACTGTACCATTGCAAAAGAAGCGTCCCGATGCTGCGTAGGCATGAAACCAGTCCTTAATACCTCATGGTGTTTGAGGAGAGCTTTCCACGCCTCTCGAATCTGGTCCAGTGATATGCTTTCCTTGAGAACAAAAGACAGGTAGTTGAGGTAGTCTCTGCCCTCTGACTGGATGAAGTCGTTGAGCATGGCGCACTGTAATGGGGAGCATGGCAGGACTTTGTCGGACCCAGGCCACGGAGAGCCCCCAACGTCTTGCTCAAACTTGGTAAAGTCGTATTTTGCCTCTTCTTGGGTTGAAGAGGTTCCTATGCAACTTGACATTTTTGCGCAAGTCGGAAACTCGATGACGTTCAGGGCAGACAGCTCTATACCGTGATCTCGCATCATTGCTGCGAGTTGTACTGCGTTAATACTGTCCAGGCCGAGCTGATAAATCGAAGTGTTTCTTCTGATCTTCGAGACAGGGATATTCGAGAGCTCGGCCACGACTGAACGAATCTGGATTTCTGTCGCATTCCACTCTTCCTCTTCAGCAGGCGTCTCGCCGTCCAGCTGGTCGTCTTGAATGACGGTGGCCTCGACAACGAGGCTCTCCAAAGCTCGCAAAGAGTCCGATGACAATTGTTCTCGGGTTGGTATACTTGATGCAGGATGGGCCGCAATTCGAGAAACAATGTCCAAGAATACGCCCACGAGCCCGACAAGAACATGTTCCGTCATGTATTGGCTGCATTCGCTGTTATTCCTGTATTCAGACGTTTTTGCTCGTGTGAACGATGGCTTACCTGTTTGAGTGAAGTTTGATATCCATGGAGTCATTGGACGGTTGAGGCGTGAGCTCACAGACAAGCGGAACCTATAATTCGCAAATCAGCACATGCATGGTCTTCATCCCTGTCATCGCTTCCACTTACATCCATTGTTCCGTTGTCTTCAACTAACTCCCAAATTGAAGACAAACGCTCTGCCCTTGGCTGTTGCAGGAGAAGAAGAGAGTCAAAGAGTTGCTTCCCGCTCTTCGATACTTGGTTTTGGATTGAGCGCAAGGGCGTGAACTGGAATTCCAAAAGTCGCGGGTTGAGTGTGTGGAACCTCTTGAGCAAAGTCAGGAGTTGGGTCGAAGGAGATATTTCAGCCCTGACTGGCAGCGTATTAAAACAAGGGGCGACCAGACGATTGATGCCGTCTACTGACAGTGCCCTGCCACTCATGACGTTACCGAAGCAGATGTCTGCCTCTCCATAGACAATATTTAAGAGAACCGACCAGGCTGTTTGGAAGAAGGATAACGTCGAGACTCCCAATGTCTTGCAAACACTTTGGAGCTGGCTGAGTGAGGTTCCAAGTGGTTTAGCTGCAATCTTAGCCGATTTTTCACAAAGACCCGGCGATAACTTTGCAAAAAGCTTGTGTTGTATGGGTCTGAAGTCCTCGAAATGGCTCATCCAAAAGTCATTTGTACCGTCAGGCGAGTTGAGGACTTCCAAAAGGACTGGCACATAATCGACTGGGGGGCCGAGAGTCTTCCCGTTCGCGAGCTTCTCAACCTCTGCAAGCAGTGATTCCATTGCTACACCATCGTACAGAGCATGATGGCAAGCAAAAGAAAGGAAGATGCCCTCTTCAGTCTTGAGCACAGCGAGTGATACTGGTGGAGTTTTCGAGTCCAATCCATTCGGGATCTCATTCGCGTGTTGATCAGCCGCACGCCGCAAGCTGGTTGCTTCTACCACGCGCCACGGCATCGGCCAAGAGTCGAGCACCACTTGGGCAACAGCACGTTTGGTATCTCGAGTCGAAACAAAGCATGTTCGGAATATTCCGTGCCGACGGTGCATGTGCTCCCAATAACTTTCCATATCTGTCTCGGGAACGTGCAGTTTGAAAATCATCTGGTTGGCGTAAGAGGAGCTCGTCGTTGAGGAGAGCATGGCTTCCTGAAGCGGAGTGCAGGGTAGAACTGCAGATACTGCCTTGTTCTCCCTGGCGAAATTTTGCTTGACTTCGTCAACGAAGCTTTGGGGAAATAGCATTGCAGTATCGAAAGCGCCGCTGGAAGATGCTTCAGGTTTTCGAGCTTGCAATTCCTGGGCCAAACGAGCTACGCATCCGGCTCGGAGAATTACCGAAACAGGAACTCTGTGCTGCAGGACAGCCTGGAGCCCCCTTGCAAGAGAAATGGCAGAGATAGAATCTAAGCCGACAGCAGCAAATGGCTGCCATCGAGTGATATCGTCCACCGGGACGTCAAGAACCTTTGAAAGGGCTATTTGGATCGTCTTTTCGTCTTCTGACCAGGAAACTTCGTCTGCATTGCTTGGCAAAGAACCTGCAGCTCGGTCCAAGTAGGCCCGGTCAAAATCCCTAAAAGAGGACTGTAATTTGGCTCTGTCGACTTTGCCGCTCGAGGTCAGTGGGACAGAGCTGATGGGAACCAAGTAGCTGGGCACCATGTAGGCAGGCAAGCAAGATCGAAGGAGTCCGAAAAGGGTGTTGTTTGCTTCAAACAGTTTATCATCAACTGGCAAAGTCTTGTAGTCGGCTTGTGTATAGTCGACAGGCACATAGAAGACAGCCAACTGAGATACGGACGAGTTGGCACGGTTGACAATGACAACTGCGCTTGAAGTCGCAAGGCCAGAGGTAGTAAGGATACTGCTGATTTCACCAGTGTCGATCCGCTGTCCACGCAATTTCAACTGGTCATCCATTCGGCCAAGGACCATCAGGGAGCCATCTGGCAGCATTCGGCCCATGTCTCCTGACCGATATATTCTACCAAATTGCGGATGGTCCAGGAACTTTGCATTGGTGAGATCAGGCATGCCTAGATAGCCCGCTGCGACTTGGTCGCCCCCAAAGCAGAGTTCACCAACGCAACCAATGGGAACTACATCGGCAGTCGCAGAGCCAAGAACAAAAGTTGAGGTGTTCTCGAATGAGAAGCCAAGATGGTCGATAAAGTCACCGGACTTCATCTTTTTGACAGTACAAATATTCGTCGTCTCTGCCGGTCCATAACCTGCGATATCGGTCAGTGCCTGATGACCACCATTGTAATGACGTAAAAACATACCTTGAAACAGATAGCCTGTCCATTTTCTAGCCACGACTGTGGTCATGGGCTCGCCTGCAGTAACGAGAAACTCGACAGTGGGTACATTGCGAGGATCAATCAAAGAAGCCACCGTTGGTGTCATGCTGAGGTGAGTGCACTCCAGAAATCGGATCGCGCGCTCCAAGTCTTCGAAAAGGGTATCATTGGTACCGGAACACAAACATGCGCCAACCTTCCAAGTGAAGAAAATTTCAAAAACTGATACGTCAAACGCTTGTGAGCATGATTGTAGAAGACGAGAACGATTGTTGTGGGGGTATATCCTGGACAAAACGTCGAGATTGCTCATGATATTTTCCTGAGTGACAACTACGCCCTTTGGCGTGCCTGTTGTTCCAGAAGTGTAAATGACATATGCTGGCCGAGAGGGGTCCGGATGCAGGCACAAGTTGTGGTCCGGAAAGCCGGACACGTCGATCGATCGAATGTCTATAAGCTTGCAGTCCGAAAAACCGTCCAGGTTTGTCGATACTCTCGCATCGGCCACACAAAGCTTCACCTCAGCCTGAGCAAGAATTACTCTGATTCTCTCGGGTGGTGTAATGGGTAGAAGAGGCAAATATGCGCAGCCAGCCTTGAGAATTCCGAGTATCGCAGCATATAGGCTGATCGACTTTTCCATAATCAAGCCAACAATGTCCCCTTCCTTGACGCCTTGCTCCTGGATAAAGCGAGCAATCTTGTTGGATAGAGAATTGAGGTTGCTGAATGAAATTGTCTCAACCGCCTCTCCGTGCAGAGAATTGGCGAAGCTCACGGCTACGGCATCGGGTGTGAGACATGCTGACAGTTCAAAGGTTGCCGCCAAATCTGAAATTGTTGAAAGAGCCGAAGGGTTGGCGTTGTATATTGAGGTCAGTTCCCGGGGCAAAATCTTTCCAACAGAGTCAAGGCAGCTTTCTGGCTGGTGGATGAGATGCAGAACCACCGAATCGAGTTGCTCGGCCAGCATGTTGACGTGCTCAGTGGAAATTGCACTTGTGTGGTAGGTAAGTCGACAGACCGGCCCGTTGGATGAGGGCTCAATCTCAACAAGGAGGTTGGTTTCCAAGAAGTCTCTATGAGATACTTCCTTCACCTGGCCTTCACTCCGTTGCTGGCTGTAGAGAGACTCCTGATACACAAAGAGGACATCAAAGAGCGCATCGCCTGGTTTCACTCCCGCGATTTTTTTGATCTCGGACAATGGCAAGATGCCGTGCTGCAGCACTTGGCGATTTGACAAGTGAACATCGCGAACAAGGTCAGCAACGGTCGTGAGTCCAGCCAGGTTGACTCTAAGAGGTGTTGTGGCGATAAAAGGACCTATTATACGCTCAACGCTCGCCACTGGAATTGTCCTGCCTGACGAGACCGATCCAATGACAACATCATGTTGCCCTTGTATGCCTGCCCAAAGCCAGAGAAGACCAGCTTGGAAGAAAACCTGCGGGTGACAGCCCACACGCGAGGCTGCTTCCTCAAAAGCAGTCTGCAAGGTGTTGAGTCTTCTGACGATAGTTTGAGTCTGAGGAATTTCGACTGGGCGTCCCATGAGGCGTGGCAAGTTATGACGTTGCCAACCAAGCAGATGGTCAGCCCAGAAACCACGTGCCTCATCCATCTGGCTGTTGGTGGTGGGATCAGCGTAGAATCTAGCGACGTCGCGAAACTGTGGTCGTGACTCTGGCAATCGACAAGCGGACAAAGCGGAAAAGTCTTCGACAAGCATGTCGGTAGACCATCCGTCATATTGTGCGTGGTGCACTTGCAAGAGGAGCGTTGGTCCGCTCTCTGGCTTGCCCTTGCAGACCTGGGCTCTAAATGGGTGCAGATAGTCGTCGTCGGACGCCAAGCAGAAGTCGCGATTGAAGTCCTCTACGATCTCAACTTTGGTATGAGGCAACCGATGAAACACGACTTGCGCGAAACCTGTGTCGAGCGATACGAATCCTGACCGTAGAATTTCATTGTTTGCTGCCATCTGATGCGTCCATTTTTCAACATCGTGAGTTGTGGCCTCGACTGGAAACTCGAGCTCGACCCAGTTGCAATATGCTTGAGAGTTGACAGAAGTCTCGGCAAGCATCGAGCTCTGTAGTGGTGTGCACCAGTGTACGCGTTCGATCTCGGTTGACATTGAGGAGAGGTCTGTCCGCCACTCTAGTAATTGGTTCAGAGGTATCTCGCACGTATCTGCGGCACTATCCTCAAAATCTTTCGAGTGAGATCTTGGTTTTGAGGCTGCCCGGAGCCTCGTACACAAGGCTGATAGAGTCTTGGACCCGATTATGTCCGTTGCCGACACTTGGAACCCACCGTCTCGCAATGCCGAAGCAATTCTGATAGCCTTGAGAGAATCAACACCGGAAGATGCAAGCTGCGTTGACGACGAAGCCTGAATACCAACAGACTTGAATACAATGGCTGAAACTTCTTGCTCCATTGGATCAGCCGTTCCTGCTTGAGTGGCGCTTTGTGCCTCCATCGTTGTCTCATACTCGCTCCTGAGTTGCTTCCGGTCCACTTTCCCTGAGGGCAACCTCGGGAAGCTTGTTTTGACAACCACATTGCCCGGTACCATGAAAGACGGGAGCCAAGTCCGACAAGTGTTGATGATGTTTTCCGCTTGGTCTTCTGAATCTGAAGCGTCGTCGATGGCGCAAAATGCGACTAAGATACCCCCAAGAACCATGGCAACGGCGCTGTGGCAA